TTTTGATTATTATATGTTGAGGGGATTTTTTTTTTTGATCCAGCCTATTCGGTGTTCTGTATGCTCTTGACTCTTCATAGGTATATCTTTCTTTAGGTTGGGAAAGTTTTCTTCTATAATTTTATTAAATATATTTTCTGGACCGTTGAGCTGCACTTCTTCTCCTTCTTCTACTTCTATTATTCTTAGGTTTGGTCTTTTTTATTGTGTCCCAGATTTCCTGAATGTTTTGTGATGAGAGTTTGTTGGATTTGCTGTTTTCTTTGATCAGTGCGTTTATTTTCTCTATGGTATCTTCAGAATCTGAGATTCTTTCTTCAATCTCTTGTATTCTGTTGGTTATACTTGTTTCTGTATTTTCTATTCGTTTACCTAGATTTTCTATGTACAGCCGGCCCTCTGTGTTTTCTTCCTTGTCTCCATTTCAGTTTTCAAGTCTTGAACTGTTTCCATTATCTGTTTGATTGTTTTTCCTTGGTTTCCTCGGGTATCATTCACTGATTTATTCAATTCTTCAAACTTTCTGTTATACTTCTCATCCATTTCTATAAGGGCATTTTTTACATGTTGTTTAAGGACATCAATCACTTTCATAAAGTCCATTTTTTCTACTTCTTCTTGATTAAGGTGTTCATGTCCTCCTGTTGTGAGGTCGCTGGGTTCTGGTGGTTTCATGTTGTTTTTCAGATTGTTGGGTGAATTCTTACATTGGCGCCTGCCCATCTCTTCCTCCGAATGCTCCCCTAAGGATCTTCTTTTACAGGATCAAGTCTCCTTGCCCACTGATGTACCTTCCCAGTGATGGCACTCTCCTGTGATGGCTGTCTAGGTGCCCCAGTGATGGCTTTCCTGGTGCCGAGATCAGGTCTCCGTGCTAGTTTTGTAGCTCGTAAACAAAGCACCTACCTTGCTTGCTGCAGGCAGGCTATTGAAACAAAGGAATTCCTGCCTGCCTGGCTGCCCTCCGGATTCAATCCCAGCGCCCAGACAGGCTGAGCTGGGTGATGTTATTTGCCCAAAGATGGCAGGGAAGCAGAAGTGGGGAGGGTTCTGGATGCACGCTGGGTGAGATAGGAAGAGAGAGGCCATATGCAGTATAGGCCCTGCAGGAAGTAGTTCCTTGTCCAGGGCAGCTGCCTCAGGTCAGAAACTCACTCACCCCAGAGATGGTTCTCCTGGTGCCGAGATCCTTGCTGGTTGGGTAGCTCGTAAACCTCTTAGTCTCATTTTGGATTGGAAACATTAGAAGCAGAGTATATACAGATAATGCTTTAGTGTGTGTAACAGCTCCAAAATAGTGAATTTAGGGAAAAAGAACGTTGAGAAATCAAAGGCAAAGTTATCTGTGGGGTAGTAGGTTAAGAATTGACTCTTTAAAGTATTCTTGATGCTGTTCAGGATACAGTTAATGACAGCACTGGGGTATGTTCACTTATCCTATTGAGAACCATGAAATTTATAACAATTTATTAATATTTACTCTTCTAATACATATGTTTCTTTGAGATTTGGGGGGATTTTATTACATAACAACTTTTAGATTAGATTTATTCATATAATTACTATATTCATGGAAGCAAATATTCTTTGCTTATTAAATGATTTCAAATCATTCACACTAAGTAGAAAAAGAACATATAATTTCCTAATACTCATACAGCATTGTGATTTTACTTTTTCTATATGGGCTATATAATCACTAGTATAACTCTGAAAGGTAATTGTTTCTATTTTAATATGAACAGATCTTGGATCATGAAATTAATGCATCAAAGTACTCTGTAATAAAATTTATTAATTTAAAAAGACATGAATGAAACATTTGCTTGGGCTAACCACATAATTTTCACATGCTTGGTTCATAAAAATAGTTATTGCTAAGCAAATAACTTTTAATTACAGTTAGTATTTATGGAATAGCTATTACTATTTTCTACCGTAGATAAAAAATGGATTTCTTTGAAGTTAAGTGATTTAACCAAGATTACATCGTTTGTAAGTGCATAATAAAACAAAACAGGCATGGGCATGCAGTTATGTTGTTGCCTTCATAGCCGTGGAACATATAATCTATATTAATTTTTTTAGTCAATATATAATCCTCTCACTTTCTTTGCCAGTGTGGCCAAGACAGACTTTGAATTCCTGATCCTTTTGATATACCTCTGGGATTATAGGTGTAGACCATCAAGATGACAGAACGAAACTACCGCCTTTACCCTAAGTCTGTCATCCTGAGATATAGTCCAGTGAAGAAATGTGTATATCCACCTGAGATTTGTATGTTGAAATCCTAGTGTCCTGCTGCTGTTAGGAAGTTGAACTTAGGTCATGAGGATGGCCCCCTCCTGAAGGGATAGTGAGAGGGTCATTTGTCTAGTTCTGTTTCTCTACCATGGGAGGATATAAAGGGAAGGGGGCCTCATTCCAGCTCCACTAAATTTACTCTGACCTTATTTTGGTTTTTAAGACTCTTATCCAGTGTTTCTGTTTCATGACAGTTTGGATTAAAACACAAAACTGTTTTATTTATTTACTTACTTACCTATCAAGAAACTTTGTGATCTACAAAGTCTACATTGACATTTATCTGAGACTTGTTCAGAAAAAGTTTACCAAACCCTAGGCTAATAGGGAAAGAAGAAACTAGAAATTTCTCATCTCATTACCAGGGGATCTTTGACCCAATAGAAGTTAGAGTTCTCTGATTGCAACATTGTAGCACGTGAGTGTTACTATCTCAGGACCTGAAAAGGCCTTCTTACTGTTTTTAGTTGGCCTGGGAAGTAACATGCTGTTTAGGGGAACTATGTTTTCAGCAACTATTTACAAAGAGACTGCACTTCTTCTATACGTTGAGGCCCTGTTGAATGCAGCCTTTTCTGTGGGAACAGAGACCTGGCTTTTGTACTTGGTGTGTTCCTAGTGCCTGAGATAGAACCTGAGAAAAAGGAGCTTTCAGTTGATTCCTGTTGATGAGTGAACTGGGAGAAGATTCCACTCTTAACAGCAAATTGTACTTAGGAAGCTTGTGATGCCTCTCTAAAGTATTCCTTCTAAGTCTTAATCCTGAGAGTTATTTAGAGAGGAGTAACTAACCACTTGTCACTTGAGGAATTCTTTGGTTCCTAACATTTTTATGGACTTTCCTCTTTGTCTCAGCAAGCTCCAGAGGTTCTAAATTATCTTATCTTAAAGGTTGTTAGGAATTTTTGTGATCTTCTCAAACATTGTTAAATGATTAACATGTTTTCATCCCTTATTCATTATAGATACAATTTAGAACAACAAAGCAATATTACAGAGTAGCAGTAGTGACCTACATGAGGCCTTTATCATTTTTTGTAAAGGATCTGATCTCACTTAATGGTAGACTTTCGTTTTACTTTTAAGGTTGATGTGTAAGTCATTAATACAGTCCATTGCTAACCCACTTAAAACTAAATTGAATTTATAAGAGATGAAGGTAGAAATGAAGGGTTTTAGCAGGTTTCAGCATCAAAGGAAAGGGAATTAGTTTTGGTGCCATGCTTCTTGGGGTGTCAGCACTGTCATGGCCAACACCAAATAGTACAGTGAAGGGAGGTAGACTAGAAATGAAATGTAGAGCAGAACAGTTTCACTTGGTAAGGAAAACACTAATTACAGCAAATAGTTGAGTTCTTTTAAAAAATCTCAAATGAAGTTACAGTGGCTTCTAAACTAAAATATGAGCAAAATTATAGTGTGATTTTAAAGATTCTGTTTTTTTATTTAAAACAAAATGTTAAAATTATTAATAGCTTGAGAAACTTTGTGTTGTTTTTGAGAGATTGATAAACTACTTCAGAACTGTACATGGGCTTTGGCCTGCTCTTATAAAGCAAATGAACTATGATAAGTTTTTCTACTCTTAGACTTTCAGTGGAATTTAATATTGTGTGTGCACTTAGGTGTACATGCCACAACACACATGTGGAGGTAAGAAGACAAGTTTGTGAAGTTCCTTTTCTCCCACCTTTCCGTGGCAGTGGGAGATCAAACTGAGGTCATCAGGCTTGATTACCTGCTGAGCCATCTTGCTGGCCCTATTTCAACAGTATTGAACAGTTTAATTATGATATGTCTTTGTCTATTTTCTTCATGTTCCCTCTGCTTGAAATCTTGAAATTTGACTTGCTGTTTTTATTAAATTGGTAATACTCACTTCATGTCATATAGTGCTTTTTAACCTGGCTGTAAGGAAGGATATTCTTCCTCCAGGTTTGCTCCTGATCCATGGCTTCTTTCCTCCTTGTTCTGCTGGCTGTCCCACAAACTCCTTTACCAGATCTTCAGAGTTCTTTTTAGGGATAGTGTCTTTCTCTAGTAATTCATGGTCTCTACTAGACTTTTAGCTTAACTCAGTTTGCCTAGATTTTCCCTCCCTGTTACAGTGCCTGGGAAACACTTAAGGCAGTTAGCAAGTAGGGCTTGCATGGCTGCTTCTCATTTTTTCAGGAATCATTGTTCTCTATTGCATATGTCAAGAGTTGTGAAACCTATACCCTAAATCTTATGTTTTTGGCTAATTAAAGCTGGACAGTATACTTGATCTCTGTTGCCATCTAATAACTAAAAATAAAAGTTTTTATGTTGAGATTTATGATTTTGTGGTTGAATAATTCCAGGTGATACATAGTGTTGGACAATAAGTATATATGAGTGCAGTGGGAACATGAAGGGAATTGAACTTTGACGTTAACTAAATGCATGGATTTCAGGGTGAAGGGTTAGACTATAAACTGAGAACCAACATTGTGGAGGTTTGACACACCTTGTTTTCTGTTTGATTATGTTAATATTCTTAAACTTACATTAACTTGTTTTGCATTTTTTACCAGATCCTTCTGATAACTTAAGAGAGATTCTCCAAAATGTGGCCAAATTACAAGGTGTATCAAATATGAGAAAGCTGGGCCATTTGAATAACTTCACTAAGGTAAGCAGCTTGAAACTATACTGTTATATTCTTTTTCTTGACTCAATAAACATTTCCTATTGATCATTAAGAAGAAATTTTGAATACTAACTTACTGAGTTACTGAATTATTTGCTTGTGGTTTTCTAATTTTTCTCATTGATTTCGTCCTGTTTTAAGTTTCTGAGTTTACTGTTGTCTATGCTGATCTCAGAACCCTGCTCTCTCCCCGAGGGAGTGGAGCTGCAGTCACACATCACCATGCTTTGCTGGCAAATGCATTTAAATAAGAGGAGTATGTTCGTATTGTAGAAAGTTCGGTGGGCTCAGAAAATAAAATAGAAACGAAACAAATCACTAAGAAGCCTATAATCCAGTCTTTTATTGGCATAGTATGTTGGTGACATTAATATTAATTTGTTAAGTATTTAGAAACAAACGTAGTTCTCAGAGACCTGTTTGTATTTTCTTTCACTTACTTACCCTGATTATTTATTCTCACAATTTGTACCTAAATTCGAGCTCAAGTGGAATACATTTTCTGGTTTTATTCCCTTTTACTAAATATCAGTTTTATTTTGCTGATCTTTACATGACTCAGATAAGCCCACTTGCTTAAGTTAAACGATTAAAAACAATTTATTAGGCTTAGGAATGCTGTCATAACTGGCATTGGACACCTCAGTGTGTTGCTCTACCTTCCCGGTATGTTTTGGAAACTAGGGATAGTTGTAAGGATGGCTGTGCCTGTTCTTGCCAACACTCTGGAGCCAGCTTAGTTCCAAAGCAGAAGAGTGCTGTCTAGTGGGGATCAATGTGAACACTTAAAAGAGGCATGTGAACTTTATTTTGTAGTTTGCACTGTACTATTCCAGATGATTGCTGTTTGATGTATCAGACATAAATATCATTTGACTGTTTATACTGCATCTTCATAAGTAAATGAATATTTTATACTTAGACATGTCTCAGTTCCTGCTAGCTATGTTTCTAGTATTAATATCCAACTGTGACAGCCAACTGCCAGTCCTTGGATGGTACTGGATGGGACTTCTGGAGTGGGGTTGATTTAGCCTTTCACTTTTAGGGCAGTACTATTTCTCCTTTCTCTGCTCCTGTGTTGTTTATGTTTTTTTTTTTTTTTCCTGTGCAGGTCCAGGCATTGGTGTGTGGGTGTTAGTTTCTTTATTCTCTTTCCTCCCATTCTTTCTGGCTTCATCTCACTTCATTAGTTTTTTTCTCTACTTGGTCTGTGCATCTTAGATTGTATTCTCAAATGATCTTCTCTCTTTCCTTACCATCTTTGGGCTGTCCCCTAACCACCGTCCCTGCCCTTCCCTTCTGCTCCATTCTCTCCTCTCTTTTTCCTAATTCTCCCGTGCTTTGTTTTTCCTCCTCTCACCGTGTGGGAATTTCACCACTGTATAGTGATTTCTGTGATGAAGGCCCAAGTGTGTGTGTTTTGTATTTTTAAACCATATTTTAAAAGTAACTTTTACCTTTTTGTGCTAACTTATTATTGCCTGTCTTGAGGCACTTGTGGATTGGGAGACCAGGTAGTCAGACTGGGTAGAAAATGTCTACAGGAAGTTCAGAGTTAGGTCTAAAGCACTGCCTCATAAATAAACTCATTAACTTAAACATGATAAAATTTACTGCGACTATTTAATAATATAGGAGACAACTTTAGTTCAAAATTTACAGTCCAACAAGTAAGTAAGTATCAAAGCAATCCTGGGGAAATTCACAGAATATTAATGTCTTCAGATGCAGAGCACTGAGCTTGTGAGATAGCTCTGTAGCATAATGTATGGCAACTTGGGGCTCATTTTATTTGGATTTTAATGTTTACCTGTTTGCTACTTTTTCGTTAACTCCAAAAAGATAAGCCTGTTTAATAGTTGATTTGTAGGCTGTTAATCAGGATTTTTCAGTGTTAGCTCTCTTGACTTAGCAGGTAATTATTTTGGAGAAAGGCTAAGCCTTGTTTCTGGCTCTGCCTACTATATAGCAGAAATATTTACTTAACACACCTGAGTGATAAGCAAAAAGGTCCCCAGGAAAACCAAATGTTCCCAGGAGATAAAATGCCCCTATTTAAGAGCGTGTGGATTTTGTTAATAAAATTCACTTGTTTACCAAGCACAAGCATATACTGAATTTGACTGTAATAGTAAGCTTCTAATCCATATTGTTAGAGAGTTAGATGAAAAAGTATGTATTGAGCTGGCATATCTATAAAGGCTGTATGTATATGTTCTTAGTCTGATTTAGAGGTTCTCAAAAGTCTCTTAAGAATGGCTTGATTGGCTAAGAAAATAAAAAGATAGTAATTATAATTCTAGAGCTAGTGGATATTCTCTTTACGTTAGAACACACACACACTTTCTCTCTGCATTTTAGCTCTTATTGTAAGCTAGAGGGTACTAACCCTTTAAACTAAGGTTTTCAGACAGATGAAGTATTCTGCGAGTTTTTACTCTTCAACTTTTCTTTACCCCAACATCTATTCTGTACCAGACTTTTAACTGTAGCATTTTAGGTAGATAAGAGATTTTTCATCTTAGTAGGAACTTCTGTTTTAACTAGCCTTTGTTTTACTGTTAAGTATAACTCTAGTATTAGTGTCACTGGTGCTAACAGGGTGAACTTCTTTCTTAAAACCTCATAAGCTCTGAAGAGAAGGAGCTTGTGATGTGATCTTTTCATCATGTGACTGCCACACACCATACTTTCCCTCTGACATCACTAGATAGAACAGTGTGTATAGCAGACTGATGATGAATATAACCTCAGTGTTCTATTTTTAAGACAGGCAACATGTTCACAATCTAGAGACCTGCCTTCTAAAGATGAGAATGCTCTGAAAGTATCTTTATTTGCTATTTTATATATTTATTATATATGTGTATATAATTTGCTATTTTATAACTTTATTCACTTAAACTTTTAAGGTGTGTGTATGTATTATAAAATGTGAAAATGGTTTAGAGATTTTACAGTAAAAAGAGAAATCCTTTTCTCATTTATCCCCTTCCCTCTCTAAAGCACTCTACCATTTTACCAGAGGTTGTGATTAGAAGGCACTGACCTTTTTCTGGTAACAAACAATGTGTGAATATGTTTATGTATATGGTTTTATTTATATAAGAATTAAACAAACTAGCCAGGTGATGGCGGCACACACTTTTAATCCCAGTTCTTGGGAGGCAGAGACTGGCGAATCTCTGTGAGTTCCAAGGCCAGCCTGGTCTAAAACACGAGTTCCAGGACAACCAGGACTGTTACACAGAGAAACCCTGTCTCTAAAAACCAAACCAAACAAACAAATAAAACCCAGTAAACCTAACAAACAAGCAAAAAGTGTTTTGTAAAGTGTTCAGTTTTATTTATAATTTATTATGTATAAAATGTATTTTTCGGTGAGTTTAAGATATAAATCTCTTTTATATATATATTTGTCTATATGTGTTGTGTGTATATATAAATTCCCTTCTAAGACTTAGGCTTGGTGGTGCATTCTGTAATCCCAGCTGCTTTGAAGGCTGAGACAAAAAGATCTCAAGGGCTTGGAATTAATGAGATGACTCAGTGGGTAAAGGCATTGCTGCCAAGCCTAAAGGCTTGAGTTCAGTCCTAGGAACCAAGTGCTGGAAGGAGAGACCTGACATGTGGTTGCTGGGAATTGAACCCAGGTCCTCTGGAAGAACAGCTAGTGCTCTTAACCACTGACCCATCTTTCCAGCCTGCAAAGTTTTATTTCAAGATAGATACAAAGGAAACCACAGTGGAACAGAGTGAGACTGCTGAAGACCAATGATGAAAAAAAAAAATCTTTAAAAGATTCTGAGTTAAAAAGACATGTTTCCAAAGAGCAGACAGCAAGACTTAACAACCAAGTGGCTTGAAATGTTAGGAAGAAGTAGCAGCTAAACTAAAATTCAATATAGTCACCAAAATGTACCTTCAAAAGTGAAAATAAAATCATTTTCAGACAAATACAAACATGGAGAACTGTTAACTACTAATCTAGGCAAAAATCTAGTCAAACACCAGCAAACGGTGTCAACATTAACAACAGCTTTTGACCAATGAGGAAAAAAAATGTGGCATTACAGAAGAACAATGAAGGGCGAATGAATATGGGTATTAATATAAATTATTGATTATGTATCGATTGAGACAATCATCAGTTAATAGTAGTGATATCTTATGCATTTTGAAAGATTAAAAAAAAACTTATGGGACATGAGGGTTAAGAGTAAATAAAGTCAATGTAATGTGAGCTTCCAACATTGAGGATGTGGTGAAGAATCATACATTAAAGGAACCAGCAATGCTTGGGAAGACAGTTGCAGCCAATGAGAATGATAAGTAAGTGATACACTGGGGAAGAGAAACAGAATAAGAGACAGTAGGAAAAGGGAAAAAGAGTTCAATCTAACATTGTGGCTAATAAAAGAAAGATGGTGGAATAATGCAGCACATTTTTGTATGTAAAATGATAGGGTTTTTTTTACAAATTTATTCAAGAAGAATTCCCTATTTTGAGCTTTACATTGTACATATAAATATATAAATCTAAATTTATATGCAAGGTATTTTTGTGTTTCTTCTAACAGCTTCTTTGTGATATTGGCCATAGTGAAGAAAAACTGGGCTTTAATTATGAAGACATCATAATTTGGTAAGTTTAGTTCAGTCTTCCTCCCTTGTAACAATTTAAATAAAAGGTAGGATAACAGCATCACATGCTTATTTCTGTAGAGTTGATGGTTGGCCAGAAGAGAAATATTGGATCTTCAGTGACTTTGTTAAGTCATGAGCCTTAGTTGAGCTTTTGTGGTTGCTGAATATAAAGAACTGAAGTTGCTGTTCAAAAATACCCAGACTTCTCTAAAGGTTAAAATTAAATATTAAATCTGCAGACTGAATTTTTCTGACTCTTCCCAGGAATAATACAAATCAATAAATCTAAATTTTACCTATGAAAGTATGTGCGTGCCTCTTACAAGTTTGTTGTATGGAAATAGGTTATTAATCATTACTGCTTTTTGACGTTCTTAAGAGTTAAGATTACTAGTGATGTGTGTTTGCTACTGTTAAAGAGTTTGTTATTAATTTAAATTAATCCTTTGGGATTTGTGGAAGCATAGAAACAAAGGATACATGGCAGAAACATATCTAAAGATACACTTTGGAAAGACTCTATGTGATTTCTTCTTGTATTTACACAATGTGCCAGCACATGATTAAAACTCAACATTTGACTAGATTATTGAGACTGGAAAAAACACAGGTTAACAACATTACCAAGTGAAACTCTTTACTTTGGAGTAGTTTTTTGTTTGTTTGTTTTTATAGAATTAATCTTACATAACCAAAAGTTTGGGATATCCTCAACTGGGGAAGAACTTGATGTGGGTGAATACCTAAAAGTCAGAAAAAATCGGGATTGCTCCAAAGTCTGAGACTTTGTTAGTTATTTTAAGTGTTCAAAAAGATTAGCGTTCTAGAATTGCAGATGAAAAATACTCAACTTTTGGACTTGAAAGTAGTCCAGTTTAAAAATACCAGGAATCAGAAATACTTTTCCTCCTGTGCATTTCAGATGAGGGCTAAGGAAACTCTTCTGAAATTTTGTATGTCTTTGAAACTCATGTAATAATGAGCTTTTTTGTTTGTTTTCACGCAGTTTGCGCTTAGCTTTATTAAATGAAGCAAAAGAAGTGAGAGCAGCAGGGCTGCGAGCGCTGCGCTATCTCATCCAGGATTCCAGTATTCTGCAGAAGGTGCTAAAGTTGAAAGTGGACTATTTAATAGCTAGGTAATTTTCCTAGAATTGCTTATGTTTTGTATGTTTTTAAAGTTTTGTGTTCAGTTTTAGTATAGTATCAAATGTGTATAGATTTTTTTGGTGTAAAGTGTGACAATTTTTGCAAATATATATGATCATGTTAGACTAAGGGCATTTGTAGCATAACAAGAATTCTCCATTATATCTCTAAGCAATTGTAAAATAGTTTTCTCCTTATAGAATAGATTCCCTGTCCTTGCATTTCACATTATATATTAATATATATAATTAATAAATCTTAAGTATACATCAGTTATTCTTTTCTGATTATTTGTAAGGTTCTTCCATGTTGATATACTTTTTGTCTTTTAAATTTATTTTTGCTATGTAGTATTTGGTTTTAAGATTAGAACACAGTTGAAGGAGGATGCCCTGAAATTTTTGTGCAACTCTGTGAGGCTCTCATTTCTTACAAACGGGTGTAGAAATAGAAATGTTGGAACAAGATGCATGTGTGTCTAGCCTTGAGAGATATTGCTGTATGAATTTTTTAAAGATATGGCACTAATATACGTCAGAGACCTTGACTTGTTTGTGAGCTCTCTTTGTATTTCCTATAGTTGTGTGGTTGTTTCTTTGAATGTGTATGTTTGTTTGTTTATGTTGTTTTGTTTTGACATGGTCTCAATACATATTCTAGGCTGACTTCAAACTTAGGATTCTCCTGCCCCAATCTCTTGAGTGCTGGGGTTACAGACATGCACCAACATATGCGGCTTAGATTTTGTAATGACATCAATGATTAAAATTTTTTTTTTACTGTTTTTAGCCACTAAGATATAGAAAATAGGGCATATTGTCTTCTTCGATAGTGATCTTGGCAAATTCAGTTTATAGTTCTTCTAGTTTGCAGATTATATTGTGCTTCCTATGTACATAAGCATTAATGGCGAATGATGGCTCTTATTTCTTCCAATACTTTTAGCATCCTTTGTTACACTGCTGAGAACCTTATTGAATTGGAATGTTCTTGAGTTCAGGTGCTTATTTTTCCAGGGTTATTCTCCATTTCCCTTTTAGAAGTAGTTGTCCAAAGTAAGTTTTTTAGTCTTTATGGTTGGTTTTGGCAGGAGAATTGGTTATAATCCAAGTTAATAGCCAATAACATAAATCTCGTCTGCATGTGTATATATGTGTGTGCCTGTGTATGTTGTATTGCTGAACTTGAATAAGCAGAAAATCTAGCTCTCCCTCACTTACTTTTTAATTATATTTAGACAAAACAAAAATGGCTTTGAATAATAACTTACCTACCTATAAAATATTTGGTAAAATACTCAACTCCCTAATGTAAATATTTGAAAAGTAATTTTGTTGAAGTGATACTGGATCAAATGTTTTTAAAGAGAATTCTGGATGCAAATTCTTTAGTAAAATAGAATTTTTGTTGTTTTGTTTTGAGACAGGCTCTCGCTATATAGCTCTGGCTGTCCTGGAACTTGCTTTGTAGACCAAGCTGGCCTTGAGCTCACAAGAGATCCATCTACCTCTGCTACCCAAGTGCTGGGTTAAAGATGCACCACTATGCTAAAATAGGATTTTTAACATTGAATAAGACAGTTATTATAGATTCAATTTAAACCTTGATTAAAACAAACTAGAACAAGGTGGAAATATTTTCCTATATAATTTACATACATTACTGTAATTTTTTATCAGGTAGGTAAAATTTTTCAGTATATCTCTGATACTTTGCTTTGTGCATCTGTTGTGATATCTTTATTTATAGATATATCACCTCATTTTCCTTTGATATTTTAACCGATGTTTCTGGTAACATTTATCTCTAGATATATATAACTAAGTATTGGCTGTTAGTGGGAAAGCATGTAGTACAATTTTTTTTGAAGGTTTAATTCACTGTATTGGATTGTGAAGGTAAATTGGAGCCAACATTCTGTAAGGTATTGTTACGTGGGATTTCTCAGTGACTGATGTTTTGTGCTATATAGGTGCATTGACATCCAGCAGAGCAATGAGGTGGAGAGAACACAAGCACTTCGCCTAGTCAGAAAGGTACGCGCCACGTGTGAGAGCATGAAGGCATATCTAGTTGATTAGAGAATATTTTTATTAAAACTTAAAGAATGAATGTTCATTAAACATTTAAATTTTGTTATGAGGTAAGTAGATCTGTTAAACATAATAAATGTGATTATTTGTGTATTTAGTCTATGATTTGATAGCTTCTTAGAAAATGATTATGTTGAGAAGTATTTTTGTCTATAGTGGGCATGTAAGTGTTATTACTGCTTTGTCATCCCTTAATGTGTACTTCTTCTAGCTACTAGTATAAAATATCACAAACAGGAAGTTACTGCTTTCAAGATAAGTTTGCACACAACCCATGAGTGTAGTATGGAGGAGCGGGCTGCGTCCCACCGCCTGGCTAGCTTAACCTCCAAAATAACCACACAGAAATTGTATTAATTTAATTACTGCCTGGCCCATTATATCTAGCCTCTTCTTGGCCCACTCTCACATCCAGATCTAGCCCATTTCCGTTAATCTGTGTATCACTACAAGGTTGTGACTTACCAGGAAAGATTCACATCTCTGACCTGGCGACTTCATGGCAGCTCTCCCTGTCTGCCCTCCTCCTCCCAGCATTCAGTTCTGTTTTCCCACCTATCTAAGTACTGCCCTATCAAAAGGCCAAGGCAGTTTCTTTATTTAACCAATGAAAGCAACACAAATACAGAAGGACTTCTCACACATGAGAATGTGTGATAAACAATTTCAGCAGATAGCTTTGCTGTATACAACACCACAGTTTAAGCTTAGTGAAGGATTTGATTCAAGACAATCCACAAAGCTTCTGAGATTCCCTCACAGATTTTACTTTCAGTTGTTGATGTGATGGTCAAGAAAGTAAATTTGGTTGGGACACATCCTAAGACAATCATTTCTTTTCCTTTGAGGGAAACTAATTCATAAAACTAACGCAAGATATGTTTCCGAATGGGAAGATATCCTGTTATTACTGGTATTTTAAAACTGGGTCTTGCCACGTAGCTCTAGCTGGACAAACTACATTTTGAAGCCCAGAATGGCCTCAAGCTCTTTATTCTCCTGCCTCAGCCTCCCTAATGCTGGAAATGCAGGTGTTTACCACTACATTCACTTACGTACACATAAAATTTTTCAACAATTGAATTTATTAACTATGTCTTCTTTTCCTTGTCTTTAAATTTATTGCATGTTTCAGATGCTAGATTACAGAGTTAGTATACTGTTTTCTCCTTTCCCTCTTTTTTTAACCATAGTAAGAAATAAGGAAATGGACGAGTTTCTTTAAAGAAGATTGAAATTCCAATGAAAGTGATATTGGAGCGTGTCTTAGTCAGTGTTTCTATTGCTGTGAAGAGACACCATGACCATGACGATTCTTATAAAGGAAAACATTTAATTGGGGTGGCTCACAGTTTCAGAGATTTGTGGTACATTGCAGCATGCAGACAGACATGGTGCTGGAGAAGCATCTGGGAATTCTGCATCTTAATTCACAGGCAACAAAAAGTAAATTGCCACTAGGTGTAACGAGCATAGGACACCTCAAAGCCCACTCCCACAGTGACACACTTTCTCTAGCAAGGCCACACCTACTCCAACAAAGTCACACCTCCTTATAGTGCCACTCCTTGTGCGGTCATTTCCTTTCAAATTGCCACAAGGATAGGCTTTGAAACTTTGGTTTTAAGTAAAATATTAGAAGAAAAGTAACTGACGTACTCCATAATTAGTCATGGGTTAAGCTACCCTAAAGCTAAAGAAGCTAGGTTTTCAAACGTGTGAAGGCACATAAAAAGTCTGAGTAATTATTTTTTCTTCTTGTTTACATACCTCATTTATTCGACCTTTTTCTTCAGTGTCTCTGATCTTTTTTTTTTTTTTTTTTTTTTTTTTTTTTTTCATCTGGTATTTCTTTCTGGTTTTGTTGTACATGTTTTCTGCATAGTTTTGCCACTGGCCAACTGTTCCTGCTCTCCTTTTCATTTAAATTCTACTAGGGCTGACAAGATGATGGCTCAATCAATAAAATACTTGCTACATAAGCATTAGGACCAGAGTTCATATCTCTAGTAAAATTGTGAATATAATAGCTCACTAGCATAATCCCAGTGCTGCAGAAAGGGTAAGACAGATCCCTGGAGTTCTTGCCCATCCAGTTTAACTGAGTCACTGGGCTCCAGGTTCAGTGAGAGATCCTGTCTCAAATCATAAGATGAACAGTAACTGAGGAAAACATCCAACATTGACCTCTGGTTTCCACATAGTGGGACCTGTACACATATACATACCCCTTCACATGTACACATACATAATACTATATATTCTGCTTCTTGCCATGCTAGCTTATCTTTGCTATATTCATATGGAATGTCTTTATTCATAAAATAAGAATTAATACTATCGGGGATTAATGCTATTAATATTAATAGGAATTTATACTGTCGTTTTCTGTTCTTTGTACCTGTAAGAATTTCATTTGGTGGAATTAGATGTCCTCATTATACTATACCACTAGATAGTGGGAAAGCCAGAGTGAGAACTCAGTGTCCAGATTTCCAAAACTATATTGACTAATAGGTGTTAAGTACAACCTGCCTACTTTGGTCCTGCCAACCATTTCTATCTAAGCTGTCATCTTATGACACCATACATGTAGTATGCAAAATACCACCATTACCACAATTACTGCTTGCTTCTCATTTCCTCCTCTTTCCACCCTCAGTTCACCTTCCAGTCACAACACAAATTTTACCTTTTTTTCTAAAATCACTGTGTGTATCTGCTTTGTGTCAGTTGTGTAGATCTATTGTCTAGGCTTGCTCCTTGCTTATGTGTCTGTTCGTGCCAGAAAAGATGACTATAAATAGTGGCCACAAAGTATCAGACATTGTAGGACTTTTCCTTTATTGAGGTTAGATAAATAAGTGAGGAAAGCATCCTTCCATCTCATTGACTTAGAGTTTCTTCGCTTGCATCTCCCTGGAAAATATAAACCATAATTTCTATTTATAAAATTTAATTTTATGTATTTTGTCCATAATCTATTTAATAGATAAAGAATATTTTTAGTAGTCATATAAGATTTGTAGGTAGAATTTCTGTATTTGAAATTGTTGGCACAATTTCATTGTTTAAATCTTCCTTTTCCATGTAAGCAATCTCAAAAAGAGGATTGATTTGGCAAAGAAAATATACTTTATTACTTAGTAATCTGTTTAATTTGGAAAACGAAATTATCTTAGCTCTTTTAGAAATATATCACATGAAATTTATTTCTAGATAATTCTTTAAATGTTTTTAATTAAAAAAAAAATATATATATATATGCCGGGCAATGGTGGCGCATGCCTTTAATCCCAGCACTCGGGAGGCAGAGGCAGGCGGATCTCTGTGAATTCGAGACCAGCCTGGTCTACAGAGCTAGTTCCAGGACAGGCTCCAAAGCCACAGAGAAACCCTGTCTCGAAAAACCAATATGTGTGTGTATGTGTGTGTGTGTGTGTGTGTGTGTGTGTGTGTGTGTGTGTGCATGTATGTATGTATGTGTGTATAGAGGGCAGATGCTATGTGCACATGGTTGGAGGTACAGAAGCCAGAGGTGATGGATTCCCCAGAGTTACAGGTGCTTGTTAACCATCCACAGTAGGTCTTGGGGAATGAGTTTGGGTCCTCCAGAAGAGTAGCTGTAGTGATAACTCCTGATCCATCTTCTAGTTCTTTCCTAGAAGTTCTCTTATTAACACAAGAGCTATGTATAACATACCAGCAAAAATTAAAATATAAGATATGAGGTTTTTCTCCCCGGGAAGATCATTTTCCTCCTTTATTTGGTTAGTGGGAAGAATTGATTAAGAACAACTGGGACACCTTACTTAGAGTCTAGTGATTGGAAATGTTTATCTTATGATTGTGAAATTGAGTTCTTTAATTTCAGTTGAACCGTGTAGTATTACTTATTGCTGCTTACATGACATAAGCTACCTGTGTTACAGCCAGACTGACCAGCACAGATGGTTTCCTTGGTCCTCATAACCTTACCTGAGTGTCTTTCTCTAGTCATTTTGTATCCTGTGTCAGAACACAAATTTTAATTCTTCTAACAGGTTTCTAACTCCAGTAACATCAGGAAAAGTTACTTTTCTTCCTGTCAGAACAAAACTTCTTTTCCTGCCCAAGGCTGTTAACTTCGAAATAGTTGATTTACCACATAGTCTGTATTAAACAGTAGTTTGCCACCTGCTTTATTTTCTTCCTGCTTTTTAAACCAAACATAAACGGTCTTGACATATTTCCAGAATTGCAGTTAATGTTATTGAATGTTCATCCTTTGATTTAGGTTTACCCCAAGTTTTATTGCAAGGTATATATACATATGATCTACCTCAGAATTTTTCACACATCAAGAAAAGATTCTGAATTAGTCAGGCTGCCTTTTGGCATAGCAACAGGTAGTGACAGCTAAAGAGTTTTGACTGGATGAAGTTCAAATAAGTTTGATCAGGCAGGAGGAGTGGAGGTAAGTGTCAGGGACACGGTGATGATGGAGCAGCACAGGTGTGTGTCCACTGAGCGACATTGTGGACACCGAGGAGCTGTGTAAGATGCCACTCCTATTCTGGAGAGACCTAGAATCTTAGAAATAATCTTGTTTAGTGATTAATTTAGTTTTAAATTATTAGAAAATAATCAGGACCATTTCCATAGTAACTACTGTTAATATTTACTGTTAGTTATAATAATAGCAATCTTTATAGTTAAAACAATCCTTTGGGATGTCCATACAAAGCTAAATGTTAAAATTGGTGCCTTGATCTTACGAGAATTTTGTGCCTGAACTATCTCCATCTGAATAAAATAAAATTTTCAATGTAAATGACTTACCTTCTGATTCTTCTCTGTTACAGATGATTACTGTGAATGCTTCCTTGTTTCCTAGTTCTGTGGCCAACTCACTAATTGCAGTTGGAAATGATGGCCTTCAAGAAAGAGACAGAATGGTCCGGGCATGCATTGCCATTATCTGTGAACTAGGTCAGAATTTTCTTGAAGTAATGAAATGTTTTATAAAGTCCATATAATATTACCTAATGTCCTTAGAAGAAAAGTGCTACAAAAATAAGAAAATGTTTACTTCTTATAGGAAAGTAGACAATGTGCTATTTGACAATTCAAAATTCATATTATTATTGTGTAAATTTTCAAATTTATTTATTGTAAAATTTGATTGTCTTCAATCCAGTAGTAATGAAATCTACTCGTGTAACCTTCTGACATTGATGATACTATGTCTTGATATGGTTTAAAGTAATAGTTTACAGTGCAAAAAATTAATCCTAATAAAACCCTTTGTATTACAGATCAGAGATTAGAGCGAAAAAAGGGAGAGTAGAAACATGAATATATATTTATCTGGGCTTGAGAGGAAAGTCGGTTGTGAATTATCATACATGGGTGGTAGCAATAGAGTTTACGTTAAGGAACCAAAAACAAAGATTGTTGGCAGATCAAACAAGCAAAATAACAAGTGTAAAGTAAAATAGTAAACACAAATAATCCCTAAATACCTACTTTAAAAACTTTAAAAGTTCAATTTCATTTGTTATCAGTGGAATATAATTTTAAGTATCAAGAAGATAATGATTTTTTTCTATTGCCAAAAGTACAAATTGTGGAGGTCATATTTCTGCTTGGGATAATAAATAAATTAATAAAGTTTAAGTTACAAAAGAAGAGCCACTCTACCACTGAAGACTCAAAGCTAGAGGTCAACATACATTATCTTTCTTAGTTACTTTGTACCTTATTTTTTGAAACAACACACTTAGTAAACATTGTTTAAAATGCTTAACCATATTTTTGATAAAGTAACGAATGAAGTTTAAATATTGGAAAGCTGCTAGTTGTCACTATAAATATATATCAGAAAACTGAATCAAGTGAAGAAGTGATCTATGTGATTACTACTGTGGAATTGTGAAAATTTAAATTTGATATATTTCAGAAATAATCACAGTAGAATAAACAAAAGAAATATATAGGAAATATGGTGGTTTGTATGGAGAAGATGCTTTTGAGTGTGTCAAATTGAGGTTTAAGAAGGCACAGCTAACCTGTAATAAAGAGAGATAATGAAGACAGCGATGACACGGGAAGAAGTACATTGGACCTTCTAACGTAGTTAAGTTCTACATCAAGCAGATTTGGGCATGGGTATAACTGTTCAGATATTACTGACCCATACCATTGAAATCTGCACTGTGGTCCTGTGTGATTTTACCTAATTTTAGAAAACAGGAGAAAACCTAACTCTAAAGTCCAGAACAAACATGACAGAAGAAGCTCTAGAAATATTGTGGAAAAAAAAATTGAGGAGAAAGGAAACTTTCTTTTCATATTATTTTATTTTTGCTTTTTGTTTTGTTTTAAAGATTTATTTATTTATTATGTATACAGTGTTCTGTCTGCATGTATGTCTGCAGGCCAGAAGAGGGCACCAGATCTCATTACAGATGGCTGTGAGCCACCATATGGTTGCTGGGAATTGAACTCAGGACCTCTGGAAGAGCAGTCAGTGCTCTTAACCTCTGAGCCATCTCTCCAGCCCCCTCATATTATTTTTAAAACTATTAACATCACTCATTTTTTTAAGAGAAAAAAACCTTTAAAAAAAGTTACTGATCATATTTTGAAAAACACAGTGGCATATCATTAAGAATAAAAACCCTACTGGACATGACAACATATCCCCGTCATCTCAGCCTTGGGAGCCAGAGCTAGTAAGACACCAAATTCAAAACCAGCTTGCACATATAGCAACACTGTCTCTAAAAAGAGAATAGGTATAATTAGAGAAACATGATGGGATAATTGTAAAATATTTGTGGGGAAAATTGAGTTTATTATCTCAGTGAATTTCAATTTTATGACAGATTGAAACAGATGAAACGTAAGTCATTAAGATGCATACATGTCTGACCCACATGGTGATAGACACTCAGGACACAGACAGAATAGTGTGTGTGAGACTGTCTGAGCTCTGTGCTGACTTTTAGGCACTGTTTCCAAAACAAGATCCACAACAAAAAGCAGAAACTGCATGTGAGGGGCAGTCATGGTCTTCAAAGTAAGAGAGAAGTTTTTTTATCTTTAAGTTACAAAGGGGTCTGTGTGGATGTATGTTTGCATGTATGTGTTTTTTTTTTTTTGATAAAAGTAAATGATATACACTATTTGAAGCAAATTTTAAAATAACAAATACTATAAAATACTTGAAAAAAATCACTGAAGGGCTAGTGTCTCCACAGTAAAATGTACTCTGAAATTGAAGAAAAATACTAAGTAAAGTAAGTCTGAAGAATATGACAAAATTGTTCAAAGACATTTTAAAAATCAGGCTTGGGAAAAAGATAGTAAATGACTCTTAAGTGAAATCTTTTACTTGTAAATATAGTTACTAAGAAAGTTTCCAAATCCAAAAGGAAACTTAAGATTTAAGTAAAAATGTAGGTTTTAAATACTTAATACTATGAATATAATTAGTTTTTCTTTCATTTTAGCACTTCAGAACCCAGAGGTGGTAGCCCTTCGAGGCGGACTAAACACCATCCTGAAAAATGTGATTGATTGCCAGTTAAGTCGAATAAATGAGGCCCTCATTACTACAATTTTGCACCTTCTTAATCATCCAAAGACCCGACAGTATGTGCGAGCTGATGTAGAATTAGAGGTAGGCACTTTTAGTGTTTCTAATTTAAAATACAATTCTTAAAAATAATTAATGTGTGTCAGGGCTCTACCTTGGTGAATGTCTGTGCACCATATGTGTACAGAGCCCACAGAGGCTAGAAGAGGGTGTCGGAACCCCAAGAAATGGAGTTTCAGATGCTTGTAAGGTACCATGTGGGTGCTGGGAATCGAACTTGGGTCCTATGGAAGAGCAGCCAATGGTCTTAACCCCTGAGCCATCTCTCTAGCCCAAAATATATACATTTAAATACATAACCTTACTTTGAAATTTTGAGATTATAGACTCAAGTGCTACATTAACTATCTAACCTGTGTTAGTTTGGTTTATTCTCATTTTGTATAGTTATTTGATTAGTAATAAATTAAAAATGTTATCAGTATTTCAGCAACATGCAAAATAGTTCATTTTGTATTAGCCCTAAGAAGTTTCCTGAGCAAACTAAAGGATGAGTAAAGATTATACTAAGGCACCTTCTAATAAGAAATTCACTATGTTAATATTGTCTATTTTCTGCTAATTATGTTCTGTTTATTCATTAAACAATACAAAATTTTTTAACATAAGAACCACTTTGGGGACTGAAGAGATGGTTCAGAGAGAAAACTCTTTAACATGTAATTTGACAGCCTGAGTTTGGTCTTGGGACCACGTAAAAGCTGGACATGATTCAATTTTGTGATCCCAGAACTGCCTGGAAGCTCCTGTAGGAAACTCAGGGGCAAAAAATCAGCAAGAAGAATTCTTCCTCAGAAATAAGGTAGAAGAGAGAACAGACTCCCAAAAGGTGTCCTCCAACCTCCATGTGCACACCATGGCATATGTGTACCTATGCTCACATCATAAGCGTGTGTGCACACACTTATACACATCCTAAATTAATAATACAAAAGGGGAAAAATACTTTGACACTATCTGTAATGACTGTATCTTTTAAAAATATGAATGTACCTTTAAAAATGTCATATGTAAAACATTTACTAATTTAGGTAGAATTTTTATATATAAATTACTGAGGTTACTATATTTTCTTATGATAAGGTGTTATTAACTGAGGATGGCAGCACCTGACTATAATCCTAGCATTCATGAGGCAGAGTAGGAGAAATGGGAGTTGGAGGCCAAACAGGGCTCCTAGTGAGACGATATTGGACAGAGCAGCTATCACAAGTTAGATCTTAAGAGTTGGTTTTGAATGTAATACATTATTGTTTGTTGAAGATAGCATCTAAAATAAATTTAAGTCGAGAATTCAAATGAGATTTAGAATGCTTACCATTTTCTAATTATCCCTACAATTTTAGGGCAGGAGCCTTAAAATGTTGTGGTTCTGATTTTATTAGGATGTTTCCTCTCCCCTCCCCCACCTCTCTTTCATGTGATCTGGTCTTACTATGATCCCTGAGATGGTCTCCAGATCGTAGACTCCTACCTCAGCTTGCCATGTAGGTGGACTGTAGTCAGCACCAGCATTCTTGCCATTGGGACTATTTTTAGAACGTTACAGATGATGAAACTTCATCAGACTGTCATTACTAACAAATGTAATAAACATAATAGTCTCTTAGTGATTTTTAAATGTATTATTCATTGGAGTCCTATGCCAATGGGTATTACTGATCTTTCATAGAATACTTAGCTTTAATTTTTATCAAGTTGAATAATTACTATTAAAAATTGAAGATGTTTTTATTTAAAGAGAGGAGATGACTCAAGGTATTAGCATAGGCTTTTTAAATTCTATACATTATAAAGCAAACTAGCAAACCTTTATGTAAATGAAAATAACCTGTGAAGACTATGATATATTTTTAAATAAATTCTTATATTTTATGCTTGCAGCCTTAAACATTTTTTTCCCTTAATAAGATGTTACCCCAGTGACACAAAGCCTGAGAGGGTCGACTATAGGCTGTACAGGTTCTGTTAGATGATGAGAATATAGTTCCCTCAAGAACATACTATATTAGGTGTGAATTTATCGCATGATCTTGCTAACTTTGTGGCTTTAGACAAGTTATTTTAGTTTTTCTTGACTTAAATTTTTCTTTTTTTTAATTAAACTATCTATTTTCATTATACATACAAATCCAAGTTCCCACTCCTTCGCCTCCTCCCTTTCCTCTACTTACCCTCCCATCCACTCCTCAGACAGGGTAAGGCACATTTTTTGGGGAAGGTCCAAGGCCCTCCCTATTATACCTAGGCTGAGCAAGGTATCCATACAAAGAGAATAGGTTCCCAAAAAGCCAGTACAAGCAGTAGGGATAAATCCTGGTGCCACTGCCAGTGGCTCCTCAGTCTGCCCCAGTCATACAACTGTCAACCACATTCAGAGGGACTAGTTTGGTCCTATGCTTATTCCTTCCCAGTCTGGCTAGAGTTGGTGAGCTCCCATTAGCTCAGGTAGACTGTTTCAGTGCATGTCTCCACCATGGTCTAGACCTCTTTGCTCATATTCTCACTCCCACTCTTCAGCTGGACTTTGGGAGCTCACTCCAGTGCTCCACTAGGTCTCTGCCTCTCTTTCCATCAGTTGCTGGATGAAGGTTCTGTGGTGATATTTAAGATATTCATCAGTTTGACTACAGGGCAAGGCCAGTTCGGGCCCCCTCTCCTCTATTGCTTAGGGTCTTAGCTGGGGTCATCCTTGTGGATTCCTGGAAATTTCTCTAGAGCCAGGTAGGTTTCTTTGCTAACCCAATAATGGCTCCCTCAATCAAGATCTCTTTCCTTGCTCTCATCTCTGTCCTTACTCTATCTCGACTATCCTGTTCCCTCAAGTTCTCCTTGCCCCTCCCCTTCTCCTCTCCTTTTTCCCTTCCATCCAGCCTTCTCCCCCTACCAGATTCTCAAAGTTATTGGAATAAAGGTCTCAGTTTAACATGCAAAATATTGTCTTTAAAATATCATTCTTGGGATGGTGTATGCCTTTAATCCCAGTACTTGGGAGACAGAGGCAAGCATAATTTTCTGAGTTCTAGACCACCCTGTTTTACATAGTGAATTCCAGATTAAGCAAGGCTACATAATGAGACCCTGTTTTTTTGTTTTTGTTTTTTAAAAAAAAAAAAAGGAGAAGAAGAAGAAAAAAAAATCCAATTCTTGGGACTGGAAAGGTGGTTTCATGGTTAGAGCCATCCGCTTTTCCAGGGTCCCAGTTTGAGTGTCAGCAAACAGCTCTTGTAACTCCAGCTCCAGGGACACCTGCCTCCTTGGCCTCTGCGGACACCCACACTCATGCACATGTGGTCACAACACGCACACATAGTGAAAAATAATCGAAAGGAATCTTTTAAAACCCCGTTCTCATTGCTAAGGAGTAAAAAATTCCCTACGTTCTGTTGAAAGCACTGGCAGAACATACTAGGATGTCAGAACAAACAGATAGACCTAGTGTTACTGGAATTGCAGTATAACTGCCTTGGAGTAGAATGATTAGCTGCTTTCATTTATCTGCATAGAAGAAAAGATCAACCACCTCTAGTGGGAGATAACATCAGGTAGATCTTTTATAAAATGACTGACAACATTCATTTAGAGTTGTCTAGTCATGGACTGGCTGGCTCAATGTATGAAATGCTTGGTATAAGCACAGGGACCGAAGTTGGCCTCTCCAGCACCCAATGAACAACTGGATATGGTAAAATGTACCAGTGACAGATGGGTCCCAGGGGCACAGTACCTTATGGACTAGCGTAAACAATGATCTCTAGGTTCAGTGGGAGGCTATATCAGAAAATACGGTGGAAACGCGTGTGTGCTTGGACAGACAGTTCAGCTCCCAACATACATGGTTTCTATTCATACAAAAAAAATCACATTACTGAAAACGCAAAAGAAAAAAGTTCTTAGTACTTGATTAGGCATAATCCAAATAGAAAAGAGTTTAAGTAAACCATACTTAATTTGTTCTGGAAAACAATTGTAAGTGAAAATATGATAACTTTTGTCTTATAATTAGACATACAAAATGAGTCAAGTGAAATTTCTAGTGTGAAAAATAGATCTAGAAGTCAGGATTCTGTGAAATTCCAATTTTATTGTGGACAAGGAGATGTCAATAGGAAACTGAAAATAACCAGAGTAAATCACAGAGAGGATGAGCGGCACCCGGGACACAGAACATCAACACAACAGTTCAGTCCTTAGGGAGGAAAGAGAAGATGAGCAGAAAGCAAGGATCCACAGAAACAATGACTAAAATTTAGCTTCGAGATTTAACTACATTTTTCAAATAGAATGTAAAAGAAAATAAGTTGTTAGACACTCCATCCTAAGACTGCTAAATCCAGATTTCATAAACTCAAGAGCAACTTAAGGAGAAGAAGAAACCAACAAAAAGGCACGTGACTTCAAAAGAACCTTTGACACTTGATTTCTCAACAGTCAATGGAAACGGGTGTATTTGGTAATCATATTGGGTGCTGAAGGAAGATGACTGCCAACCCAACACATTTATGCCTGTGTCTGCTTTGTTTTATAGATACATATTATACCTTAATTTATGAACTAAAAATTCAGTTAATGTACCCAAAATCACGCTACATTTTTTAAATGAATTTGAAGATTAAATAACTGAAACAGCTAATCCTCTTAAAGACACAGGAATGAAATTAATTTTGTGTTATAGAATGCCTTTTATAATAAAAATTGCTTCTGTTTCTACTTCCTTTTCTAATTAGCGAATTTTAGCACCCTATACTGATTTCCACTACAGACACAGTCCAGATACAGCTGAAGGACAGCTCAAGTAAGTACCATGAGTTTCTGCTAGGGCGTGTGGTGTCTCTATACTTATATTAAGTGCTACGTTAACACTGATAGTGTACAGTGCTAGGGAGTGGGAGTATACGTGAATGTCCTATCTCAGGGCTTACGTTGTACTCTCTGAGTTACATAGTATACACTAAAGGAAGGCTTTGAGAAATTTAAATGTTAATTTGTGATCTTCACATTGATACAGCACTGGATTCCTTTGATTTAGTAATTGTTTGATGACTGAAGATTACTGAGCCTGCTGTGTAGAAAAGCGGAAGAGAATGCTGGTTGACAAGCTTCTGTGGTGGGCGTGGGCTCTTGCTTCTGGAGCATCCTTGTTGCACAGATCCTCATTCAGCTGGCTGTGCTCTCGTGCTCAGTTGAAGCCCAGCAAAGAGCAGTTTTCAGAAGGATCAAGATTTCTAACTTAGTTATAAATCATGGTGTAGATTTTATTTTTATTCATTAATTTATTTGTGCCTTTCTGTGTTATCTCTGACTAGCCAGGAAACTGCTGTGTAGCCCAGTCTGACCTTGAACCTACAGCAGTTCTCCTGTCTGTCTCCTGAGCTCTGAGATCATATTGTCAATTTAAAATTAAAAATCAATTTATACTAATAGTTGACTAATTGTAGAGTAATGTGCTCTTTTTCTAAACATCTTGTTTTGATTTCAAACATAAATACTTTAATGAAACTCACCTCCTTTTTTCTCTTGTGTCTTTACTAATTCCCCATTCCCACCCTCCGACAGAGAAGACAGAGAGGCACGATTTCTAGCCAGTAAAATGGGAATCATTGCGACATTCCGCTCATGGGCAGGTAGGTTCTATATGTTGCTCAGTGACGTCAAAGAATAGACCTTAATTGGTTTTTCAAATGTTTAATTGTTGTAGCATCTAATTTAATTACAAATGTAGTTTTACATTTATGGTATTATAACTAAGGAGATTTACACAAAATGATTACAACACAATGAAGAAAGTTTATAATAAGTAGGATATTCCATTCTGTATATACACATTCATTATACTTGCAAGACTGTGCTATTGATTACCTGGACATTTTAAGAAAAATCCAGCATGATCTACATTCCTGAAGAAGACTCGCAAAGTAAAAGACAAAACTCCTGTATCATGTATTGCTGAAGCTTCTTACTTAAAATCGTTTAGTAATGTCATAAGTAGTAGGTATGTTAGGCAGGGTGTTAGGAGTCTCAAACATTGTTGTTACTTGTTTTGAACCCAGGGCTTTGTGCCTGATAAGCAAGAGCTCTATTCCTGAGCCTCATAACCAGCTCACCAGAGTTCTTTAATATCGGATTATACATGTTTCCTCATTCTCTGAAGTCAAAAATATTTTTTCATAAAGTAATATGGCCATTGACTTTATTTTCCGGCAATGATTATCTTCTTAGTATTCCTGCAAAGAGAGCTTGTAAGGGAACGTTAGCATAAGCAGAACAAAGAAACTTCCTTTAATACTGCTGTGTATTAAGTAACCCTATCTTACAAATACCTTTTCTATACAAATGTTTATCCTAGCCACTAGGCTTTCGCTGGTGTGTCTAGTGTGCTTCTGCCATCTTAGTACCTCAGTGAAAACCTTGCCTTATCTGTTGTGCTTACCTTCATGGACAGCTGAAAGGTTGTGTGTGAATGAATGTAAGAGTAAATAATAATAATTTTAATACTTATTCTAATTTATTTTTTATTTCCAAAACTAAATGCTAACAAGTATGTGATTTATTTTAAAATTAAGATTTATGTAGTTTTTACTTCTGGAAGCTGAAATGTTCAAGAATGTGGCATTAACCTCATATGGCGAAAATGACAGACTGCAAGCTCCAGACTTTGCTCTTGTAGAGTTAGTTTTGGGGATTTGTTAGGATGACCTCATCTAATCCCCAGTCACCTCTCAGAAACCATCAGTGTGCATTTGGGGACTGGGTTTCTGGCATGTGATCATTGAGGTCCCTCAAGGCTGAAAGTATAGAGCAGTGCATCCTAGCCCCCAGGTCCTCTTTAACAGACACAGCTTAGGTCCTCCTGCTAAGGAGGATGCTGCTATTTTCTGTCATTAAGTGTCCTCTGTTATCTCCAGCTTAACTGCTGTCAGCGCTGTTTTTGTTTTTCCGAAACATATTGATTGCACTGTGCTTTAACTACCAAGATGACCTAACTGCTCACTCCTCGACCTTCCTTCTAGACTATTGTTGTCAGCCTCTGTTGAAAATTCACCTCATATTATACCACACCCAAAAGGAAGCTGGTCATGTGTGAGGAGGCTTATAGAACGTTTCGCCTTCCTCTGAGCAAATGGCCTACACATAGAAAAAAAAAAAAAAAAGAAAAAAGAAAGAAAAAAAATAGAAAATTCACCTCATACATTCTTACTAAGTGACTTTCTCCCAATGCCCTTTATATTGACTTGTGACTAGAAACTTTAAAACTTTCTACTTTTTGTTGAACGATGAAAATAGTAGCATTTCAAGTTCCCACCTTCAAAATATTTTTCTAACAGAAGCATTTTCCTACATAGTGTTTAGATTCTGTGGCAGTGTTTATGAATTAAATAAAGTGCTACCACGATGACAGGTTTCAAGTTCCACATAACTGATGGGATGGTAACTTCAGCAGCACAGATTTTCCCCAAGTGTCAACAGCCTTTCTCCTGTGTTAGCAGAAAAGAAGGTTTATACCCCTTATCATAATCTCTGGCTTCTCAAGGTGTGAGAAGTGCTCTTCAAGAACTTAAGCACTTAATTCTGCTTACTATGTTTAACTTGAACTTTGTTTCTAAGTCTAAAGAGAAATTATCACTTATTCATGCATATGGACATACAAATCAAACATCCTTAATATGAAATCCAAATTGCTTCAATAGCTGAGATTTTTTTTTTGAGTGGTGACATAAATAGAAAATTTTACATGTGACCTCATGTGATTAGTTACAGTTAACACAAGAACATTTGTCTTCTGGATATGTATATAAAGTATATATGAAGCATAAATGACTTTATGTTAGGTCCATACCTGAGTTATCCCATGACAAATGTGCAGGTATTCTGAAGTTTGAAAGAAAAAAATCAGAATTTGAAACATATCTGGTTCTAAGGATTTTTGTTAATGGCTGCTTGGCCATTGTAGTGGTGACAGAGAGCTTTAGAGTCCTGTGCGACTACCCTAACATTTTAATACAAAACATTTGGAAGAATTTTGAAAACTGCTGTGGTTAGCATGTATTCCTACTGTGTAGATTTTGTATCTGTCTCCACTATCTGCTTGTCTGTCTGTCCCTATGTGTCTCCATCATTCCATCTAAGTTTCTGTGATGTACTGTGAAGAAGCTTGCAGATGCCAGCGTTCTTTAGTCCTGGAAAAGGTGCACATGCACACTCTGGTTAGCTGCTCAGCACAAATGTTCTCTTGTGCACTGCCATCAGCCTGTGTGAGTTCAGTTGCTCTGCATCCTTTGCAGTGTTTGCTGTTATCATCCCCAGTGTTAACTATTTTAGTGTAGTGGTGTCTCTGATACAATTTGCATTTCATGAAAATTAATGATACTGAGCATTTTATGCTTGCTTATCACCTATTTACATATCTTTTGTGACATAAATTTTTAGTATGTTCAAAATTCTGCAACTTAAACTCTTTGATCCGTGAATTTAGAGTGTGTTACTTATTTTCATATATGCATTCAACTGATTTTAGAAATATATTTGACAAATGTCACATGGGTTTTTTTTTTTTTTTTCTGTAGTCTGAGGAGTATTTGATAGGAAAATACTGTTGTTTTTCTCTCTCATGTTCTTACTTCCAGACAGGTATTCATGTATATACCTTGGTGTTCATCAGTTTCTAGATATGAAATAGAAATTGATGAGGAATTTAGGTGATGGACTTAATGACAATTTCCAGTCGGTGGGGATTGTCAGAGAATACTTGGTATCCTTTAGTTAGATGATATCAATTAGAATAGCCAAGTAGTATAATTTAACTTGAAAGATAATCACAGATTTTATATCATGATATATTATTGTAGAATTTCATTCTTATTTTTTTTAACTTTTATCCTCCTTAGGTATTATTAATTTATGTAAACCTGGGAACTCTGGGATCCAGTCCCTAATTGGAGTACTTTGCATACCAAATATGGAAATAAGGGTAAGTAACAGTTACTGTAATTCTTACATGCCTGGACTCTTAAAAGTTACATTCGTGACTGAAGAGAAGGCTTCTTATTAAGAGTGAGCTGTGCCCTGCTCTTGTGGAAGACTCAGGCTGGGCTTCCAGCACACCTGTCATAGCGACCTGTGATTACAGTTCCACTAAAGTCTAATGCCATTGGTCTCTACAGTCATCTGCACTCATCTCAGGCTGGTAACTTTTAGTGTAGAGCATTGTACAGCACATGACTACGTAATAGTAATATATGGATCATTTAAAATACTGTTGGGAGTGACAATTCTATTAAAACTTGAGTTAAAATTATTAAAACAATGCAAGTGAAACAGAAGAACATTTTTATTTTAAAAGAATCAAACCTATATATATCAAAAAGTAGATGTATATTTATGTGGTCATGCTTTGTAATTTATATATTTTTGATACCATTGTTACCATGTTTTTATTTCCAAGATGGTGACTGTCACTAAAACTAAGTTATTTATGTCTTGATTTATTAGATATTTTTATAAATGGTTATAATTAAGACCTTTATAGTAAGTAGCTAAAAACAAATTGAATGTAGAGGGGAAAAAATACATTAACTCTTAAGTTCTCTTTTCCCTTAAATGTTTTTGTTTTAATTTTGTTTCTCTGTTTTACCTCCTAGTTGGTTTTCTTTAAATGAACCATACCTGTAGCTGAACAAGCTTGTGAGAAAACCTTGGCTAGGCATTCCTTGCTTACAGTGTGAAATAAAATGCACTAGACCATGGAAGTGGGAGGTGTGCTTATAAACGAACACATCTCGAGCAAGGAACAAAAGGAGCAACTTTGTTGACCCTTTTTGGGGTGTTGGGAATCAAACCTTGGGACATTGTAGGCAAGTAGTTTGCCACTGAGCACACTCCTGCTGACTTCCTGGGCCTGGAAAGAACTGAAATCTGTTTTCAGATTTGCACAGTGGTGATAAGGAAACACTTTCTTGGAAAAAATTGACATATTAAATATTTAGTAATTATCTCTTCCCTAATATAATCTTGATAGAATGTGATAGGTATGTTTTTATTAATTTTGTCATTCTTTGAATATGATCTTTTAAAAGTCATTAAAAAACTTTTGTAGAAATAAGTGACCTGTATTTGTTCTTCTAGCGAGGTCTGCTTGAAGTGCTCTATGATATATTTCGTCTCCCTCTACCTGTTGTGACAGATGAGTTCATAGAAGCCCTGCTCAGTGTAGGTGAGTACTAACACCTGCACTGGGATCTGTTGCTTTTAAATGACTTGATGGAAATAAACGACAAATTGGTGAAATACTAATTTGAACATCACTTTCTCTTCTTTCGGGAAGTTAGACATTATCTGACTCATAAAGTTACAGCTGCTATGCCATGTGTGTGTTGCATGTGAGTGTGCAAGTATGCTCACTCCGTATGGGGCTTCTTCCTCTGTCACGCCCTTATTGTTTTGAGATAGAGTCTCAGTGAACCAGGGCCTGATTGTTTCAGCTAGTCTGGCTGGCCCTTGAGCTCTCCAGATCTGCCTGTCTTCACTCCCAAATGCCACTGTGACAGGCACACACACTACTTGACAAGCACAGACATTATAGAAGTGTCCACATAACAGGCCCAAGTAACCACCCCTTTGCCAGTCATGACAGTCTCTACCACTCCACAAGCTGATTATTTTTAAAACCCCCTTGAAGTTTTCTGTAGTCTGGATAGCTGATAGTCCAACACTCATCTTACTCACTGTTACATAATCTGGTAACTACCTGTTTTAACTCTTTTAGATCCAGGAAGGTTCCAGGACAGTTGGAGGCTTTCAGATGGCTTTGTGGCAGCTGAAGCAAAAACTATTCTTCCCCATCGTGCTAGATCCAGGTAGAATATAGATATAAAAATGATTCATTTATTACCATTACTGTTTTGGTTTTTTTTAATATTTATTTATTTATTATATATACAATAGTCTGTCTGTGTGTATGTATGCAGGCCAGAAGGGGCACCAGACCTCATTACATATCATTACAGATGGTTGTAAGCCACCATGTGGTTGCCGGGAATTGAACTCAGGAACTTTGGAAGAGCAGGCAATGCTCTTAACCACTGAGCCATCTCTCCAGCCCCCACCGTTACTGTTTTTATGTTATGTAGAACATGTAAATTTTTTTATGTGCTTTTATTTCTAGACCAGACCTCATGGACAATTACTTGGCACTGATACTTTCTGCATTTATTCGTAATGGACTTTTAGAGGTAATGTTTCGACACCTTTATTCTGTCCGTTAACAAAATTCGTTAGAGTGAGAAACAGATCTGATGCAGAAATGTGTCTGTGTGCACCATTGTGCAGCAGTGATGCTTTCTTCTTGCCGCCATAGGGCTTGGTTGAAGTGATAACGAACAGTGATGACCACATCTCAGTTAGAGCGACCATCCTTTTAGGAGAGCTCTTGCATATGGTAAGTATTATGACCTCTGGTTATGTGGTTAAAATGTGTAGGATTTTAAATGATAAAACTGGTTAATTGGATGGCATTACTTTATGATAGCTCAGACAGTACATTTTCCTTTTGCCAAAGCCCTTGATTCCTGATAGAGATGTTCTATGTCTATATTAACTGGTTTTATAAATGTAACAAGTACTGAATGTTGATTTTTTTCTTTAACCTCTTTTAATGTTGATATTTTGATCCTGTAAACCTTGATTGCATTCAGAAAGGCATCCTAACTGAAGAAAGCAAGAAATAAAAAATACAAAACCATGAATTTTATGTCTGCTAGGAATGTAATCCATACATTGTAGTGACTTATTGACCTTCAGAAAGTTTAGTGAAAAAGTTTTAAATATAATACCTGAATATCACTGATGTCCACAAATTAATACTTTTAGGTTTAAAGAACGAGATTCTTTGGGTAGAGGCTTCAGCTAGGCCTCCTTGATTTTTTTTTCTGACATTTACTAACTACCAGAAACTAGAGGCTGTGGGCACTTTTCTATACTCTTAGTAAACTGAATAGGGAAAGAATTGTGCATTATAAAGATTTGTACTTGTAGGTCACTACCAACTGATAAAATACTAAATAAAAATCACTTTGGACTTGATTAGGAAGAAGTGATTATTTTGATAGACCTTTTCATATTCACCATGGCTTGCTTTTATTGGCAGAAATATTTTTTGTTTGTTTTTGTTTTCTTAAGTGTTTCTGGCTGGGTGTGGTAGCACCTGGTCTTGATCTTAATTGCAGCACTCAGAAAGCAGAGACATGTGGATCCCTGAGTTTGAGGCCAACCTGGTCTACATAATGAATATCAGTGAATATCAAAACAGCCAGGGCTACATAATAGACACTGTCTCCAAAACCAAAAATGTGCATGTTTCCTTCTTTCTTCCCCCAACTCTTTTTTTTTCCCACATAGTAACTGAGCTGTATATGTAAGGTACAGGATTAAGCATTATATAAAATCTGTCTTCTTATCAATGACGTAGTCACTTTCTCTGATCTCATTGGCCTATCTGTGAAAGCACTAAGCAGTACTGCAAATTCTCGCATTAGATAAGCTGTATGTTAAGTCTCAAGATACGATTTCCTATAAAGATATTAGTATTTATTTCCTCTATATGGAGGAATCTTTTGAATTTAATATTTTCCCTCAAGTCTCAGAATTCTGTGATTATCATGAAATATAAAAGCTGACCAGACTGAAAGATAACAGTATTAGTTACATTTACTATTTTTATCATATCTTCTTATTTACATTTAATAAGTGTACTTATTTGTAGAAAACTGGTTGGGTAGTGGAATTTTTCCTTGCACCAGGAGATAATGTTTCTGTTTAAAGAGTGTTGCTACATGGCATCAGCATGTTCTGAGAAGGTTGATATCGTTTCTGTACTTTTCTCAAATATGATGCTTTGCTACCTAATTCTTTAGGTCATTTAAAATTCTCATTATTTTAAAAATATTTTAAATGTGTGTGTGTGTGCACGCGCGCGCACCACATGTAGGCATGCAATTGTGCTATGGTACATTGGGGATCAGAGTACAGCTTTGAAGGGGTTGGTTTGTCCTTTCTACCATGTGGGTCCTAGGATCAGTCTCAGGTCCTCAAATTTAATGGCAAATATTCTGTCCTGTGAAACCATCTCACTGGCTCCAACCTATCATTCTTAATGGAATTGGATGGGATTAAAAATGCTAAGTATGTGTGGGTGAAAAATAAGTTAATTTTATGAAAAGCCTTGAGTTTTATTAGTCTTACATACTATAATATGTCTGTAAGTAACTGTATTTGTTTCTAAAATCTCATCTAGGCAAACACAATTCTTCCTCATTCACATAGCCATCATTTGCACTGCTTGCCAACCCTTATGAATATGGCTGCATCCTTTGATATTCCCAAGGAAAAGAGACTGTAAGTATTAGAGCCTTAGCAAAGTATGCTTAATATATTTAGTATCTTCCTAGATAATCTTCTCTTTAAACACGGAGAGAAAACAAGCAGTATGGAAAGCTTGTGCTTGGGAATTACCTTTGAAAACCTCAAGGAAGGAAAGTTATGATTCTCAAAATATTGAATAATTTTATTTGAGACTACAGAGGGTTAGTAAATGATAAATTGACCTATTTCCTTTCATGTTTCTGAACAAAGATGCAGGCTTTACTGTATGACTTATGAGGGTTTGTTGTTGTTGTTGTTTTAATTTGCTTTTGTGATCTGGAAAAAGTTAGTATATGTCAAGCACAGTATCCCCTGCTAATGTAAATAAAATGCAATCCACTAGCTCTCTGGAGCTCTGAACTTTTCTTTAAAATTATACATTCTTCAAAAGTTTAATTAGCTTTAGTAAAACAAATGTTTATAAATGGGCCTATCAATAAATATCAATTATTTGCTTTAATTTTGCCAATAAATTGGCAATAAAAATTATGCTTAAAATAACAGTAATAGTAGCACTCCTAAGTTTTTGTTTATTTTATTAATTTTTTTAGCTCCCTAACTTCTCTTTACTAACAGATTAAGTATTTGCCAATCTGACTGCATCCTAAAAGTTTTAGACTCTATTTACCAAAAGTTCTAAGGTTGAGACTTGGTTGCTGCCAAATTCTGCAAAAAATTTTTTTTACATATAACAAGTAATTAAATAACTTTAACGGATTCTAATTATGGTTATCAGTCAATGCCGAAGATAGAGATGAGACAGTTTAGTTGCTACTAGGATCATTGATTATATTAATGGACAATGAAGTTTTATTGCAACTTGATGTAAATAAAAATCAGTTTCAAGTAGAACACTTGTGAAAAACAAAGCTTTAAAATGTGAATAAGAAAACTGGGTTCTTGACTTTCTGTAACTACCTGTGAGTATGTGTTTGGGGTGGAGGTTGCACTTGATAATGTATGTAGAAGCCAGGTGTTTCCCTGTGATAAGAGAGGATCTCTCTCATGGAACTAGGAGCTCACCCTCTGGCTAAGCTGGCTAAGTAGACCTGCGATCTGCTTGTCCTCACCTCAGACTCTAAGGTTACAGGTGCATACTGCAGTGCAGTCCTTTTTGTGGGTACTAGGGTTCCAAAGTCAGGTACCCTAATGCTTGCAAAGCAAATGCCTTGTGCATTGAATCATCTCATCAGTACTGCATAGGAATTCTTAAAACCAATACACAAAATGGGCCTACCACCTTAGAAGGAAAGATTAGTAAGTGAAAGTTTGAACCCAAAATGGGTTTTTCTTTATGTGAATCAGCAGTGTTGATCTGTTCTTATGCTTCCATGCTTCAGTAAATGTTTCCGTTTGCTTAGTAATCGCTATCCTTGAATTTATGTAAGTTTAAATAACTTAGCAGCTATTACTTTAAAAGTATGTTAGCCTTGCTACAGTATTGATTTTTCTTTCCTTTAGCCGAGCCAGTGCAGCCCTGAACTGTTTAAAACGCTTCCACGAAATGAAGAAGCGAGGACCTAAGCCTTACAGCCTTCATTTAGATCACATCATTCAGAAAGCAATTGCAACACACCAGAAACGGGATCAGTATCTTCGAGTTCAGAAAGATATATTTGTTCTTAAGGTATTGGCATGAATGTTACTTTAGTTTCCTAATTCTCAACAACTGGATTGTAGTGTACTTATACATGTTTGGGTTTTCAATTTCATTCAAGCATATGGGTTTTGAAATTACTAGTTTTATGTTGAAGAGGGACCCTGGAGCTGGGTTTAGTCTATGTGAGGGTAGAGTATGTGTTGCAGATATCTGTGTGAGGCCAGAGGACAGCAGTGTGCTGTTTCTCGAGACACCATGTACCTTGAGTTGTTTGTTTTTTGAGACAGGGTCTCTCATTAACCAAAAACTCACTGAGTAGGCTAGGAAGCTGGGCTGGCCAGCAGATACAGATTCCCTGACGCGCACCGCAGCCCTGGTCAGCTCTCTATGCACTAGGCCCCAGTTTGTGAGCTTCGGGCAAGGGGCTGGAGGTTGAGAACACAGACGCAGAGACAGACCGACACGCAGACCTTCCAACACTGGTACCAAAAGTCCCTCTTTATTAGCACCATGTAGGCTTAAATACCCTGCAGTCAATGGCCAACAGGTGAAAATCCCATCCTCTGATCCTCTAAGCTAGGCACAGCTTCTAGTAACTTTAATTAGAAGGTTCTAGGAGGGAAGAGCAGCTGAAGGTCACGACTCATTAATCCCAACAATTCCCCTCTTATCTTCTTCCATAGTGCAGCTACGTCAAGTGTGCGTCACCAATCTAAGCATGTGTAGGTTCTGCTGATTGAACTCAGGTGCTCTTGCTTGCAAGACAAGCACTTTATTAACTGAAACTTCTGCCTGCCCTAGTTTTTTAGGATTTTTATTAGTTTTTTGAAAACTATTTTTGAAGATCATTAATGATACCCTCCTTCATTTTTAAAATTAGAAATTAGTTTTCTGATGTGAGCATAGATGGTTTGATTGACCTTATTACTGTCTGGTAATTTTAGGATACAGAGGAAGCTCTTTTAATAAACCTTAGGGATAGCCAAGTTCTTCAACACAAAGAAAATCTTGAATGGAATTGGAATCTCATTGGGACCATTCTTAAGGTATGATAGAGTACTTTGTGGAGATTGCTAAACTGTTTTCATTTATTACTATAATTTATTATAGTTATATGCTTAGGAATTGCCAAATATACATTTCTAATGTAAGATACCATGTTTTTCTAGTGGCCAAATGTAAATCTAAGAAACTATAAAGATGAACAGTTGCACAGGTATGTAAAAACTATTGTGCATTTAAATTTAAAGAACTTAAATTTATATTAAGGTTAATGCCTGCTAAAAATAATCATTGATATTTTTAAAAGATGCATCCATTTTATGTGCAGTCTTGTAACCGGAATGCACTAGCTAATTTTCTTGATATTTATATTCTTCTTCCAGTTCTGATCTTTATGATAAGTTACTTCCTCTGGGGTAGTGTTATCTAGGTTGTGGTTCTAGCCCTGACACAAGGACAACATTAAGAAATGGCATCCATTTTTATTGGAGCACTTGTGCTTGCACACAAGTCATCTTCTGAGAGCTGTCTCTTCCCAACAGCGCTTATCTACACTGTAAAGCGTGCTGATGTCATAGCACATGCAGCATGTGAACCTGCTGCACTGTAAAGCATGTGGACTTCATGGCACATGAAGCTGCTCTCTACTGCACCTGTGTGCTTTTACTCATGCATGACTATAAACACTGTTACCAATCTCCTTGGATAAAAAGGCCTTACTTTATCCAGAGAAGTCCATATCATTAGCATTTCTTATATTGTATTCATATTTAATGGTATGCGACTTAATGTTTATATCAAGTTTTGAGAAATATATAGAATAGGCAAGTTACAGTGACATGAAGAAGTATAGTACTCTTGATATTCTTTAAGAATAGAACAATAATATAATAAATTTGTTTTGTAACCTCAGGTTATACTGTAGTGCAAGAACTTAAAGTGAACTATATTAAGTGATCACAGCATTGAAAGTTGTTGGAATATATTCATAAATCCAGTTAAGTTGGTATCTGTAAGAGGCTTCCTTGTATCTCTCCAGCGTTCCAGTCTAGATGTGTTATCTCAGTTTTGTTGTTGGGGATGTGGTGGCTGTTTTTAGTTTTGTTCCTTTGATTTTTTGAGGCATGATCTTGCTATGTAGCTGAGGCTAACCTGAAACCCACTATGTGGCCTGTCCTGGCGGCTTTCAGCTACTCTCTTTCTGCCCTTAACTCCAGAGTGCTGAGGGTTTTAATGTAGCCCATGCCTGGTCAGGACTGCACTTTCCCTACCAGGTCTCACTGGAAACTTCCTATTCGACCGACGTGGTTCCCAATGATATCTTATTTAAATGTGAAATGTACCAGCGTGCTTAGTAAGTTTCCTAAACTGTGCTCAAGGTTCTTTAATTGTGGTTTCCTACTTTGCTGCTAATTTCATCTTGATTTTAGGTTCGTGCGTAGACTTCTTTATTTTTACAAGCCCAGCAGTAAGCTGTATGCCAGTCTGGATCTAGACTTTGCCAAGTCCAAGCAGCTCACAGTTGTCGGCTGTCAGTTTACAGAGTTTCTTCTTGAGTCTGAAGAGGTAAGCCTTCTAGAGACTTTGACAGAAAATGTTTTTTGTTGAATCTACTCCTTTTTTCTCTTCTACTACTACCCTTAAATACACATTCTTTTTTCCTTTCCTTTCTCCTCTCCCCCCCCCCCCCCCCCCCCGCCTTCAGCTCCCATTTTCTAAAGAAAAGTCAGAGTACATAGCTCTCTCTGGTTTACCTGGAATTCACTTTGTAGGCAACATTGGCCTCAAACTCAGCAATCTGTCTGCCTAAAGTGCTGGAATTAAAGTGTATGCTAACACATCTGCCCATGTGGTGTACTTTTTCCCCCCTAGTTGGTATAAGCTCTATTTGAAATATAAGCTTAGACCTGTATTTGAATCCTGACATAGTCCTACCTAGTTAGGAAACCTTAGGGAATTACCCACCCTCTAGATGGCCTGGTTTCAGATAAGATGGAGAAATGAAAATAAAGAGGATCTCCATGTAACTTTTATTTTTAATTCAAAGGGATCAAACTCCACAAACTCGGTGATCCTGTTACCAGTGACTTAGCATCACTAAGATTTTCATGGCTATTAGAGATGACTTTCTAATTACAGGATGGGCAGGGGTACTTAGAAGATCTCGTGAAAGATATTGTTCAGTGGCTCAATGCTTCATCTGGGATGAAACCTGAAAGAAGCCTTCAGAATAATGGTTTGCTAACCACCCTCAGTCAACACTACTTCCTGTTCATCGGAACACTCTCTTGTCATCCTCATGGAGTCAAAATGTTGGAAAAATGCAGCGTCTTTCAGTGGTGAGCATTCTCTAATTATGTTGCAATGTAAGCCTAAACTTTAGTTTTAATGAGTCCAGATATACAATATGCTTTTTGTCTGTGTGCGTGTGTTTGGTAAATGCTTTTTCTTAGAGATATTTATTGATAAAGGATTTAAAGAATGTATGTTGTGCCAGGTGGTGGTGGCACACGCCTTTAATCCCAACACTTGGGAGGCAGAGGCAGGTAGATCTCAGTGAGTTCGAGGCTAGCCTGGTCTACAGAGTGAGTTCCAGGAAAGCCAGGACTGTTACACAGAGAAACCCTGTCTTGATAAACAAAATACAATGTATGCTGAATTGTTTTCACATGACCATCTCCTAAAATTTTAATCATCTGTGCTAATGGGTTCTTTAAAGAATGTATCAGCTGATAGGTAACTGTGTATCTAATCAGGTTGTCTGCTTTGAATATGCATAATTTTCTATTTTTCAGTCATATTTCAATTAAACTGGAGAAAAGTTTATTGAATTAATGAATCAACACAGTAATTTATAATACTCTTTTTTTTTTTTAGTCTTCTTAATCTTTGTTCCTTGAAAAACCAAGATCACCTGCTGAAGCTCACTGTTTCTAGCCTAGACTATAGCCGAGATGGATTAGCTAGAGTCATTCTTTCAAAAATTCTCACGGCAGCTACTGATGTGAGTATAACATGGGAGATAAACCTGTAGTTTTATAACCAGTTCTTTCCAGTACTTTATACATTGAACTAAGAATATGGGGAAGAAGTTGAGTTAGCCTTAACTTTTAGTTGTTATACGTACTGGCAAGGGACATTCTGTAAATACAGTAGTTTTTCCAGCACCCATCATATGCCACATAGGCTGACCCCTGTGGCTTGCCAAAATATAAGAAATTTGATGCATAATTTATGATAGTTGAGGATTGCATTCACATATTCTCTTTAGTAAACTTTTTGTTAAATTGTAGTACTGTTTGGCCAATAGCTTAGGCATATTTCTAGCTAGCTCTTACGTCTTAAATTAACCCATCCGTGTTATTTTGTGTTTTGCCACAAGGCTTGTTGTTTACCTGTAAGGTTCTCCAGTGTCTGTCTCCTTCGGCAGTAAAATGGCATCTCTTTGATTCCACCTACTTTTTCTATATTTCTTTTCCAGCCTGGCTATATTTTGTTAAGCCATTGGCCAAAAGCAGCTTCTTTAGCCAATGGCAATAAAACATATTCACAGCATACAGAGGGGAGTCCCACTTCAGACATGGCTCCCACTCCTGACTAAGAAGCTATCTACAATTGATACCTGCTTGCAATAGGAAAATTAAGTTTTCTCCAGTAGAGTCTCATTGGGTATATTGACCACTCTTCAAGGTTGACCCTGTGCCCAGTTGTTCACCAAATGAAAAGTGAACTCAGTGTCTCTGAGGAACTCTGTATAGAACCCTCCTAAGTTAGAAGGGAATGGCTGTATCATTCCCTCAATTCCATTCCTTTTGTCCATTGCAAATGGAATGGCTTTTCCAAAACAATAGTAAATATCTGAGATGACTTTTAATGTGTTCCTTTATCTCTTTAGGCCTGCAGATTGTATGCAACAAAACATTTAAGGGTTTTGTTGAGAGCTAATGTCGAATTCTTCAATAATTGGGGAATTGAGTTACTAGTTACTCAACTACATGATAAAAACAAAACAATTTCTTCTGAAGCTCTGGATATTCTTGATGAAGCTTGTGAAGACAAGGTAAAGTTGAACTGTATTGATATAATGAAACATTTAGACCGAATTTTATAATTTTTTTCCATTTTAATTGGCAGTTTTAGAAAAGTGTAGTATGCATAAACATTTTAGAACAGAGCATATGCTGTCTTCGTGTATTTATTAACTTGATGGTCATCCCTTTAGGCCAATCTTCATGCTCTTATTCAGATGAAACCAGCCTTATCCCACCTTGGAGACAAGGGCTTGCTCCTCCTCCTGAGGTAAGTACTAAGTACTTGTTCTTGTGGTGCTATTCTTTGTTGTGTCCTCTCAGTCATGTATATTAATGTTAAGTCCAAATCTGACTAAATACTCCAAATCTATTTTAAATTTAGAACTGAGCTGTTCCTTGTTTTGTCTATGCTTTTCATGTTTTTTTTTTTTTATTTTTATTGGGTTCAGTCTTTTTGCAAATTTGTTGAAAATTTATCTGCAATTGAGAAAAATTGGGGGGCTGGAGAGATGGCTCAAAGGTTAAGAGCACTGTTTTCCTAGGGGTCTAGAGTTTAATTCCTAAAAACCACGTGGTAGGTCCAACCCTCTGTAATAAGATATGGTGCCCTCTGCTGACACGCAAGGATGAATGCAAGCAGAACACTATACATAATAGATAAATAAATAAATAAGTAAATAAACAAACAAATAAATAAATAAAATCTTTTAAAAGAAAAAAAAAGCTGGAAGGTCAAGCACAATTTTGTCAAAGTTTAAAAGAGAAAAAACCCCTGGCAGACAAACTAAAACCTCAACAGCTGCCCAGAGGAAGACAGTGGAGGAGAGAAGGACTAAAGGCCATACTGTAATCTGGCATGGGGATGAGATGCCTGGCAGATGAGCAGCCATGTGGTGGGGAGTGAAACTTTAGAAAAAGAGGGAGGAAGCCTGGAATGCTGGGGGAAACCCAGAAGTTTTGAGGAAAGCATGCTTAGAGAAGAAAGGGAAACATGGACTTTTCTGTACCTGGTAGACATACAAATTGCATGGTTGCAGTGCTGTGGGCTTGAGACCTCGTGATGGATTTGGGTGATGGCTGATCTGTCTCCTTTCAGATGAAAGGAGGCATCAGGTGTGGTGGTCAAGGTAGCCCTTCAGCTTGTCTATCTAAAAACCATTCTAGCACAACTGTCAGATGCAGGGAGAAATGGAAGTCCTAGTGTTTGAAATTTTAATAAATTGTAGTTAACCTTTTTATTTTAGACAGGAATATTCTAAAGACTGTTTGTTTCTTCAGCATATTCTATAGGTTATTTAGATCTCTTTTAGACTCGATGTTTAGCTATGGTTGTTCTAATTTGCAGATTTCTCTCCATTCCAAAAGGATTTTCCTACCTGAATGAAAGGGGTTATGTAGCAAAGCAACTGGAAAAATGGCACAAGGTAACTTCTTACTAAATAATAAGATTTAATTTGTATACCCTTTCCTTTGGGAATTCAGACCAATCTACACTACATTAGATCTTATCTACAAAACAAACAAAAATAAATGCAGTCATGTTTGTTATCTTGGACTTCCTATTGCTAGGAAGAGACACCATGACCATAGCAACTCTTACAAGAAAAACATTCAGTTGGGGGTAGCTTATAGTTCCAGAGGTTTAATATATTACCGCCATGGCTGTGTATAGCTGTAAGCATACATGCATACATACATACATACATACATACACACATACACACATTCTTTATTCAAAATACAAAGGGGTGAATTCAGTTTGCAAATGTAAATAAAACTGAAATTTTTCATTTAATACTTTATCTTAAAAGAACTTTCCAGAGCAATGTATTTAGATCTACCTCATTTTTTAAAACTGTGTGTATGTGTGTAGTGTGTGTGTGTGTTGTAAGGGGATGGACGGCATGCATATGCTCTGAAGCATGTGTGGAAGTCAGAGAATAGCTCACAGGAGTCATTCATCTCCTTTACCATGTAGTCTCTAGACACTGAACTGGCTGTCAGACTTGGCAGCATCTGTTTCTCCCCATCAAAACTAACCACTGGCTACTACCTTATTGTTTTAGTAATGTTCCAGTCCTGCTATTAATGTTTATTTAGATTGTGTCCAGTACAGCCTAATTTTTTAAATAAATGGGACTTGCTCAATATTATTACATATAGTTATATATAAAGATATGTATTTCATAGTTCTAAAAGTATATAAATTGTATTAAATTATAAAAATATTATTATTACCACAAAAAATCAGAATTTAATCTTTAGTAAATGCTGCTATATTGCCTTCCAAATTGGATGTACCAATTTTTGTTGACAACCTGAAATGGAAAACTTTTGTAATAGAGATAGCAGTATGATATATTCAGTCTAAAACATTGAAGTGAAATTTTTTTCCAAGGGTATGTATGAAATAAATTTGTTTTTGATTTGATTTAATTAGTAAGATAAAGGATTTAATTTAAAAACACTGAAATTATATATTCCAGTTTTCTTTTTTAAATTTATACTGATTCTTCAGCATTTAATAAAATAGCAACTTTTTCAAGGAAACAGAATTCAAGTATGATTTTTAAAAAACATTATTTTCTCACTTACTTGGAAAGAGGGAAAAATTAGGCAGAACACTTTTAGATGGGGTAGAACATTTACCTTCATGACCCATGCTTTTCTTTTTCTAAAAACTTGTGAAGATACTTAGTTTTCTCATATTTATACTTCAAAAATTTGCTAAATATCTGACATAATGTAGTGACAGTTATTATGAAAATATAGACTTAATACTATTTTCCAGGAATACAATTCAAAATACGTCGACTTGATTGAGGAACAACTTAATGAAGCACTCACTACATACAGGAAGCCTATTGATGGTGATAATTACGTTCGTCGGAGTAACCAAAGGTATGGTCCAGTGAGTGGGGCCATGTGTAACTACCTCTCAAATGTCAAATTTAAAATCAGCCTTTAATAGGTCATTTAGAAAATTTTGAGGACTTCTGTTCACCGATGCAGGAAAAAATCTCTGCAGAGCAGTGCTTGCTCCAGTTTTCCAGTGGTGTATATTGTGCAACGCTAGACATGCGTGCTGAACATGCTTCGTGTCACTCCACTCATACACTCCATGTTCTCAGCCCAGTCTGCTTTTTTAGCTCTGCTTTGTTATCATAAACTGGTAGACCTGACAAAACTATTAGTTTTTTCAGAGGAATCCTCATTGTTTCCTAAGCTTTATTGTTTTGTTATAAATCATTTCCTGCTTATTAATAGTTGCTTACTTAATTAGCATACTTAAGTCTGCTAATAGCTTTCTCAGTTCATCTTTTGTCACACTAGATTACAACGACCTCATGTCTATCTGCCCGTACACCTTTATGGACAACTGGTACACCATAAAACAGGCTGCCATTTACTGGAAGTGCAGGTAAAAACATAATATGCATTATAAGTTATTAAAAGAGTAAAAGAAAAATCTTAATAGTGCTAAAATAAATATCTTTGCCAAGATTTTTCAAAAGCTGTCTTGTACAAAGACTTCTGTTGTCTAGCTTAACAGTCTGTCGGATCCCCAGGAGCCGTGTGGGAGGGAAAGATCCAACTTGTATGGGTTCTCCACTGATAGCTACAAGTATGTTGTAGCATGCGTGTGCACCCATGCACATACAGACACACACAAATAAAATGTTTAACAAATTAATATCTGTGATTAATACTAGGTAGTAAGTACTTCATATGTAAAAGATTGATTAACACACCAGGCCTTGTAAGGCAGGTGCTGTTATCCCTTATAGATTAGGAATTCAAGGCATGGGCAAGTTCAGTAGCTTTTTGTTCTGTAGAGTTGGCTTCGGCTCAGGTTGTATTCTTCATGATTTGCTGAAGAAATTACAATCACAAATATGGAGAAACTAAGTTGCTTTCTTTCTTGTATCAGAGGTTGAGCTGAACCTTAATGCAAATTAGTTACAAGTCCAGAATATGAAATCAAAACCAATGCCCTAAAGTGGCTCCCAAGTAAACTATATGTAAAGTCACTCTTAGAATTCTAAATGTGTAGAAATGACCAAAACAAACCTTTGGGTTGACTTGGACAAAGTATAAGGAAATACTTTAGAAGCATAATACATTGTTATTTATTTACATGGTACTTCTTTCTTTGTCTAGAATGTTATCACAGAACTCTGTCACAATGTTCGTGCTCCAGACTTGGATAAATGGGAAGAAATTAAAAAGCTGAAAGCCTCTCTTTGGGCCTTGGTTTGTAATGAATATTTCTGATCTTTCTAGTGTGTATGGGTTTTGTTTTTTAAGGTTCTACTCACTAATGCTAAATAAATTAAAATTATATTAACTTGAACTTGTTCTTAGATTAATATTCAAAAACCAGGATTGTTCTTACCAATTTAAAGGTTATTCTTATGCTGAAGAAATAGATGATTAAGATATTAATGTTTGCTTTTTGTTGTTCTTCTAAGACAAACAGCATGTTTGCTTACTCCTAGCACACCTTATTTAAAGTTTTGTTTCTCCTTCCATAGGCTTTTTTCTTTCCCTCTTATAGTTGGATTTAAATTTTTTTTGTAGCTTTTAAAGTTTCTTCAAAATATTAGTCATAAATATTTGATATTATTTCTTTTAGGGAAATATTGGCTCATCGAATTGGGGGCTTAATTTGCTACAGGAAGAAAATGTGATTCCAGATATACTAAAACTTGCAAAACAGTGTGAGGTTCTTTCCATCAGAGGGTATGTTACGTACCTGAGAAGTCTTTCTAGTGAATATAAATAGATGTAAGGAAAAGTATTTCATGATTCATAATTGTTACTTTAAATATGCTCTAGGTCCTGCTGTACTGCCTTCATTTGTTTTCATTATTTTTATTAGGGAGATTTACATGATTTTCATTGTGGTTTATTTATTCTTCACTAGATTTAATGTGTTGTTTTCTACAAACTGACACAATTTTTAAGTATCTTCTTAAGGAAAATGTATATACTCATATAGCAGATTATTTTATGGTTATTTAAGAAATCTCACTTTGGGATTATAAACTGTTTTTACTATGTTGTTTTTGTTTTGTTTTTTCCTGCAGGACCTGTGTATATGTTCTTGGACTCATAGCTAAAACCAAGCAAGGCTGTGATATTCTGAAATGTCACAGCTGGGATTCTGTGAGGCACAGTCGCAAGCATCTGTGGCCAGTGGTTGCAGATGATGTGGAACAGCTCTGCAATGAGCTCTCGTCTGTCCCAAGCACGCTCAGTTTGAACTCTGAGTCAACCGGCTCTAGACATAACAGTGAAAGTGAGTCCGCACCATCAAGTGAGTATTGTGATGGAGTCACAGGAATGAACATGTTGTATTTGTTACATTCCTCTTTTCTTCTTAGTTTTTGGACTATCAGGATACAGTCTTGTGTGACCTGAAACTTGCTAAATAGCTAAGGATGATTGGCTCTGCCTGCTTCTGCTCCTGAGGTACAGGCATGTAGCTACACACAGGCCCAAGATTACGTTTTCAAAGATGATGGTTTGGTGGTGATGCCCTATTAAAGGGTCTCTTCTCACAACAAATATCACAGTCTCTAGCCTAACTAGTTCTCTCCCATGCTTTTTGGATAGCTTTTGGGAATTGTGTGCTCAGAGATGATGATATGTCATGTAGAGAAGCCACTTCTGTTTGTTTTCAGAACAAACAGATCTAGCTAGATTTTACCTACCTTCGTTTACTTAATACTTTCCCTCTTTTTCTTAAGAATAAGTAACTAAAGTAGAATGTGTTTTGCTGAGAGTCATATCTTCATTAGATCTTACAGAGTGTGGGAGCCATATGTGTAACTCAGTTGTAGAGCACTTTCCTGTTTTATGTGTAGCTCTGGGTTTATGCCTCAGAATTGGGGGAGAAAAGGACATTGGTGGAAGTGTTAAAAGATACATGAAGCAGATGATTCAAGAGTTGAATGTTAATGGTTGTACAGAACTTAAGGCATGCTTTTTAGATTTAAGATGATAAATACAGGCAGGGCTTGGTGACAAACACCTTTAACCCCAGCACTTTGTGGGCAGAGGCAGGTGGATCTTCATGAGTTCTACACCAGTCTGGTCTACAGAGTAAGTCCAGAACAAATAGGGCTGTTAATTCAGAGAAGTCCTGTCTCAAAAAACCAAAGGAAGGGGAAAAGAAAAGGTGATGATAGGCTAGGCCTGGTTGCCAGTGCCTATAATTCTAATTCTTCAGGAGGCTCATGAATGAGAATCTCAAGGCCTGTCCAGTCTGTAGGATAAAGCCAAGGCCAACTTGGCCAATCATAAGAGGTATTGTGTTCCATCAACAGTACCCGTGAGAAAAGGAAGGAAAGGAGAGAAGTTGAGTCTGCAAGTATATCTTTGAAATTTTATTACTTAAGCCTGAGGCAAGAAGACTGTTGAAAATTCAAGACTAGTCAGGGATACATACTAAATTTGAGGCCAGCATGGGCAGTGTAAAATCGTGTCTCAATCATTGTCTATTACACTACTCCGTACTCTTTACTACATGGTGAAACTTGATTTTTGAGAAATTGCATATGAAAAGATACATCTTAGAGTTCACAGATATAGAAAGCTAGTGTAATATGTAAATTCACTTAGGATTTTACTTTGTCTTTTTTGAAAATATATTTAAAGTTCTTAATAATTACTCAATAGACCAGTTACAAACAGAATAAATCTTTTTGGTACTGTTAGGTACCTGTGGGTTAATTGATGTGATGTATAACAGTTAGACACTAAGTTTGATGGGCAAAATGGACAGGAAATATAATTGATTTAAATATGAAGCTTACACGTGTGCCTCTGTTATCTGTAAGTGTGGTTATCTTTTCATAGCTGTGTGATATCCCAGACTCTGTCCCACCTCTGTATCCATATCCATTGATGGTAAAAATCCTTTGAATAAAGTGACATGGTTCTGTATCTGACTTATATTCAAATCTCCCAAATATTTTATATATAATCATTAGATCCTTTAATACCTAATCTAAATACTCAATAGTAAATTTTATTCTTAATTGCTTAAGGAATAACAGCTAGAAAAGTATATGTACATGTTTAATTTAAGCACTGTTCTTGAATTTTTTTGGTTTCTGGTTAGTTGAACCCATGTATACACAACTTACTGATATGGAAGCCTGCAGTATTTAAAGTTTAGCAGTCTATTTCTTCTAAGATGAATGTCTCTTGCTGCTGTGATGTGAAGAAGCAGTCATGCCATGGACTACCAGAATGAGCATCCATGCTCAAGGGATTGGTTTCTTTTACTTTCTCTTTAATTTAATCCTGAATATTTTGAAAAATCAAAACTTCATATACTCTGTACCAGGATGAGTCTTGTGGTTTTTCTTTAGAAATAAGAGATCCTCAATAACACAATCTTCTAGTTTATTCATATTGTAACTCTGACCTTTAGGGTAGCATTTTTATTCTTTAATGTTCCCCCAGATGGCTGTTTAAAAGGTGGGCTAGCACTAAGCATTGTGATGAATTCTTCATCTTTGCATGCTTTGACAGCTGGTTCTCCAATTACAGGCATGTTCATACTGGAGGATGACCGGTTTGGCAGCAGCTCTACCAGTACATTCTTCCTTGACATCAATGAAGATGCTGAGCCAGCATTTTATGACCGACCTGGACCCCTAAAGGAAAAAAATCCATTTCCCTTTTTTGCGTCTAGCAAACTTGTAAAGCATCGTATCTTAAATTCACTTACTTTGCCGACTAAAAAACACCGCAGCAGCAGTGATCCAAAAGGAGGAAAACTGTCATCTGAAAATAAGACAAGCAACCGGCGAATCAGAACACTTACAGAGCCCAGCGTTGACTTTAATCACAGTGATGACTTTACACCTATCTCCACAGCACAGAAAACATTACAGCTAGAAACTTCTTTTGTTGTGAATAAACACCTTGAAGACACTGGCAGCACTCCAAGTATTGGAGAGAATGACTTAAAATTCCCCAAGAGTTTTGGTACAGAGAATCACAGAGAAAACACAAGCCGAGAGAGGCTGGTTGTAGAAAGCTCAACAACCTCACATATGAAGATCCGCAGCCAAAGCTTTAACACAGACACTACAACAAGTGGCATAAGTTCAATGAGCTCAAGTCCCTCTCGAGAGACAGTTGGTGTAGACCCTACAACTATGGACACAGACTGTGGAAGTATGAGTACTGTGGTAAGTACTAAAACGGTTAAGACAAGCCACTATCTGACGCCACAGTCTAACCATCTGTCTCTCTCCAAATCAAACTCAGTGTCCCTGGTGCCACCAGGTTCTTCTCATACACTTCCTAGAAGAGCACAGTCCCTTAAAGCGCCCTCCATAGCAACAATAAAAAGTCTAGCAGATTGCAACTTCAGCTACACAAGTTCTAGAGATGCCTTTGGCTATGCTACGTTGAAAAGATTACAGCAGCAACGAATGCACCCATCCTTATCACACTCCGAAGCTTTGGCCTCCCCAGCAAAAGACGTATTATTTACTGATACCATCACTATGAAGGCTAACAGTTTTGAATCCAGACTGACGCCAAGCAGGTGAGCTGTACATACTTAAAATAAGTGAAAGTGGTTGAATTTTAACAGATAGTCATATAAGACATTAGTCAGATTGAGCACCACAGAAGCCAAGTCTCAGAACTGACCCATTTACCACAGTAGGCTGTGAGCTCCTTGTTACCTGATATGATTTGAAATGGATTCTTGCAGCTGCGAGGGGGGAAGATAAACTCCACTAGGCCCTGAAAATAAACTTGTTTTGCAAGGTTATACAAGTCACAAGCTTTTTTTTAATTTATTTTTCGCTTCTGCAAGGATCGATTTTAAAAAGAAGCATGTCGGGGGAATCAGGAGCTTAAGACCTACAATAACAAACAACCTTTTCAGGTAGGTCAATTTAAAGCTCCAAAAGTTGACCTCTTACTATTTTTTAAAATAACTGAAAATTTCAGTTAAATTATTTTAGTTGGTTTTAAGTACATATAATTATTAAATAGGAACCTAATAAACACTAAATGAATTCCTGGGTCCTCAAGGCTAAAAAATGTCCCACTTATATGTTAAATATTCTATATTTAGATCATATCAAGCTATTAACAGTATACAGTTTAGGTTTGTTTTTTAAAATGATACACTTTGAAATTTGATCATTGCAAAGTTCCCCACTTGCCTTGTTTTTGTTATTATTTGACTTCTCATCGTTGAATTATATTCATTTAAATGATTTATATTCCTTTAAACAGATTTCTAGGTGTTGAGTAGTTAGACCAGTATCTAAAAAGTAAACACTAGTTTGCAGAATATTCTCATTTTCAGCATTGGGAGTTATTTATATAACCCATCAGTCTCATATCTGATTTTTTAGTAACATTTTTAATAAAAAGATCCTGGTAGCAGATAGTGAATTTTGTCCCCTCTTTAAAAAATGGTACAGTAATAGTTGGTGCAACTAGAAGTCATTATCTGTCATCTTTGTGAATCCATAACAGAGCCACATGCCTGTCAGCAAGTCATGGGTGTAGAGCTACCCCAAGCAACAGAGCTGATGGGTTAGCTTGTCTGGGCCTCCATAAGCTCAGTTGGAGGCTATGCTAGAGTCGTGCTTTTAAACCTTTAAAATGTTACTTTCTAAGCAGAAAAAATAATTTTTTTCTTAAAGGTTTTCTATAAAAACCCAATAAGCAAAACAGTTTAAAATGGAGCTATAGCTGATTGAAATAAAATTGGAAAGTGAAACACCCCCATAATTCTTCTGACTCCAGTAGTTCTTAGAGAGTTTTATAAAATCAGAGATATAACCATGTAAGGTTTGAAAAACATTGACTTCTTTTATAAAATTCATCAATTTCAGATACGAGTCCTCTTGGAAATTAAGAATTGTTTTTACTATTATAATCTTAATGGCAACTATTTAAAGCCATATTTTATGTGAAAAAGCACATAAAATTTATGTGTTTTATGTGAAATAATCCTTTGATTTACATTTATATGTTTTATAAGACTTGGTTTTCCATTTAATAATGTAAGACTTTGAATAGTGTTGTGTATATTTGGCAAGGCCTATACAGAGTGAACAATGTGTCTCTTGCTTGGTAATCAGTATGACAGAAATGTGTTTTATGGAGATGTCCTTTTACCATGGTTATGGAATCATTGTGAAGGGTGTCCTATGAAGAAAGGCTAGCGTTTTGTGAGATGTACCTTGTAATAATTACAAACGATTGGATTTTACTATGGTATATGTACCTTCTGTGTTAGACAAATATTGTTTGATAAGCAAGCATTAATTAGCCCAGAAGACTGGTGAGTAATCTTTCATGTGCTAATAGACACTCAAGTCCTGCGGTCTACTTACTGCAAACATAGTCTTTGAGCTGCACCTGTCTTAGGCTAGTTCCCTTTACTATTTCTGCAAATTGGTGGTGTTCTCATTACCCCCCTTTCATCTTCACCTGTCAGAACATAGCAGTTCTTCTTTTGGTGACACGCAGCATTCCTGGTAGCCTATTTATTGGCCAATAGCAGCTAATGTTAAAAGTGTTTATCTGTTCCCAGCCAACTAAGATGATACTGCTTCATGTTTGACTAGGTACTTTGATGATGGTATAAAATTAGGGATTGTTCGTTTGTTTTTAATATTCTTAATAGTACAAATCAAGAAGCTAATTCAAGGTTTTTTGTGATGTTATAGGTTTATGAAAGCTTTAAGTTATGCATCATTAGATAAAGAAGATTTATTAAGTCCTATTAATCAAAATACCCTGCAGCGATCCTCCTCAGTTAGGTCCATGGTATCCAGTGCTACATACGGAGGTTCCGATGACTACATTGGACTTGCTCTTCCAGTAGACATCAATGATATATTTCAGGTATCATCCAGTCTATTACTGTTTTCCTATGACCTGGCTTCCTGATGGTTTTTTGTTTGTTTGTTTGTTTTGTTTTGTTTTTTAGTGTTCTGTAACTGCTTATTAGAATGTGTAGCTTATAGTGGACATACTTATTACGGGAAAGATAAAGGTTTTGAGGTGATTTTTCATCTGAAAATGCATTAAGATGAGAATAGCATGTTCTTAGCTGCTCTGTACTTATTCTGCTCCTCTGAGTAAGACTCTTGTTCAGTCTCTGGAGCATTACTCTTTCCAACGGTAATCTAATTGTTTGATTTATATATAGTCTATAGTAGTTTAGTAAATTCCTAATCATCTTTTAGACTCATACAACTTTTCTTTTTTAGTCATTGATCTTTTTCTCACCTAAAGCAGCCACATGTGATATCTATGTACACAATTTCTAGTGGGTTATAATAATACTGAATAATACATATTTTCTTATATGACTAAGTATTTTATTCCTTCAGCCTATTTTTGTTTGTATGTATGTAGAGTGTGTGTGGTATGGGTGTGTGTGTGTACTTGGGTCTACACACCTGCAGTAGCCAGGGATGATCATCAGCATCATGCTTATGTACTCCATCTTACCTTGAGATAGGATTGCTCATTGAATCTGGAGCTCAACTGGTAGCCAGCAAGCCCCAGCAGTCGTCCTGTCTCCATCCTTCACAGCCTTGTTTTACAAGCACATGTACACATGGCCACGGCCAGCTTTTCTGTGGATGGTAGAGATTGAAACTGTTTGCATGCTTGTAAAGCAAGCAAACAAGCACTCTCTTTGAACCATCCCCAGCTCCTAGATATTTTAGATAAGCACTAAATTTCTTGAATACCCATTTAATTCAACAAGAATAAGGTTAAGACAGTAGTTATTTGGTTATGTTTTGTTAATTTTAATCTTCTTTAGTAAACTGCCTTATAGATTTGTGTGCTACAGTTATTCTATTTCTGTTGCATTTCCCTGAATTTTCTTTACATTCATAAGATAAATTTCTTTTTTTTTTCTTTTTTTTTNTTGGTTTTTTGAGACAGGGTTTCTCTGTGGCTTTGGAGCCTGTCCTGGAACTAGCTCTGTAGACCAGGCTGGTCTCGAACTCACAGAGATCCGCCCGTCTCTGCCTCCCGAGTGCTGGGATTAAAGGCGTGCGCCACCATCGCCCGGCTAGATGAATTTCTTTGTATGATGAAACTGACCCTACTTTGTATGCATTTTAGATAAAGGATATTCCTTATTTTCAATCAAAGCATGTGCCACCAGACGACCGAGGTGTGAGAGCGTTTTCCCACGATGCAGGAGGTAATGTGTGCCCTTGGTTCTCCTGTGACTCCTTACCTTAAAAATGAAATTCTCCTTTTAGTGAGGTAACAGTAAAAGTTGGGCACACTAAACCAAAATAACCCAGTCAACTAAAAATTAAAGTGCAGTTGTTTTCCCAGTTTTAGGGGCCAGCCTCTCCAGTTGATAAAATAGTTCTTTCTTTTCTTAAAGTGCAGGAGGAGTGTTAAAACTTGTCTCCTGGACCAGAGGCACAGCTGCTTACAATCAACAAAGGGTGGGGGTTGCTTATTTGCCATTGTGTTATTCTGTGCTATGAACTGCTGCATTTGTGAATGTGTGCATATGAACTGTTGATTTAATAGTTTTATAATCTTGTTTTAACATAGACCTCTTAGACTTGATTTTATTTAGGCAATTATCAGGGTTAATTGAAAAATGATACATCAGTATAACCTTTTTTTGTTTGTCTTTAAAAAAACTTTATTGAAATAATAAAGGTATATGTGCTATCTGTTGTTATCTTTACAATTTTTAACAAATTATTCTCTTTCTATTAAATGTTGAATCATCAAAAGTTCTAAGTTTTCATCTTTAAAAAGTATTATTTTAAGACGTCATGAAAAAGATCCCAAAGGTGTCTTTATCGGATTGTATTTTTATTTATTTAAACGTGCAGGTCTTCCATCTGGAGCTGGCGGTCTTGTAAAAAACTCCTTTCACTTGCTACGGCAGCAGATGAGTCTCACGGAAATAATGAACTCCGTTCACTCAGATGCTTCTCTGTTTTTAGAGAGCACAGAAGACACTGGACTGCAGGAGCACACAGATGACAATTGCCTTTACTGTGTCTGTATTGAAATTTTGGGCTTCCAGCCCAGTACCCAGCTAAGTTCAATATGTAGTCACTCAGGTGAGTGGTAACGTCCTTGGAGACGCATCTGCTCCAGTCACAAACCATCCAGCGACCCTCTAATGAGGCCTTCCCACTCCATCTCACTACCTCAGACATAGTCTAGCCCTTTAGCAGCTTCCAGTTGCACTCTTAGTCTAATTCTGTTTCTCTCCACTTTATCTTTTAATATATTATTTAAAATTAATCTGTTTTTAATTCTTTATTGGCTCTGTAGCCCAACACATAAGATTCTTTGTGCTCTGTGGTTTTCATCGTTCTCATTTCTTGTAGCTGGTAGACCATGCCTGACTGACTTGAAGTTTTCAACAACCGCTGGGAATGGAAGTTGTATTTTCCTTGCTATTCCCCCCTCTTCTTTCTCGCCCCCCCTCCCCCAAACACACACCATGCTCTTACATAAACAAACAGTCTGTTTGGAACATTTGCCTCATCCCAAATCTCATGTCTGAGAAGTGTCCCGACTCCTAAGCTGAGTGTGGAAATTCCTTCCTTTTTTCTCTCACTGTCTTTGTACAGAGATTTCTTATAACTGTGGTCATTACTCAGTCATCTTCTGAGCTTACCATGGTGACTTCCTTCAGATCGTGATCTGCTATCTTCATTTTCACATCTCTGACAGTAGCTGCTGCCTTGTACACGAGGCTCTCGGTATACATTTATTAGAGAGGGATTAAAGTAGGCACAAATGATCAGTTTCTTAATATGAGTCACCAAAGTGTATATATTAACGATTTCAACTAATGTTTAAAGTGTTTGTGTATATACCTTTTCTTGTTAAATATCAGTTGACTAGCCTCAGAAGTCTAGTGATGACCAGGATTCTTTACATGACTCTTGTGAAGTTCTCCCTAGGATTTCATAATTTTCCAACTTGTAGCCTATGCCAGATGATGGTGCTGGGGAAACACCCAGCCAGGAGTGTGCTTCCTGGGATTTGCAATGGGTTGAGGTTGTGCTTAGAAACTGATCCTCTCAGTGGTTCCATGTCCCAGTATGGGCCTGAATTTGACAGATTCCTAAACTAGGTTTTTCACACTCAACCCAGGGCCTGTTTATGCTATGATTTTTTTAAGCAAACTATGTATATTTGATTATTTTTTGGGAGTTTGTAAAATATTAGATGTACTACACACCATAAAAAGAGGGCATGTTAGGTCAGTTGGCGATATTGTTTATGATTTAGGGCCTTCAACTTTTCATTTACTCACTCAACAGTGTGTGAATCATTTAATATGGAGCTCTGTAGTTAGAAAAAGCACAGGGAGACCAGCCACCAAAACTGTCTTACGCAAAAAGAACACAGCCAGAATTAGATACCTGACTTCAGTCCTTACAGAGCTGTAGTAATCCAAGCAGCATGAGGTCAGCATTAAGCACAGAGTGGAGGAATTGGAAGCCACCCTGTGTATCTTCAGCTCACTGCTCTTCTGCAAAGGTGCTAAGATCACCTGCTGGAGAGAGGGCAGTATTTGTGATAAAGGGAAACTGGATATCCTCCAGAAAATAAATAAGATTAGATGTCTCACTCTGAACAAATGTCTCAACTCCACATGGACCTTAAATGTGAAAGTGCTAAAGCTCTGTCAGCAGTTTCAGATGGGTGAGGATCTTTGGGAATCCCAACTGCCCCCCCCCCCACTCACTACATGCTCTAAAATAACACTCTAGGGAACAAAACCTAGAATGTCTAAAACTATAAGAAAATTTTTATGGAGAAAAAGAAATGAATGAAAGAACATACAGAAATTAATCAAATATTTACAAACTACATGTCTGATAAGAAATTAATATACAAGCTGGGTTTAATTGCACACAACTTTAATCCCAGCATGTGGGAGGCAGATGCAAGCGGATTTCTATGAGTTCAAGGTCAGTTTGATCTACAGAGTGAGTGTCAAGACAGCCATTGCTACATGGGGGAAACACTGCCTGGAAAAGAAAATTTAATATACAGCATTTAGGATAAAATTGTGCAATAGACTTCTCGGGACATATAAATCAAAACCACCTTGAGCTATCAGCTTACAATAGCGAGAATACTTGTCAAAATGCCAAATGGTGGCAAATGCTGGCAAGGACAGGAAGAAAAGGAAAATCCTTGCACATTGTTGTTTGGAATGTAAATTGCTACAGCTACTAAAGAAAGCAGTAAGGAAGAGTCTCAGAAAAGCAAAATGAAACTAGCCATACAGCTCAGCAATCCCATCACTTAAGAGAGATAAAGGAAGTGAAATCAATATGTCAAAGATACGCCATCCGTAATGAACTGCAGTACTATTCACATAGCCAAGAAATGCAAACAAATATGTAATTGATGAATGGATAGGGAATATGTGGTATATATACATATGCTGAATATTCAGCCAGTGTCTTCTGTGTTCTCTAAAAACAGAAAAGGGGAAGAAAAGGTAATGGTAGGAGAACCAGCTATGAAACTCATAGACTGGAGGTGTACCTAAGACTGCAGCTGGAGGACAGTCAGGAGGATGACTGAGCTCAGAATTAAATGCTTTAAGTGTGAGAAGACCAATGCTGTATGAATGAGGCTGTTGAGGAATCATGAGGCAGAGCTCGGTCCACTTGACCTTCTTCCCAAAGTTACAGAGGGTTAGGAAATGCCAGGAAGTCCAGGACATCCAGCCAGCAAGAGTGCAGATGTAAACAGCAGAGGCCTGGGTTTCAAGTACCAGGGAGGCTGACATAAAAACTGGGCTGTTGTCCTTGTTGGACAGGTAAAGCCCGCTCTTCTTCCACCATTCCCCCAATCAGTCCCAACCCCACCTGTCCCCAGTCTACCTATGAAATCTGTTCTGTTTACCCTTCCCAGGGAGAGCCATGTGTCCTCTACTTGGGAATTCCTTGCTATTTCTCCTCTCTGAGTCTGTGGATGATTTTAGATGATTTTACTTTACAGCTAATAACCACTTATAAGTGAATAATGCAATGTTTGTTTTTTGGGGATTGGTTTACTTCATTCAGGATGATTTCCTGCAAATTTCATGATGTTTTTGTAAGCATTGTGTAAATGTACCTACCATATTTTCTTTATCCATCCTTTGGCTGAGGACATCTAGGTGGTTTCCAGTTTGTGCTTATTACAAATAAAGCTGCTGTGAACAGAGTTGAGCAAGTGTCTTTGTGGCAGGATGGGGTATCCTTTGGGTATATGCCCTGGAGTGGTATAACTGGTCTTGAAGCAGATCAATTTCCAGTTTCCTGAGGAATCTCCATATTTATTTGCATAGTGGCTGTACAGATTTGCACTCCCACCAGCAGTGGAGGCGTGTTCCCCTTGGTCTGCATCCTCTCCAGCATGAGCTGTCACTTGTGTTTTTGATCTAAGTCATTCTGAAAGGCATAAGATGGGATCTCAGAGTCGTTTTGATTTACAGTTCCCTGATGGCTAAGGATGTTGAACATCTTAAATGTTTCTCAGCCATTCCCCTCTGTTGAGAATTCTGTTTAGATCTCTACCCCATTTTTAAAATTGGATTATCTGGCTTGTTGTTAATGTCTTGTTTTTTGAGTTCTTCATGTATTTTGGATATTAGTCTTCTATCAGATGTAGTATTTGTTTAAAAAAAAACTTTTCCCATTCTGTAGACTGCTGCCATTTTGTCCTGTTGCTGGTGTTCTTTCCTTTAAAGAAGCTTTTCAGTTTCATGAGGTCCCATTTATTGTCTTTCTTAGTTCCTGCGCTATTGGTGTTCTGGCCTTAAAACCAATCTTATTGGAGGCATGTTTTTTAAATTGAAGTTCTCTCCTTTCAGATGACTTAACTCTTAGCAAGTTGACATAAAAGTATCTAGCACAGCAGACATGGAAGTAGTGATCTAGGAAATGCTTGAAGGTGAAATAAAAAGTAGTACAAAGTTTATTTTGTGGGAACCAAATTTGGTGAGGTTGAACCTCTTTTTTTCCCATGTGTATAATGAAGAAAGGGAAGCAGGCCAGCTTTTAGAAGTCTTACTTTCTAGCTGAGTGCTTAATCTTTTCTGTCTGAGTTACTCTTTTTTCATAAGCAGGATAGATGCTTAACTAATTTTCGTTTTGTTTTATAGTACTAAGCTTGTGTGTGTGTGTGTTTTTTGTAGGCTGCCCAGTGTTACTTTCTGAAAGAATGATCAACAGCTTTTTCATATTTGTTTTCATCATTGATTTTAATACCTAAGGATTTTTCTTTTTTTAAGTATTTATTTATATTGGTTTTATTGAGCTATACATTTTTCATTTTTCTCTGCTCCCCACCCTTCCTCTTCCCTTCCCTTCAACCCTCTCCCATGGTCCCCATGCTCCCAATTTACTCAGGAGCTCTTGTCTTTTTCTATTTCCCATGTAGATTAGATCCATGTATGTCTCTCTTCGGGTCCTCATTGTCGTCTAAGTTCTCTGGGATTGTGAATTGTAGGCTGTTTTTCTTTGCTTTATGTTGAAAAAAGCCACTTATGAATGAGTACATATGATATTTGTCTTTCAAGGTCTGGGTTACCTCACTCAATATGGTGTTTTCTAGATCTATCCATTTGCCTGTAAATTTCAAGATGTTATTTTTTTTTTAAGCTGTGTAGTACTCCATTGAGTAAATGTACCACATTTTCCTTATCCATTCTTCAATCGAGGGGCATTTAGGTTGTTTCCAGGTTCTGGCTATGACAAACAATGCTGCTATGAACATAGTTGAGCACATGTCCTTGTGGTATGAATGAGCATTCTTTGGGTATATAGCTGGGTCTTGAGGAAGGTTGTTTCCTAATTTTCTGAGAAATCACCATACTGATATCCAAAGGGGTTGTACCAATTTGCAGTCCCACCAGCAATGCAGGAGTGTTCCCTTTACCCCACAACCTCTCCAGCATAAGTTGTCATCAGTATTTTTGATCTTGGCCATTCCTACAGGTGTAAGATAGAATCTCAGAGTTGTTTTGTTTTGTATTTCTCTGATGACTAAGGATGTTGAACATTTCCTTAAGTGTCTTTCAGCCATTTTAGATTCCTCTGTTGAGAGTTCTTTGTTTAGGTCTCTACTCCATTTTTTTTTATTGGATTATTTGTTCTTTTGATGACCCCTAGGGATTTTTTTGAATGTATTGTTTTTTTTTTATTTGTTCGTGTGTTTGTATATCGTGTATGCACATGTGTGCTGATATACATGTGCCACAGGACCCACTTGAAGATCAGAGGACAACTAATTGGAGTCAGTTTTCTCCTTCCACCCTGTGGGTCCTGGGGTCAAACTCAGGTAGTATGACTTAGCAGCAAGTGCCTTTTTAACCCATTGAATCATACAGCTGGTCCATGCCCAAGACAATTTTAAACCCAAAAAATTTTTTCACTTAGATATTAGGTTGGCTTTAAAATCCCACGCTAGGGCCCTTAACAGTACACACAGAGAAAAACAAGAAGGGGAAATAAAGTAGGAAGGGGTCTGAAATGACTTTAGACTTTCCATTGCGTTTACTGTTGGGTGAGGCACTCAGGTAGAGGTAGAAAGGATGGGAGAAGAGAAGATAATAAAGTATGTTCTACATATTTGCTTGAAATTTAATGGCATATTCCTACATTGGTTCTAGGGGGAAAAAAACTCTCTGGAATATAGCATGTTCACTTGTGTGAACACTCATTATCTGAGCAGTCTAGATTTACTTCAAAAATCTTCATGAGATAAATTGTGAGAACGGGAAAGGAGTTCTCTTAGAGTGTGCAGTCCTAGCACAGGAATGGAGCTCTAATCGAAATGCTTTTACCTTCAGACCTTCAAGATATTCCGTATTCTGATTGGTGTGAGCAGACGATCCACAATCCCTTAGAAGTGGTTCCCTCCAAGTTCTCAGGGATTTCTGGGTGTAGTGATGGTGCGTCTCAAGAAGGCTCAGTCAGTAGCACCAAAAGCACAGAGTTGCTACTGGGTAAGTCTGCATCCTTAATAAAACTGTATTCAGTTGATTTTGCTTGTTAGCATATGTACTGTAATTTAGAGTTGTCTCTGTGGTGATATTTCATTTGTATTTTAATAAATAAAGCTTGCCTGAAATTCAGAGTAAAACAGCCATACTGGTCAGCCTTACAGACCAGGCAGTGACACCCAATAGCCACATTAGTTTGTCATAGAAACCAGGCAATAGTGGTGCACGCCCTTAATCCCAGAACTAAACTGGGAGGAGACAGCTCTCAGACATAATCTCCTTCTGAGATTCCTGGAGGCACCATTTCGGACTGAGGTAGGGTAGGAGCCAGTGGCTGGCTGTTTTGCTTTTCTGATCTTCTTGTTGAACCCCAGTTTTTGTCTCTGGGTTTTTATTAATTGTGCTACATGTTTCAGAGCTACGACAGGTCAATGTTAGTTAGACATTTAGCAGATTCTTAAATACTACACCTATGTCAGCCATTCACAGGTTCCCTCTCGGTGGTCTTCTTCTATTAGAGCTGTTTCTAGATCATTGGCAAATTATGTGCAGTTGATTCCAGTTTTAGTTGCTTATGTAGTTGGAAAACAAATATCATGAACTGTAATCATTATGCATTGTGATCCAATGAATGACCTTAAACTGACATTTTCATTTCAGGTGTGAAAAGCATTCCAGATGATACACCAATGTGCCGTATCCTGCTTCGTAAAGAAGTGCTAAGATTAGTTGTCAATTTGAGCAGCTCGGTTTCTACCAAGTGTCATGAAACAGGGCTTTTGACGTGAGTATTGCTTGAAGGCTGGCAGTTAGTTCTACTTTGTCAGTTGCAGGAAAACACTTGGGTTGCTTAGAGTTGCACAACAGTCACCAGCTGCGTTTCCATCTGAGGGGCTTCGCAGTGATGCCTCAGCCTGCAGAACAGGTTGAAGAGCAGAGTGGACTCCACCTAGACTTTCAAACAAGTCTACAAAGATGGAAAACTATCTAAAAGCCGGGCCACTCTTATCTCTTTTTTAAGTCTTGATAAAATTGGGGGGTAAATAATTATTTATATTAAATGTATAAAACTTTTAAATTCCTAAATTCCAGCTTCTGATATAATTATTGGTGGCTGTAACTTGAATATAAAAACAAGCTTTTTAGATTTCTCAATCATTTTCCAAAAAAATGAAGACCTAATTGAGAAACAAATTTAAGTTACAAACTGGTGGGGTTTCCTAATTCAATTATTTTTCTCTTTTTCTTCTTTTAAGAGGAAAAATGTAGAATTTTTAAAATTGTTTTTCTAAGTCAGAGCAGCCTAATAAATGAAAAAATGATTTTTAGCAATTCATCTTTATTTGCACTATTTAAAGTAGTGGTTCTCAAAAGGAGTGGTTCTCAAAAGTCATGTTCTGGCTTTGTGGGCGCCTAGCCAGTTTGGATGTTCACCTTCCTAGACATGGACGGAGCGGGGAGGACCTTGGACTTTCCACAGGGCAGGGAACCCTGTCTGCTATTTGGACTGGAGAGGGAGGGGGAGAGGAGTGAGGGGAGGAGGAGAAGGGTGGGAGGAGGGGGGGGGAATGGGAGGCTGGGAGGAGGCGGAAACATTTTTTTTCCTTTTCTCAATAAAAACAAAAACAAAAAAGAAAACGTTAAAAAAAAGAAGTGTTTAATAAAAGTAATTTGTAATAAGCCAGGTATAATGGCATATACCTTTAGTGCGGGCACTTGGTAGGAGGATCTGAAATGCTAGGGACATGGAATTATTTTCAAAGTTGGCCTGGACTACATGAAACTCTGTAGCAAAAAGGGAAAAAGAGCAAGACAGACAAACCGACTTAACTATTTTTTATTATTAATACCACTCCTAACATTCCATCTAATCGATATTTGGTGAAAAAAGTTAGCAGAAAGTATCATTGTTGAGGGTTAATTGAATAAATTGTGGTTATAATATTTATCATAACATTGTTTTTCTTTTCATTTTAGAATTAAAGAGAAATATCCTCAAACATTTGATGACATATGCCTTTATTCTGAAGTTTCTCTTTTGTTATCACACTGCACATTTAGACTTCCCTGCCGGAGGTTCATACAAGAGTTATTTCAGGATGTACAATTTTTACAAGTAAGTGAGACTATATTTCTGAAATTTGTCTCCAAGAATTATTCTATACTTGAAGTAAGCTAAAAGAGTATATGTACATTATATGCATTTTTATTAAAAAAAAAAGTTAACAGTTTGTCATTTTTTCCTAGATGCATGAAGAAGCAGAGGCTGTGTTGGCAATTCCACCAAAACAACCTGTAGTTGACGAATCTGCCGAATCCTGACCTCATATTTATGATGTTTATAGCTAGATATGATATATTTATCCATACTTGTGGACTTCCCAAAGGCCTCACAAGACACTGACTGGCTGTCAGTGAGACAGAGTATCTTCTGACGCTGTCCCAGCAGTCCTTGGTACAGAACAGTTGCAACTGCTGACATCCCTAACCAAGCCGACTTCCTCTTCCCTTTGGGGTCCTTCTTGGGGATCGTGATTCAGTACCACAGTTTTAATTTAGTTGCCACCGTATTCAAGAGCCAAGCACTGAATAGCTACATAGGTTTTCTATTTTTTTATTTTAAAAGCATAATGGCAGTGGAATAAAAGCAGGACATGAAGAAGCACCCTCCACACAGTTATTTCTGACTGCTTTTTAGTTAAGGGTGAATTAAAAAGATGCCTTGTTTGTTAACTAATCCGTGGAAGCCAGGAGTCACTGTCTCTGAGGCTGCGTCCTGTTATCCCATAGACTGTGCTGTAACTGACAGTATCAGAGGGTAATCATTGGCCCTTCTACATTTCCTTAATGTTTGTAACACTACTTCAGAGGTTTCTCACCTCGGAGCAGAAGAAGAGCCTCAACAATTGGAACTTAAAAGTTATTTTATGTTGCTAAATGCATAAAGATGCTTCTTTGTTTTCCATCTCTTCAGGTTTGTTGTAGTATGTTGTTAAAGGTTACTTGTACCAATTAAGGTTTTTCACTACAGTTGTTGATTAAAGTAAATAGTTCAATTGAAATACTTTCCATAGTCCCATCTCCAGAGTGCAGATAAATAAATAAATGGATGGATGGATGCCCAGTGTACCTCCATGCTAATCAGCTCCTCTCATCACCACTTTAAACAGATTGAGCAAGTGTTAGTAGTCTGGACCCCAAGCAAAGGAAAGCATTAAATGATACTTCCAATCTCTTACAGAAAAAACAAGTTTGCCTGAAATTTATACATTCCATGTAAAAAAGATGAGCCATATCTAAAAAAGCATTATGCATCGTTGACACACATTAAGATTAAAAATTGTGGTGAAAAGCCTTAATTACTAAATTTTACAGCAGCGATAATGCAATTTTTGTTAGTGTTCTTGTTTTGCACAAAATAATGGCAGTTATAGGTGAATTGAAGAATACAGTCATTGCCTTTATCACATTTGTGAAGTTGATGAAGGCAAGGTTTTGTCTGTCTAATTTGTGTTTGTATAAAGATATTTGAAAATCTTTACATAAATTAAACATATATGCAAATTTGTACATAAAGTAGCATGAACATCATTGCTAGAATGCTTGTAAGTAAAAGGGTTATCTTTTTTTTTGAAATCATATATATAGAACAAGAACATCCAGTTGGACTGACTAGGACCCTTTTGTAATTCCTTTGTGTAGCTCGTTTTTAGAGTTACACATCAGCTTTAACACCGCCGTAGCCACCAGTCCCTATCTTCCCATGTTGCACACCCTTTTCATAATGGGCTTGTTTGCAAGATCTCTGTAGAGTAGCCTGTGAACTAGGAGACAACTCACAGAGACTTCTTTAAACTGGCACTGAAAGTTCCCACTAGGATGAAGCATTTCATCTCCCTTCCCAACTCCTCTTTGACTGCACTTCAGCAAGTTGTTCGTACATGCACTGTGTAGCAACTTCATGATGATAAAGCAGACAAGGGCTCTAAACTGCTGCTCATGTTACAACTCAGAAAATTCAGTGAGAGTAAAACTTTGAGCTTCATCACTGAACCCAAGCGTCTATTTAAATGTCAACAGTACTTCTAAGAGCATTGCCTATCGCCTTGGTCTTTGGTCTTGGGTAATGAAACTGCCTTACCAGAGAACCAAATGTCAGAGATACTAGACCAAATAGTGGTTACAATTCCAAAGGAAGGAATGTAGTCTTACTCATAATGGGATTAACATTTTAGACATTCATTTCAATACTACCTCAGTTAACATAGAGTATAAAATCTGTGGTTTCATCCCTCTAAAATAACAATTATTATTTTTGTTTGTGTTTCATCACACAAAACTGTCCCCAGCCTTGCACACCTAAGTCAGCCATCCTGAAATTAAGGCTGTGCCTAGTGTCCTAAGCAGGTTCTTTGTTTTGTTGTTTTGTTTTGACTTTTGACTGTTACTTTGAAAAGATATGTGTATGTATCATCATCTGCCTATAGCACTTACTGTGGGAAGATATCAGAGTTTTGTGATTATCAGTATATTTGAGGAAATTATCTATGTTTAAATTTATAGTGCTATTTGGTTTAACCATGGTTTCACCGAGAGGTGTAATACATTTCCTTTAAGTACTTACTTGTATAAAAGTAGACTTTCATGATGAAAACTACATGCAGTGCCAAGTGATTAGTGTAGGCGTTTAAGACAATTAAATTATAGCAGAAGAAGTTAGGAATGATGTCAATGGTAATAGAAATCATTGAGAAAATCAACTATAAATGATAGATATTACCAAAATAATGTCAATACAGTAGTTTTTCAAGAGTTTAGAATTAATCTTAGTCATATAAATTTGTACTGTTGGTAATTATTTAATAATTTGGAGGAGTTTGGACAGTTAAGCTGGTTATAAACTGTGAATTTCTAATTGTAAATTGTCATTTCTAATTGAATTTTTTTTTTGAAGAACAGATTTCAGCTTCACATACTAAGTAAATACTGACAAATAAGAAATTTAGTATTTATAAGGAAATAGGCTCTAAATTTTCTTACCTTTTTTTTCTGTTGTGGTTAGGGTATATTGGAGGAGCAAAATGTTCTCCCTAACTTAAGTGTTTCTAATAGAGTAACGAATAGACATCCCATAACACAGTGATATTGCAAGGAAGTGCGTGCATTCTTGCTGTGGTGATGTGGCAAAGTCACTGGGAGGCGTGTCTCCAGCAGACATGTCTTCAGCTGTGTTCAAAGTCACTGGGAGGCGTGTCTCCAGCAGATGTATCTTCAGCCGTGTTCCACTCTTGTCCAGTGCTTGAGATGGGTAAAGCTGAATTCCATGTTACCATGGCCAAGTGTTCAAAGTGGGATATCACTGTGTATTTAGATTTGTCTACTGCTATTTATAGACATTTTTATTTCATTCCTTTCAGAGGATGCCTTTTATGCCCCATATCAAAGCACAGATCATTAAGCAATAAGAAACAAAATTGTCTGTCATTCAAATTATAATTGCGATTATTCTTGTGTGGTAAGAGTGAGGTGCTAATTTTGTGTGTGAAGAATTTGTGACCACTTTGGAAATATATTTTGGAAGTAAGGTTTTTTACCCTTCCTTTAGACTTTTACTTCCATTTTGTCTCAAATTCACAATCCATTAAAGAAAAGTAGATTGTTTGAGAGACTTCTAAGAAAAGCTGCTTGCAATGTATATTTCAGATTTTCCTATGTGTGGGTTGGCAAAGGGCTCCATTTTCTCTGTTTAGACAGAGTCTGTTGTTCCCATCTTAACTTTGAGAGTTTCACTACACCAAGTCCCACTTCCAGGCGTGCCAGTGAACTCGAGGGCAGTGCTTACAAAGGACACAGAAGTCTGCACAGGGTCCCCGGGGGTGTCTCATTTCTAATACATTTATACGACTCACAGAATGTGGGATTTCTCCCCTTTGGAGTATTTTTATAGTTAGGTGGACAGCTCTGCCACAGATGCATGGATTGCACATTTGACTCTGTAAGACACTTAATATGAAAAGTTATGCCAAAAAGGAAGCATATCCTACAAAAATTTTCCCATTTAACTAGGTTGGTTTAGCACAAAATGCAAAGTCTTGGGGCAGAGAGGGAGTAGTGAAAATTTTTTATGAACAATTATTGAAAAATGTTCCATTACTGGCCTGTCAAAAACCCTAACAATGCATTGTGAAACAGATGATGTAAATTAAATTAACTTAGCTTTGAAAAGTGGTAAGGGATGGTAAAGAGAATCTTAGACTCAATGCTCTCTGACCACATGACCTTTTTTATTTAGTAATACGCTGCTACGTTTTTGGAGGTTCTGGTGTTTGTAGGTCACTGAACAGACATTGAAATCTGATTTATATTGTATAACTGTAACATAGAAAGAAAAAGTATTTATATATTTTCCTTAAGAATATTTCATTGAGTTGTATATAATTTAAATAAGATATGTCCCCAAATGGTTTTGCTCACCTTGATTTTTTGTTGTTGTTGTGGTTTTATTGTTTTTGTATAATGTGTACAGTTTATGTTAAGGGCATTAAAGCCTCCTGAAACATAATCTTATCAAAGGGATTCATTGTTAATAAAATGTACTTAAAATTCTTAAACTTGTGGTGTTGCTCTATTTGAAAATGTGTGTCACCTGGGCCTTCCTTGACTTGAATCACATGATACTGATGTTGACAGGTATGATTTCCAGTGAGTGAGCCTTTTTGATTCCTAAATTGGGATGGTCTTGTCCTGTGAAAAGGGGCTGCTCCCAATTTTAAAGTAATTGTTTTCCTTGGTATTCTCTAGAACTTATCTGACATAGTTACTTTTTAATTTGTAATCATTATTGTGAAGGTTTGGAAATAGAAATGTCTTTAGCTAGAGCAGCTTTGGACTTCCTGAGATAGTAAGAAAGTGATGTGTAAGTGGACTGGTGCTCAGCTCTTCCCACATTGCCCTGCTGGTGCTCAGCTCTTCCCACATTGCCCTGATCAGGCAGAATAGCACCCTACAGGAAAAGAGCCAGAGTGAAAGTCAAAGTTGCCAAAGTATATTCCCCACCTTAAGCAACCTTGTTTCAGATATTTGGCCTGTAGACACCTATGTATGAGTGTGTCATTGTTCTCACCTTATACTGTGTTTTTATCAAAATTGTAAAATGAAAAGAATGCCTAATTTGTCATAACTGAATAAGAAAATAATAGTTTGTATTTTTTAAGCTTTACCATATGAAAGTATTCAAATAACTGTAGAGATAACTCAGTGGTTAAGAGCACTGGCTCTTTTTCAGAGGACCTGGGTTCAATTCCCGGCACCCACCTTTGATTTTCTTAGTGCTTATTTGGGGCACTAGGCCAACTTCTTACACTTAATATTTCATATTGGAGATAACTCATGATCTTGTTTGCTAATTTTGAAGACTTTTCATGTCTATTTTATCTTTCAGGGTTTAAGAAGCCCTCCATACAATGTCTTCTAAGCCCTTTGAGACAAAGCAAGCTTAACCAACAGCTCATAGATGCAACTCCAAGTCTAATTCAACTTGGTGTTCTTATAAATGCACACTTTGTAAATGATATTAACCATGAGAATCACACACTGTACATAGATATGTTTGAATATGTCGAGCCAAGGTCAAATACCTAAATCACCTTTTTTTTTTTTTTTTTTTGAGATGGGGTTTGTTGATGAACTAAGATCATGATTAAGCTATGGCCGATGAGTTCAGGAATCCTCTCTCAAACTCTCCTGTCTCTCTGCTGATTAATAGCTGTGCAGGAGCATTTAACCCATGCAATCCCGTCTATCAATTCTTAGATTTATCTCCTCTGGCCTTCAGAGTCCTTTTCCGAAAGTGTTTGCTAATGCCTATATCTTGAAGTGTTTTGTTAATGTCTTCTGCAGTTCCAGAATTTCAAATACTTGGTGGCTGTAGCTGTGTAGGTTTGCTTTCGAGTTGTCTGCCACATCTCAATAGTCTGGTCATCTCTTTTTGTGCTCATAGCATATGATTTTGTTTATGTGGCCTTGGAATATATAGTGGTTTATGGTCAAATATCATAATGTCTCCAGCTAAGAACTGCTATGGGTATTCAGTTCTTTTTCTACATGAAGTCCCCCTCACCACATAATAATCAAAACACTAAACATACAGAATAAAAAAAATAAGAGCTGCAAAAGAAAAAGGCCAAGTAACATATAAAGGCAGACATATCACAATTATACCTGACTTCTCAATAGGAAACAAAGTCAGAAGGTCCTGGATAGATGTTCTGCAGACTTAAGGGTCCTTGGATACCAACCCAGACTATACCCAGCAAAGCTTTCAATCACCATAGACTGAAAAAATAAGATATTCCATGACAAAACCAGATTTAGACAATATCCACAAATTTAGCCCTACAGAAAGTACTAGAAGGAAAACTCAAATTCAAAGACGCTAGCAAAAACAGGCAATCTTACACCAGCAAATCCCAAAGAAGGGAAACACGGACACACACATTACCACCAACAACAGCAAAGCCGAAATAACAGGTCCTAACAATCACTGGTCATTAATATCTTTTAATATCAACAGTCAGCCTTATAGAAACAGTAAAGATAACTTGAATGTTTTGTGGATCCTTTTTATTTTTTTTGCTCGAGGTTCTAATCCATTTTTTTCCATTCAAAAATTTACACTTCCCTCCTCCCAATTCCCTCCTGCTCCCCCACTCATCCTCCTCCCTCCCCCTCCCTGCTTGAGAGAGGGCAGGGAACCCTGCCCTGTGGGAAGTTCAAGGCCCTCCTCCCTACATCCAGGCCTGGGAAGCTGTGCATTCATATAGACTAGGGTCCCAAAAAGCCAGAACATGCTGTAAAAACAAGTCCCAGTGCCTTTATCAATGGCTTCTGAGTCAGCCCCCTTTGCCAGCCACAATCAGAGAGTCCGGTTTGATCACATGCTCTTTCAGTCCCTGTCCAGCTCTCAAGAAATTGGGAATCAACCTACCTCAGGATCTAGCAATACCACTCTTGGGAATATACCCAAGCGATGCCCAATCATACTACAAAATCATTTGTTCAGCTATGTTCATAGCAGCATTATTTTAATAGCCAGAACCAGGAAACAACCTAGATGCCACTCAATGGAAGAATGGATAAAGAAAGTGTGGAATATATATGCATTAGAGTACTACTCAGCAGTAAAAAACAATGATATCTTGGATTTTGCATGCAACTGGATGGAAATAGAAAACACTATCCTGAGTGAGATAACCCAGACCCAAAAAGATGAATATGGTATGTACTCACTTATTAGTGGACTCTAGCCATAAACCAAGGACATTAAGCCTATAGTTCACAAGCCTTAGAGAAGCCAAATGACAAGGTGAACCCAAAGAAAAACATAGATCCTCCTAGAAATTGGAAGCAAACAAGATTGCCAGGCAAAAGTTGGGAGCATGGGGGTGGGGGTAGGGATGGGAGTAAGGTTGAGGGAAGGGGAGAGGGGGAGAGGGAAGGGAGAAGGGAAAGACTGGCGAGAGTTTGGGGGAGTGGGAGGGTGAAGATGGAGGAAAGGCAGATATAGGAGCAAAGAACACGATATCTACATTAAGGGAGCCATTTTAGGGCTGGCAAGAGACTTGGCTCTAGAGGGGATCCCAGGTGTCCATGGGGATGTCTCCAGCTAGGTCCTTGGGCAGCAGAGCAGAGGGTGCCTGAACTGTCCTTGCCCCACTATCACACTGATGTTTATCTCGTAGAATCTTCATGCGGCGACGGATGGAGATAGAGAGAAAGACCCTCATCAGAGCAATGGACTGAGTTCCCAAGGTCCAGTTGAAGGGCAGGAGGAGGGAGAGGATGAACAAGGAAGTCTGGACCATGAGGGGTTGGTCCACCCACTGAGACAGTGCCTGATCTAATGGGAGCTCACCAAATCCAGCTGGACTGGGACTGAACGAGCATGTTTTGTGGAATCTTTTTTAAATAAAATCAAAATGAAGGAAAACATTTAGACATCAATGTCATTAACATTTCTGGGTACAAATGTCCAGCAGGGAATACATTGACAGAAAATCATAGACAGGGTTTCGGCAGGACTGACCAAAGTCGTCTCCCAAGTAGGCTGTTCAAGATACCGCCTGGGACCAGGTTAGGTCCAAAACATTTTCTCTATCAAAAGGCTTGGTTAGATGTAAAGAAAAGATTGGACTGCTTTAGCAGAACATTCATGATTGGTGTTACTATGTTCTGAGACCACATACCACATGGATATGGCTATAGTACTGGTAACACCCATGCGTGTGCACAAAGTCGTCCTTCTCACCGTATTCACAGCAAGCAAGTCGAAAGGAACCTCTCTTTGTTTTATTTTACAATGTGACAAGTTTCAAGAGGAAGAAACTAAGGTATTGAACTCCTTTGTGTGTCTGGCTATTTCATATAGCCCCTTCCAGACATGGTTTACAGGAGCTATGGTGCTACCAAGATCCATGGGTGTTCATGCTTTACCTAAAAATATTTGTGTATAGCGGGTATTCTTGTGTGCCATGTCCTAATACCATATGTGTGTAAGTGCTATGGAAATTTCTAATACTGTATTTAAGGAATAACAAATAAAAATCGGTATGAGTTTATACACATTCTTCCTGGAGTGGGTTGGATCCTGACGTGGGGCCCACAGTTAGAACCCAGTACATCGTCTCAAAGGACATGCTTCGGGGCCAACGCTGAACTAACTTCAAAGTCCATGGGATATTTCAAAGTTAGATCTAAATTATACCCAACACTGAGACTTTAGACAGGAATGTTAAGTGAGTCAGAATTCTCTTGAAGCAGACAATGTGTGGAAATAGGTCATGTAGATACAACTTTGGGATGGAGGCATTAAATATGAAAGGAATCACTCAGTGAAATGTCTTTTTCTATTTCGAGGTAGTCAAAAATTAAGGAGGAAGACTGGAGTCTACGGAACAGGCTGCTGTCACTGGACACTGAGTCTGGAGCTCTTTGCAATCCTGTTTTATTATAGTAAGCTTCACAGCAGGAGACCTGTGTAGCCTCTTCCTGTCCCATTTGTATGCCCTACCTGTTAGGTCAGTGTAGGCACCAACAGTGTTAATTTTGCTTTATCAGTGACTACGAATTCTTATTCCAAGGTAAGGCAAATATCTAGCTTGTAACCTTTCCATTAAATGTGTTGAGCCTACACAATAAAAGTAATAAATCTTCTCTTGTGGCATTAATCGAGACATTTGATCCAGCCGCTTTACTCTGGAAATACTCAACATCAGCTCAAGTTGACATGAAGATGTTTTCTCACTGCGAACCAAAATCCAAGAACCACGGCCACTTTGTGTGGTCTTGAGTAGACAGGGTCTGTGAACTCTCATGAGTGTCCTACGTCAACGTCAGGGGTGCTGTGATAAGGGTGAGCCCGAAACAAATAATAACAAGGTCATCATGCGCCATTTCTAAGGAAGCCTTCAGGGCAAATGCCAGGCTGTATAGCTCTGGTCTTGAGTCTGTCAGACTAAATTAGTGCTGCAGATAGCGGATGCTCCTGGGGTCAGGGGCCAGGGCATGTGGTGTTGGCACAGTACCAGCCACATCCCCAAAAGTGCCTATAGTGTATTAACTGGGTTGGTGGTGGGTAGCTTTACTGTTCACCTTGACCTGAAAGGGTCCTTGAGGTGGGGATGTTATTCTCACTCAGAGGAGGTGAGGCGAGTCTCCCTGGAACAGCCATTTGCATTTTATACTCCGAACAGTGCACTGGCATGGGTGGATTTGTGGCAAGGTTGTCCTTGTCTCCACACATGGGTGAAGCCAACTGAGACACATAGATCAAGCTAGTTTCTTCCGTCGGGCTTTCTGCCAGGGACTTCATGTAGTCTTTCCCTAGAACATTTAGTAACTTGTCAGGTGGGGTCAATAGTCCAAGTTGAAGTGGTGTGTCTTGCAGGGGTCCTGGAACGAGGCCATGGGAACCAGCGTCAAAAGCTGACTGATCGTAAGTAAAATTCTCAAAGAAGACGCAGGGCATGGGGCCAGAGGAACTGTTTTCTGTTGGCACAGAGAGAGGCTTACTGGGTACGTCTTCAGCGTGTGCTTTCCCAGAGCCTATGCGCTGTGTCTTGGGGCCTTCTACCTTGTTTATGACTTCAAGGACGTCTGGAATGCAGTCTTTGACATGCATTATTAAGTGCGGGTTCTTCTGCAAAGGAATCAAGCACATGTAATATTAGTGCACTTGTGGGACTAGCCAAATGGACCATGTATGGTGTGTGCACCGAGAGCTTCCCCTTCCTTCCTGGCCACATGGTGTGACAACAGGCAGAGGATTCACCAGGACAGGACAGATCATTTCTATCCTAAGAGTGCTTGTCCAACTCCCAGTCGGATGGAGCCTTCCCCTCTCACCACTGGCTTCTGGTAGCCCACGATGAGCAAGACTCAATCACGTTTGTTTGGCCTATGTTGGGAACAAAACCAGGGCCTCACCCATGCTAGGCGAGCAAGCACTCTGTGACTGAACTAAACCCTCGTTCGTCCAACTGCCTGTCTCACGGCTGTGTGTATGTCTGTAATTTATTATCTTTTCCTGAAGAGGTATAAGAAAACTTGATCAGTGAAGCCCCAAACACAAAATTTGATATCTCTCTCTCTCTCTCTCTCTCTCTCTCTCTCTCTCTCTCTCTCTCTCTCTCTGCCTGTCTGTCTCTCTCTCCTCTCTCTTTCTCTCCTCTCTCTCTCTCTCTCTCTCTCGCTCTCGCTCTCGCTCTCGCTCTCGCTCTCGCTCTCGCTCTCGCTCTCGCTCTCTGCCTGCCTGTCTCTCTCTCCTCTCTCTTTCTCTCCTCTCTCTCTCTCTCTCTCTCTCTCTCTCTCTCTCTCCTCTCTCTGTCTCTGTCTCTGTCTCTCTCTCTCTCTCTCACACACACACACATATACAAACACACTTTATTTTTAAGAGAATCTCACTATGTAGCATGGGAGGATTAGAACTAACTATATAACTATATAAGCCAGACTGGCCTCAAACTCATAAGGATCCCCTTACCCTTAACCTCACAAAGGTAGGGATGGCAAACGGGTGTCCCCGTGCCCGGCTGGATTAGTCCTTCACATGTTACACATACAACATCCCCGCATTTACCTTGGATTTTATCAGTGACAGGATGCTGCTCTTGTATGGATTCGGAATGTCAGGGTAGCACTTCTCCTTCACCCTAGAACAGTGAAATTCAGGCTGGATGAGCAATTCAATGGAATTAGGAGTGAGAGCTCCGGAGTATCCTTTATGAAGCAAACAACTTAACAGTTTCTTGCTTTTATTACCATATCCTGGGCTGCATGCAGATAACTACGGTACCTACAGTCTCACTGCAGACACTCCATGGCTCATTCAGAGAAAGCATGTAGAAAGCTGCCAAGCATAAGGTGGCACAAATAGTAGTGACCGCCACAGAGGAACTTTTTTTTTAATTAATTAATTAATTAATTAATTTATTTATTTATTATGTATACAATATTCTATCTGTGTGTATCCCTGCAGGCCAGAAGAGGGCACCAGACCTCATTACAGATGGTTGTGAGCCACCATGTGGTTGCTGGGAATTGAACTCAGGACCTTTGGAAGAGCAGCCAGTGCTCTTAACCACTGAGCCATCTCTCCAGCCCCCACAGAGGAACTTTTGAAGTGGTTCTTTTCCCCGCCTGCTAGCCCCGAAGGCACAACTGTCAACTGCATTACATATGCTCGCCTACATTTCTTTAGCCCCCGCTTTCATCGTTCTTTCTCCACATTTTCCCATACCATTCGTAGCTCACGGTTTACTTTTAGCTTTGGGATAAAGGCTTCCTCCGCACTTACCACTGGCTTTTCCAGTAGCACACGATGATGATGAACAGGACGCAGAGGGTCATGGGTAATATGATCTGCAGCAGCCTGTGGGCTAAAGAAGACAAAGGGAAGGAATCGTTTCCGCAAAGAATAAACGGTGATGAGTGTGAGGCTCTTTCCATGTTTACTGCTCCTTCAATATATGTATTTATGCAAGAGTCAATAGGAGTTTTGAAAATGGGTTTAATTCTGAAAAATCACTTTTCACAAATAAATAGGTCTTACTTAGTAGACTGATAGAAATTTAACTGAGTGAAACTTACAGGGAAAATTTATTCTGACTTCTGCCTGACTCAGAAGGAAAAAGACCAATTAAGATAGATATAGTGGTGCATACTTTAACACTCCTAACACCCAGGAGTTCAAAGTCACCTTCCACAACATAGTAAGTTCAAGGCCCGCCTGGGTTGCATGGGACAATAATCACTGCAGGGAGCCTTTTGCGGTCAGCCAGCGCTCCACAGTTCAAACTCATCAAGTCTGACCGAATAGAGCAAGACTGCCCAGTCGCTCACTCCCCACCCTAGCTCTGTGGTAGGTTCCTGCCTGGGGGATCAGCTGGTATGCTGATCAATGAGTCAGAGCTGTGGCCCAGGCAGGGGCTGAATTATGCTTACGTAGTCATTCTCTTCTTTCACCATGGAAAGAACATACCCAGGGTACTGCTGCCCTGAAACCACCGTGCACGTGACTTTATATGAACTATTCCTGCCTCAGACACAAGCCTGGAAGTCAGGGTGACCCAGACAGCCAAATCATGCTGATGCGAGACTCCTGATCAGAAGACCAATACTTGTTTGCCACTGAGGTTCTAGGGCTGCTTATCATCCATTAAAAACTGGCTGAGTTCAGGAGGTCCTACCTTTTGATATTGTGACAACACTGTCACCTACAAAGTTCATACTCAGGAACTATTTTTTTTTGAAATTACCAAGAAAACCCCCACATTAAAAAGTCATAATATTTTAAGTAAATTGGGCTACATTTGGAAATGTCCTGGAGAACATATGCGTTGTGGAAAACTCGAGATGTGTTACATTCGTTTATGCTGTGGGATATTAGTTTAATGATGCAAAGGTGTGTTGCCTTTTTTATGTTTGTATTTGTTTGACACTGTGAAGCTGTGTTACTTTGCCTGCTTAACACACCTGATTGGTCTAATAAAGAACTGAACAGCCAACAGCAAGGCAGAAGAAAGGATAGGCAGGGCAAGCTGGGAGAGAGAATAAATAGGAGAGATAAAATTCCAAAGACAAAAGAAAGGGAGAAATGAGAAAAGGAGAGGAGGATGCCAGGGGCCAACCACCTATCCACACAGCCAACCAGAGAATAAGAAGGAAAGGAAGAGATGCAGAATAAGGAAAAGTAAAAGCCCAGAGGCCAAAGGTAGCTGGGATAATTTAAGTTGGAAAAGCTGGCTAGAAACAAGCCAAGCTAAGGCTGGGCATTCATAAATAAGATTAAATCTAAATGTATTTATTTGGGAGCTGTGTGGAGGGTTCCCAAAGAGTGAAAGAAAAAAAAGAAAGAAAAACCAGCCAACTATACATGTGACTTGTGGGCTGCAGACTGGACATTGAGACGAGACTCCTAGTTAGTCTTACATTAAATTACTCATGTTCATCTTAGTCTTTAATAACCCGCTTTATTTCTCAAATGTATCCAACATGACTATTTTCTAAAATACTCTCCTTGTTTCAGCTCAACTAATCAGTCACTCAGCCACATGTAAGCAAATTCCTGAGCAAATGTCTAGGAAGGCTCCGAGGACAGTGTCCACGGACACATGGTCCTGTTCTATGTGTGGGCCTCTCCTGCCCTTCTCATTCCTCGCCCGGGACTCACAGCAAGAGAAAAAATAACTTGGTTTGGGGACACTGGGTGTTGATTTGGGGCATTGGGTGCTAGTTTGCGGATACTGGGTGTTAGTTTGGGGATGCTGAGTGAGTGTTGGTTTGGGGACACTGGGTGTTGGTTTGGGGCATTGGGTGCTAGTTTGGGGATACTGGGTGTTAGTTTGGGGATGTTGAGTGAGTATTGGTTTGGGGACACTGGGTGGAGGTTTGGAGACACTAGATATTGGGTTGGGACACTAGATGTAGGCTTTGGGAGACTGGGTGTTAGTTTGGGGACACTGAATGTTGGTTTGGGATACTTGGTGTAGGTTTGGGGACACTGGATGTTCATTTGGGGACACTGATGTTCATTTGGGGACACTGGGTGTAGGTTTGGGGATACTGGGTGTTGGTTTGGGCAATGAGTGTTGGGTAGTGCCTGAGTTTTGGAAGGGATACTGTCCTGGGTAGAGACCCACACTATTGTGGTGCAGATTCTTGTTCTCAAGACCAGCCCTTTAAGTGTTAAAACACTCAGTTTTGAAATTTGGTAAAAGTATGGATTTATGTATTTTTATTGGAGAATAAACAGAGGACAAGTATCTATTATCAGAAATGCTTGGAGCCAGAGATTTTTAGCATTTCAGATTGCTTTGAACTGGGGAATATTTGCATATTCATGGTACGATGTATGAAGAGAGTCTAATTACAAAATCCATACAAGATTCATCTGCATTGTGCAGCCTGAAGGTAATTTGATACAGTATGTCCAGTGTCCCATTACACGTGGCCAGAAGTTAAGTTTTCTTCTGTGGCATGTGTCCCTCAAAATGCCTTGATTTGGAATTTGAAATGTGGAATTTCAAATTTAACGTATTTAACCTGTGTGTGTGAGGAGGTAGGGGAGGAGAGAGAGAGAGAGAGAGAGAGAGAGAGAGAGAGAGAGGATTAGATTTTTTTTCCATTTGTTTCAGTTCAATTACTTTGACGTCAGTTTTGAAAACAAACCTTCAGAACATAACCTCCTTCTATACTGAGGGCTGCAAAGGTGCTCGCAGACCTACATCCTGACAAACAGACCTGAGTTCTAAGTGCTACAGAAGATGCAGCCCATGCACCCAGCCTATAACAGCCTGGATTCACAGCAGCTGCGCAGACTGCCACTGGGCCCCCTCAGAATGGCCCTGGCTGTTGGAGCTGCGGCTTGTGCCACCATCCAGCATTTCACCAGCCTAGGAAAAAGATCAAAATGCAAGGAATACCTTCTTCTGAGCTTGTCCTACTTCTAGACCTCATCAACCCAAAGGAATCTTAAGTGGAGCCAGCATTTGGTAGGGAAACACCTGAAGCCAGTGTGCTTGTTAAATCCAGAGCAAACATAGTTCCAAATGTCCAGAAGCAGAGGCAGAAAGATAGCAGACCCGGGAGGTCTCGAAGCAGACTTCCTGACCTCTCTGTCTTTATTTAGTAAACTAGCCATTGTCCAAAGAGAAAGTACCAACTCACAAAGAAAGGGTCCTGTTGTTAAAAGATACCACAAAATGAGCAAAACTGCTACGCAATTTCAACATTGCATTTTAAAAATATTTTTGTTCATCTTTATTGTTTTGTCAAACCAGTCGTCTCCTAGCAAATGTTTTTCCCATTCCCATTTAACAAGGACTGAGGTGCAGTTAGAATCACATAACGTTCTATTTTAAAATGCACAAAGTGTCTGTCAGGGAAGTTGTGAATAACTGAAATACTTTCTTATTAATAACAATCAATATCACCAATAAAGCTCAGGTCATAAGGCTTACCACAGAGATTAATAAAATCTTGAAAATACGAAGTTATCAGTTTGTGTACATGTATATGCAAATGTGTGTGCACAAATCAAATAAATTCAAAGTGTAGAAAAAAATTAATACAGAAAAAAAATCAAAACACTAAGAGTTGGTCATGGCAAAGCATGTCCACAATTCCAGCACTAGGGAGGCGGAGACAGAGGATCATGAATTCAAGTTCATCCTTAGCTATGTATCCTGGGCTACATGATACCCCAATCTCAAAAACAAACAAATGAACAAAAACAAAACAACAACAACAACAAAAAAATCACCGAAATTACTTCAAAGTGACAACAGTGCTCACATACCATAAACCATTGACTCAAATCTTAATCTGATTTGAAGTCTGAACATAGGTATGGAGACATCAGATCATGTTTTAGTCTCTCAGGCAGTTATCACTACCGTCTGTAGCTGTATGTGTCTGTGATACCAATCAGGGCATCCCAGGCCTACCATCGTAAACTAGTGTGGCCATCCCATCTTAACAACTCGGGTTTCAGTGACTGGATGCTGCGTGGAGGATGCTGGGAATTTCCAGCTTGAACCTATCTCATTCCTAAGACTAGTGTCTTCAAGGTCTCTTCGGCCTGGCTCTTCTGTGGATTCTTTAGTGGAACCCCACCCCCACCCTGCCAGCACACACACTCGTCAAAAGCTCCAAATCCTGCTGGCAATTGTGGTGCAGCCAGAGGGAGCCTAGAAGCGCCTCCAGCGAGACTTCCCTTCATCCTGAAGGACCCCTCAGAGGTGGGTCTTGATTTCACACCCGAAAAGAATTTCAGCACGAGCCAATTGAAGCAGAGTTGAAGCTTTTCAGGTGACTTTATCATCAACTTTAAGCGTTGGGAAGAAAAGAAAGAAAGGCATTCAGGAAGAAAGTAAGAGACTCTCCAGAATGTTGGTGTGGGCTTCTCTAAGGAGAGTCATCCCAAGACATTCTCCTCCGAGTCCTCTATCAGATACACTCTCTCTCCACCTTCTATCAGTGCTTGCCAGAGACTGAGATGGAAATGCAGCTCCTACCATGTCCCTTCCTCTTTCCTTCCTCTACCTCTCAAGTCAAACGCATTTTAGTTAGAAGAACATATCTCTTCATTTGACCCCTTCCCCAACAGAATTCACTACCACAGAGCTGGTGATGTACCAGCCCCATCTACCGCCAGACTCGAGCTACCCTCAGACCCTAGAAGAGCAAAAAGCCACCAGTCAGTCCAGAAAAACCAGGCAGAAGCAAGGCTGAGGCAGGAGGCAGCCCACGACCAGCCACGCTGGGGAGAGAAGCTGCCAGATCTCCTGATGTCAACTCTAAAACACGCTGTGATTTTCAAGTCACCCCGAGACTAACTCCTAGAGACAGACATCCTGGGTCGGCGAGCAAGATGAGAAGAAGGTTCTAGAACATAATTGGTCAGGTTACTGCCGCTTTTCCCAGGGGTTCTGGATAACACTTACGTGTGGAGGAGGAAGGGTTGGGGAGAAGAAATCATTGAAACTTGCTGATCTAGACAAGGCACAGGAACTCAATCTTGAGGGAAACATTGGATTTGGAGAAACTCACAGTTCTCATCCGGAGTCGTGACCTGTGCAAATGTTTCATTGGGACCCAGGCCAGCACTGGTGTATGGAACGACCAAATACTCATAGATCGATTCTGGCCGAAGGTTTTCCACCGTGAATGTCTTCTGCTCGGGGTCTTCGATGTCATATTCACAGAGCACTTTATCTGTGATTGAAAACCAGCGTTGTTGTCAACAAAATCTTATGAAGAGTGTAGGAGAAAGCCTGTGTGTGGTCAATTAGTGGAGTCCTTGCCTAGCATGCATGGGCCCTGGGTTTAATCCCCAACACCACCCACACTGGACAGGACGACACAGGTCTGTGATCCCAGCAGGAAGGGCAGTTCAAGGTCATCTTCAGTTACATAGTGAGTTCAAGCCAGTCTGGGATAAATGGAACCCCGACTTATTACAAAAAAAAGAGGGGAAAGCCTGTGGCAGAGACGTCGTAGGAAAGCTGGGCACAGATGCCCCAGCTGTCTTGGAACCATCAGCATCAGTGACTGGATGCTGCGTGGAGGATGCTGGGAATATCCCAACCTCTTGTAGGAATATTTCATTTGTATTTTAATAAATAAAGCTTGCCTGAAGATCGGAGAGTAAAACAGCTGCACTGATCAGCCATACAGACCAGGCAGTGGTGGCACACACCTTTAATCCCAGCAGCTAAACTAGTTTGTCATAGTAACCCGGTGGTAGTGGTGTACGCCATTAATCCCAGCACTAGATTGGAATGTAAGACCGGAGGAGACAGGTTTCAGGCTCAGTCTCATTCCGAGATTCCTGGAGGCAGGATCGCCATTTCAAACCAAGGTAGAGGTAAGAGCCAGTGACTGACTGCTTTGCTTTTCTGGTCTTCAGGTTGAACCCCAATATATGTTTCTGGATTTTTATTTTTCATGCTACATTTAATGCCCAATGTTTGGGGTATGACTTCATGAAAAAGCCATTTGCCTGAGGCTTTTTAGCCACAAAGGCCAGAACTGGACCAAAACCTAGCAACCTGAGTTCAGGAGAAAAACTAGCACCCCACCCATCTGCTCACAACTTCCTGTTCACCCACCCCAGCTTTCTGTGGGTGGCTCCCGTGGTCCCAGCGGCTTGCTGCTAACTCCTCGTGTAGCTACCACATGCAGCTACTGCAGCTTCCCGTGGCTACTGTGCCCATGCACACCTACTGCACGGCCACCCTGACCACATCTGACCCTGTTCATTTCCAAAGAAACACACAGAGGCTTATAGTTGACCTATTAGCTCAGGCTTATTATTAACTAGCTCTTATACTTTAAGTTAACCCATAATTCTTGTCTATGTTTAGTCATGTGGCTTGGTACCCTTATTCAGTAAGGCATTCTCATCTTTCTTCTTCTGCTTCTAGATAATAACTCATCTCTGCCTTTCCTCTACCCAAGATTCTCAGTCTCTTCCGACACTCATACCCCCCTTTGTTTGCCTATTGATTCTAAAATGACATGGGGAGAACATGGCCTGGTCTCTAGCCTGGTCACTATCCTAGCCCAGTCACGTGAGGGCTCAGACTCAGCATCAATTTCATTGCTTTCTGAACAGTGCTATGAGCCTAGGTGAACAAAAGCAAGCATCACCTGGAAGAATCGTCCTTCTCCCTTTTGACTGACACTGCATGTCCTTGGATTTCAAGTACACACGGTAGCCTTTTATAAAAGCAGACTGGAAGTCGCTGGCATAAGCCGGCCAGTTCAGAATGAAGGAATTGGAGGTGGAGTTACTAACGCTCACTTTTGGGTTCTCCAGAGGAACTAGGAAAGGAAGATGGGATAAGAACACGTTATGATTTGGGGTCTCAGAGCACGTATGTAAACTAAACAGACCACAGGCAGTTCTGGACACTAAGAGCTTGTGTCAAGTTAAGGAGTCTTGTCTTCCCTCCCCCCACCCCCCGAAAAGAAGACCTAGACATGGTTAAGAGAACTGGGAAGAGTTGGGTAATTGTCTCCTTCAAACCTTTCATAGATGAAGACCTAAATACCCAGAAAGAGTAAATAATTTGTAGAGACGTCATGGGAGAGGGGAGGGAAAATAAAGGTCTTGATTCTGTCCGTGAAGTTTCAACAGTATTTTCTGAATCAGAGAATGTACAGATATGAAGAGGAAGGAGCAGGAGAGACAAGATGGGTTCAAAGATGTGAGGGGGATTTGAAGAATCTGGTTATCAGGACAAGGTAATGCATGTTATCAGACACTCTGGGAATGCACCGGGTGAATCCTGGCCTCTTCACTCACGTGGCCACACACACATACATGCACACACGCACACACACACATACACGCACACAATGCACACAAGCACACAATGCATACACATACATGCACACACGCACACATGCACACACACATATGCACGCATGCACATTTTCGCATACTGTCTGCACAGAGATACACTCACAAATGTCATGCCTCCTCCTTTTCTCTCCACTAGCCGTGAATACTGGATCAGCTCTCCCAAATGAAGAATTTTAGAGTCAGTCTAATTGCTGAGACAACCAAAATCTTCAGCATCCAGAGACTTGAATGCCAAGCATTCCAGTGGGGAGAGTGAGCAGCCTCATTCTGGTGGTAAGATGGGGTAATACTCAGAGAAACTGATTTCACAGCAATTCTACAAGAAATGAGAAGCTTATTTCAGAAGCCTAAGTCCTTTGACCCCAGGATTCTGCTCCTAGGATTCATTTAAAAACCATCATTGCCAGCATGAGGTGATACCTCACTTGCTAAGTGTTTGCCTTTTAAGCATGAGAGCCTGAGTTTGAACACATGAAAAAAGCTGAGAGTGGTGGTGTTTGCTTGAAATCCCAGGATGTGTAGGGGGGGAGACAGGTTGATGCCTGGGGCTTGCTGGCCAATCAGTGTAGCCTACTTGATGAGCTCGGGGCCAGTGAGGGATAGATGCAAAAAGCTTGGTATATGGCACCCGAAGAATGATAGAGGCACTGTTTGGCCTCCACTTGATCTGTACCTGCACACATGTATGTGCACACACACACACACACACACACACACACATGCACATAAATACACACACTTATGGATACAGGCAAAGACTTAGCTAAAATGAAAGCAATTCAGACTGGCACAAAAGTATGGACACAAAAAGAGAGGTTTACAACTTGGAGCTACAAGATGTTTGGAGATAAAATTTACAGTTTCTCAGTGAAAAGTCTCTGTAATCATCCTAAATTGTCTGATGATACACCTGTGTATGACGTGGCACACGCAGAGAGGGTTTACTTTCCAATCACAGAAGGAGCACTGTGGGCAGTTAGTATTTTGTGGCGTTAATCAAGAAAAGCAGTTAACAGACTTTGTAGAGTGAGATCCCATTTGTATTTAAAAGCATTTATCCATATAGAGAAGTGGGTATCAGTATATAATAAAACACTAAGTGGATATTGGCCTTTAGGGTGTTAAAATTAGCAATAACTACATCGTCTTTCATGTAGCATTTCATAAATCACCTTTAATGAAGATGTTTCATTTATAGGGTTTTAAAAATTTAATGTAATTTCTAAAATAAGTGGGACCATAAAATTAAGCTTGGGGAGGGAGTCTTCCAAATGCAAAGCTATGAGTATGCGGGTGGCTCAGAAGAAAGAACTCTCCACGAGGCCTGCAAATGCTGTCTACTTACCCTGTTCCTGCGTGTATCCTGTTTGTCTCCCTATTAGCTGGGCATCTTGCTGCAAAGATCTTTCAAAAATTCTGAAGTTGTAACGGACCCCTGGTTTAAAAGCATCTGGAGGAGAGAAGGCAAGGGTTTTTAGCAAGACAGAATGACGTCATCTGAGTTGGGAAGAAAGGCTGACCACTGAGTGAGCACTCCTCTAGGAGAGAGGATGACCACTGAGTGAGCACTCCTCCAGTAGAGAGGATGACCACCGAGTGAGCACTCCTCTAGTAGTTTCTTTTTCAAGATCTTTCCTTTTTCCCTCTACTATTTTCCTCCTTCTACTAGGCCTCAGAATCTTCCATGTTGTGAACACAGTGCTGTCTGGAAAGTTCCATAAGACTGTCCTTCACTCTGGAGCCAGGATCCTCAGCCTGGGCTCACCTGTGCGCATAGAGGTGGTACAGAAGCAGCCAGACTCAACACCTACTCCAACATTTGACATTTGACATAGAAAATCCTGACAGTATTTACCTGCCATCCTCCCGCTAAAACTCAGAATCTGGAAAGCCTGCTTTTCCCTTCCTTTCTTCCTCTTTCCCCTGTAGCCCTGAAGTCTGGCTGCAAAGTTCTTTTTTTTTATTATTATTTTATTTTATTTTTTTATTGAGAAGAGGAAAAAAAAAGTTTCCACCTCCTCCCAGCCTCTCATTTCTCTCCCCATCCTCCCACCCTTCTCCCCCTCCCCCCACTCCTCTCACCCCCCCTCTCCAATCCAAAGAGCAGTCAGGGTTCCCTGCCCTGTGGAAAGTCCAAGGTCCTCCCCACTCCGTCCATGACTAGGAAGGTGAACATCCAAACTGGCTAGGCTCCCACAAAGCCAGAACATGAAGTAGGATCAAAACCCCATGCCATTGTCCTTGGCTTCTCATCAGCCCTCATTGTTCGCCATGTTCAGAGTCCGGTTTTATCCCATGCTTTTTCAGTCACAGTCCAGCTGGCCTTGGTGAGCTCCCACTAGATCAGCCCCACTGTCTCAGTGGGTGGGTGCACCCCTCGTAGTCCTAACATCCTTGCTCATGTTCTCCCTCCATCTGCTCTTCATTGGGACCTTGGGAGCTCAGTCTGATGCTCCAGTGTGGGTCTCTGTCTCTATCTCCATCAATCTTGCAGGTGCCTCCACCACTTTCTAGAACTAGACGATTCCCATACCAGCCCTCAGCCTAATAGATGGTACACACCTGTGCCTCCTGCTTACGCCATTCACTGGAGCCCCTTTCACTCCCCTGAAAGAGCAGGAATCTTCAAGCTGCAGGTTTGGTAAGGGAGGTGAGCATTCATGCCTACAAGCTTCTTGAAACTAAAAGCTGATACTTTGGCTGCATCAACTTTGTACCCTAAACATGGCCCAAGTATGTGATGTTCTCTGCATCTGTAGAAACTTCCTGCACACAGTTCCAATGTCCCTCTAATTTAGAAGGGCAAAATATTAAAATCTGTACTCTGTCTACATTTTCATACTCTGCTGCAGTAGATTTTCAGATCAAAGGTCAGAACCTATTCTCATGACATCCAATCTCCAAGCAACCACTCTGGATCTGTCATTTCAAAGTTGTTAGCCTAGCATACTATATCTGTAGGTTAGAACAGAAGTCTGAGTTTAACTGGCTGCAAGGGGGATATGCAAGCAGGAGGGCTGAGTTCTCACCTGAGGTGATGATGGTGCTCGTGGTATTGGGACCTAGCTTCTTCCACTGCAAGTCACACTGTCGGTCCTGGGAATGTTCACACCAGTCCACAACATAGCCTAAAGCATCTCCAGATGAGGGCTCCCAAGAAATATGGAATCCATCCTTAGTACCTTTAATTCTTTTTTCACGGACCTCTTCTGTAAAGAAACAAATAGAATAGTACTTCTTATTCCGCTCACTGGATTTCTTTAACAACTTCCAAGGAAGAAAATAAACTAACAAACACTTGCAATGTTTTTTTTTTTATAGTTTTGGTTTAAAATGTCTCTTAAAGGCTTCCGTACCTAAAACTTTGGTCCCCAGATTCTGGCACTGTCTGGAAGTAGGGAAACCTTTCAGATGTCAATAGTGGAAGATGGAAGTTAGATCACTGGGCATGCTATAAAAGGAGATGTTGGTACTCTGGTTCTATCCTCTCTTTGCTTCAAGGGCACCTTGAGGTGAGCTGCTTTTGCTCTACCAGAAGCTAACTACCATGAAATCCATCCTCTCTGCAACCCAAAAGCACCAAGCTAACCAACCATGATATCCGTCTCTCCAACTATGAATTTGAACCAACTTTATCTTCGTAAAAGTTGTGTCCCGTAGGTACTTTGTCCTAACCAGGGAGGTTGACTCAGTATCTCAGAAGGGAGAGGCTCTAATTGCTACACAGGATCGAGGGCAGGTGCTCCTCACTATTTCTATTCTTCAAATCACATTTGCAGCTCAAGGACACAGCGTGTTAGTCTTAGGACCCTAGGTTTGGAATGTCTGCTCTAAATGGTTCATTTGTAATATATTTGTGTGGCTCATCTTCAAAGGTCCTCCAGCAAGCTCAGGCACAACTACAATGAGCAGAAAACACTGGAACATTGCTGACAGCTGGCTGAAGACAGCCCTCCCTGCCACCAGCCAAATGAAAAGCATAGAGCTCAAATTACTAAGAGCCAAGCTTGCCTGGTACATTTTAAATGGACAGTATATAAAACATCCGGGTGAATCCAGTACAGGTTTTGTTTGCACAATGACAGAGAGAAAAGTAAGACCTGGATGGACATGTAGGGTCGCATTCCCCTGCTTGTTCGGCCAAAGAGAAGACTTGTATTAGGGTTACAAAAACTGTTTTGCAGGCTCCATCAATGGCCGTTCTGAGTTCACACCTGGTTTTGTAAAGTCCTGAAATAAACCGCCTTGTTCCCACCATTCTGAGTTTTCAGTGCTCCTCTTACCAAGCACTTTTCTCATGTCTATGCATAAGCGAAGGGGAAATGTCAGTTGCAGTGTGAGATGGATTGGTTTCGTTGATGGAGGAAGGCCATGTGGGTCAACTTTGACTGGGAGCCGACACCCCAAGGAAACCATCTCAACGACCTTTACCTTGTACCTAGAGCTGTACACCCTGCCGGGTGGGGGCTTCTGCTATGTAACAACGTCGTGGCCCAGAAAGATGAACAGCACCTTAGTGTCATGCCAATGTTAACTGGTCATTAGAACTGCCGGGTGACACAGGACACCCAGAGACTCTGAACTGCAGGCTTTAGTGGAATTCTGTGAAAATGGTGAAATTCTTCAGCCTCTGGGCCAAAGTGTGGACCTACTCCAAAGCAATAGAATTGACTTCACACAGGACAGTTCTCTTTAAAATTAAGACACCTTCTGATCTGGTTCACTTAGCTTAAATTTAAACAGAATAGGAATGGAACCACCCAATCTTTCATGGCCTCACCAGCCTGGCACCTTTAACAGCAAGAACTGAAAGATGGCATTGTTGCAAGGTATGTAAATGACCTCAGCGTTTCAATTCCTTTTGCCTTTTGTCCACATGTGCACTGTATCACAGCAGGGGACTGGGGATTTGCTATGCCAGAATTTTTCTGTGGCTCAGTCAAGAAGAACATTGATGTCATTCTTGGGTTTAGATGTGCGATCACTTCCCATTGGCTCATTCTTCAGTTGGCGGAGAGATTGGTAGCTAATCATCTGTTGCTATTCTACAAACTTGGCCAAATTGCAATGTCTCATGGAAGAGTCCATCCATTCTCCTTAGGATGTCCATGGGCTCCTTTGTCCCACCATCGTTCTCCCTCAACGTAGTCTCACTATGTAGTACAGGCTGGCCTCAAACTCATGAACCTCCTGCCTCAGCCTCCCGAGCGTTGTGAATACTCCCGAGCGTTGGCAGTTCTGTAAACTCTTTATAGATGACAACAGCGGAAGATATTTGTTAACACGCAGAAAATATGGTGCAAATCCCATAAGTCACAAATCCCTGGGCACTCACTGTCTTGGCTCTCAGAGAGGACTGCTGTGGGATTTATACAACTGAATTTTAGATCATCTCTTATGTCCTTAGGAGCATCCAGGGAGAGAGTGGGCTGGGTCACTGTGAAGACACCGTCATATTTCAACCTGTGCTTACACCCAGCTCCAAAGGAAGTGCCTAACTGCACATGGTTGCCTCAAGTTATGGTTTTATTTATTTAGTATGTCACTACCTGGAAATATCTCCAATATTTTCCTTGAGAATGGAAGCCAAGTTGACCAATGCCGACTCACCATGTCCAGAATCGTTAGAGAGGACCATCACTGACTCAGGCGATGCACCCACGCTGTTGTTGGCCGTGATGTGAATCTTGTAAGAACTCAGGTCAAGCCTCAGTTGTTTGCCAAGGACTGGTGCTGGAATACGGTAGTGCTTTGACTCAGTTGGTCTGTCCTGATTTTCTACAACTATATCATAGAATACGATTTTGCCATTGGCCTGTGATTTTAATAGTGGCTGAAAAAAATAATAATCCTTTTAAAATGAGCTTCACTCTGAAATTACTCTATCATTACTTTTTCATGTCTTCCATCATCAGCTGCCCAATCCACATATACCTAAGAACATATCCACTCATGCACATGCCTATGTGTGCACACACGTGCACAGGCACATATTAGTAAGTCACACATATAAAGATATTAGAACAAATGCAGTTTGCACATTTAAACAGAGACATTGTCTCAACAACAAGCTTAGAATCAGGCCTATCAATCTAACTAAAGAAAACAGAGACAAAAATCATTTAGAGATGGTAATAAAATTTTATTGTATGAGCCGGGCGGTGGTGGCACACACCTTTAATCCCAGCACTGGGGAGGCAGAGGCAGGTGGATCTCTGGGAGTTCGAGGCCAGCCTGGTCTACAAGAGCTAGTTCCGGAACCGGCACCAAAGCTACAGAGAAACCCTGTCTCAAACCCCACCCCCCAAAAAATTTATTGTATGTCCAGATAGCAGGGACTGAGTCAAAAGTCAAGAGGAATATAGACTCCTTATATCTGGAGGAAATAAAATTTGGAAGTCATCTTAGAGAAGACACAGTAGTGGAACCAGCACCCAGGGTCCTTGTAAGACAAGCCTGCATTCTGGCCTCTTTGTACCTAGTCTTTTCTCACCCTGACCCCTGCCTCCTACCATAGACTCCCTCTTTTAAAAGATACTCATGGTTACAGAGAAGTCCTTGCCCTTACAGTCCCAGGCCAGCATCTGTCAGTGGTTCCTGAGGTCTGCTTTCCCTGGGACAGTCTGTGTCCTGCTCTGTGTACCCCAGATCTCAGATCAAGCTGCAGCTTTCCCCTTGGGGTTATGGAGAGAACTCAGGCATAGGCTTAGCAGAGTCACACCTGTATATGCAGAGGCCCGGAAAACTGTGCCCAACTCAAGGGCAGAAGAAAAGCTGAAGGGGTTGTGACAAGGGACCAACCGTCTCCTATCACCGTGTTTTGGTATGAGGCACCGAGGATCCCAGAGCCCTGGATGCAAAGCTGACCTTCCAGGTTGTCATGCAGTATATTGGGTCAGGCAGAAGGATAATGCTGATCTTCCATTATAAATCAATAGCTTGATTTGAAACTATGGTATTTACATACAATTAGGAGTAGGGTATGTGACTCTAGGCATAGTTCCTTGTCTTGATTCTTGGAAACGTTATAGTGGGCCTGAGTTGAATATACAGAGAAGGTTCTAGCGGTCCTTCTACCTGATGACCAGCCCCGTGAGACTGACATCACTGTTTCTTCTGGCTGGGGTTACACTGATGTGCAGCAGCCGCAAGTCGCTCCTGAAGCTGCACACCTTACCTTCCAGAATAAGGTCACAACATGACTTCCATTCTCTGACCGAACGTGTCTCCATACATCAGGAGCCTGTGAGGGAGCTGAAATTAAGCAAAGAAAAATCCCCCGGGTCATATTCGTGTCATGTTTCCTCTGTTCTTCTAACACAGTGGTTCTCAACCTTTCAAGTGCTACGCAAGCCCCTGTGGGGGTCTTGATCCACATGTTGAGAGCTGCTCTTCTAAGACATGGCTGTTACCTGTCTTCTCTGGGGCTTGCTAGTTAACCCTCTCCCTTTCTGTGACTTCTGCCCGTGGGTCCACAGCCATACTGCACACTAAGCACTCATAGGGTGGGCTTTAAATATTCTCACTGATTTTAAATATTCTCCTGATTTAAATATGCACATGATACCATGTTACATTGAGAACATTTCTGTGTAAGTTTATAGCAGGTGATCTAAAATTAAAGGTCAATTGCCCTTGGATGCAATTCCAAACTTGAAACTTACAAGTCGGCTCCAGAGCATCTGGAAGCCACCAAAGAATTTTTCATTGTCATGTGCAAGGCTAAGACAGAGACACACTGACCTAGGTCTCTGGGGACAGAAAGCCCAGGGTTTCTGGTTGGCTTTCAGGATGTCCTCCAGCTGCCCCTCACTAGAGTCACAACCTGGAAATGCTTCTTTGTTCCTGATCCTGCCAACTGTCTCCTGTGGACACACAGGGAACCTGATGCCCAGTCCTCAAGTCATGGCACCAAGTACTGCTTTCAAGAGTCCACTGGAAGATGGAATCACAGCGGCCAGGTCTTGGCTCATCTGACTTTGAAACCCTAGCATTAGGCTCTGGGCCTAGTCCTTAGGGTGAGCTCCAGAAACACTGCCTGAAGAGTGAGCAGTGGACTAGAAGCCCAGAAAGCAATCTGCTCAAAAGTCGCAGTCTCTTCTTTCTGTACTTCATTTAGAAATTTATGTAAACTGAGAATTGATTTGCACTACATCTGTGCTTAATCCACTGATTTTAGAAGGAGGAATCACCCTCTTTTCATATCTATCTATCTATCTATCTATCTATCTATCTATCTATCTATCTTGTATCATCTATCTATCTTCTATGTATTTATCTATCTTCTATCTGTCTATCTTCTATCATCTATCTATCTATCTATCTATCTATCTATCTATCTATCTATCTATCTATCTATCTATCATCTATCTATCTATATATCATCTATCTATCAATCATCTATCTGTATATTTTTTTCAGTGATAGAGATTGAACCCAGGTCCTTGAGCATTCTAGGCAAGAGTTATACTACTGAGCTATACTCCCCCAGTCAGATGAACCAGTGTTTTTACCCAAGACCACTCTGGGTACCTCTCCTTAAAACTATTTGGGGACAGATTTAATGTACATAAAACAGTAGGTAAATGCATAGAAAGGTAACTAGGTGCTGTGCCCACTCCGACTATTTTATACACATTTGCTCATCTGATTTCCTGTAGTGTAGGTGTTCTTATTGACTCCATTCTCTCAATAAGGGAAATGAGGGTCAGAGAGACTAAGCTAACTGTTCAAAATCTGCAGAAATGCGGGTGAAGCCACTGGAACTTATGACTGACAGGTTCTCAGCCATGCCATTATTCAGGAAACTGATGGTCACTTTCAGGCTTAAATCACAGGCCTGAGTTAAACAAAGATGCTCATAAGCATGTCTTTATGATAGAAAATAATAATACCAATGTGATTAACTTTAAACCTTTAACGAAATGCATCTTTCTTTGTTGCCTTTTACTTTTAAAAAATGGATGGAAGTGCTACCAAGATGGCTATGTAGTTTTTAGTTCCCAGTTCATTTTGCTTGATACTTGCGTCACACTGTGTATTCTACAAAGAACCAAAATTTCCGTCGTGTTTTTGTGGTCATACTTGGACATAAATGGGAGAACTGACCAATAATCAAAGAGAACATGCAGGCTTCCTCCACTACAAGTGCTGCCAGGAATACTGCTGAGAGCAGATATTGGCCCTTGGCATCTTTCTAGCTCGTTCATGGATACTCAAAGGTATGGGTGGCTCCGTTCTCCAGTGAGGCCCTAAAGGCACAACTCATACTCAAATGTGTTCTCAAGACATCTCTACAATTAGCCTGTGAATGGGCTGGAATCCAGTCTCAGCTGAGTTGGGAAGGAAAACTACAGCTACTCTCATTGAATATCAACTTTTTCAAGGAAATTCTTCCTCAACCTTTTGTCTATGTGTAACATGGTTGCGTTACATCACTTGTCATACATTCATAAATTTTCACAAAACAAAGCTGTTTCATTTTTTTATGTTCTTTATTTTTATGTTTGAGGGGACAGTGATGTGATGCAAAATATCTTTATGAAAGAAGGACCATAATGGAACACAGAACACAAAAATCTATCTCTATTAGAAAACTATGGTTGACTGCAATCAGCAACCAGACCATTGTTTTATTTACTTCCTGATACTTCATACAAAACTTCAAGATAAGATCCATATTCAAATCCAATGTGAGCCCAGGAATAGCAAAGAAACTACTTGAGAAAGCGTACACTAGAAATAACATTATTATCAAATGCCTTTGCTCCTTACGCATTTAATCTGGTTTTAGAGTATGACTTTCCCTTTCCTTCAATACTTTCTCAGCACTCGGTACAAATGAGAGAGCTGAATTAAGTCGACCCAAGCATATTGTGAGATTTAGTCTGTGAGTTCCATGCCAGGGAGCCCCACGTACCAGCCTCGGGTGTGGTGAACTCCTTTTGAGCCCAGTCACTCCATTTCCAGAAGTGGTTGGCATCCGCACAGCGCACACGAGTCTTGTACTCTGTGTCTGGCTCCAGATCACTGAAGAGGTAGTTCCCACTCACGTGGACAGAAACATTGTGTGCCTGCGTCAAGAAGACAAGGGAAAAACAAAGGTTATGGGTGCATTTGTGTTGCAAAGCCAAATCAGAAGGGTGGTATCTCTGCTTTGGAGCAAGACTGGGTCTTCTTCAAGGTAAGGCTCTTTTCCAGTTTCAGGACCCCTTTCAACAGATAATCCACACTATGAACTAATGTTGAAATAAAGGCCTGACTGATTGATTTTTCTTATTTTTAGGTTGTTCTTTTTCACCTTGGGTAAGGTCTTGTAATGTAGCCCTGGCTAGCGTGGAACTCACTGTATACATTAGGCTGGCCTCCAACTTGTAGTAATCCTCCTGCCTCTGTCTCTCAAATGCTAAGATTACAGGTGTGTCCAGCATGTTTGGCCTGAAATAAGACATGTTTGTTTGTATTTTGGTTGTTCTCACAGATAGTCTCATTATATAAACTAAAGCTAGCTTCAAACTTGTGATCTCCCAGTTAGCCTCCTGAATGCTAAGATTACAGGTGTGTGACACCCAAGGTTAAAAACAAAAACAAACAAAAAAAAGCTTATTTGGCCTCTGTCTCTTTAGGTACATCAAGATTTTTTTAAAACAGGAAACAACAAAATGTTCTTACGTGTATCACTTCTCTTTCGTGCTGGAGTTCAAGCTGACACAGGAGCATGTAGTTGTCCCCACGGGAGTACACCTTCCAGGTCATGTTGGCTTCTGTAGCACTTAGTGTTTCAAGGGTGACATCATGGGGAGGCTTTTGATGAACTGTTAACAAGAGAAAGAGGAACAAACAAAAAAAAAAAAAGAGAATTCAAGCAGATCCAAACCAGAGTTCAGTAGGTAGGCGATTCATTTTGTCTCTTGTCTGGTCACCAGTACTTTTTGTTTATGTTTAAGAAAAGAGAAACAACGCTGGGCTTGTTGACAGAATGTTGTGTGTCCAGCATGCAATCCTTTTCATTCACTAATGGCCTTGTGTATTTTATATTGTAGCAGACACAGAGGTGAAATACAAAAAAAGCAACTATGTGTAGACTCTTAACATTAAATATGATCAGTAAGGTTATGGAGGAAGAGTCAAAACTTAAAGAAGACAGCCAATGGAGGAAGGTTATAATGCAGCCTGAGTCTAACTAAAAATAATATTAACAATGTCAAGAAAACAACTCTAAACAATCCAATCTACAAAACATCCCAGAGTGATATCACCAAATTGCCAAGGGAAACGATCATCAACAGATGTCACCAGTGACCTATAGGATACATCTGCTACACAAGACTTTGAAACTGGTCCATGAGCCAGGGCCAAACAGAAGAAATGCGTAGACGGAGAACAGTTCTCAGCAGAGAAACTGAAACTAATAAGGGGGGAAAGGAAGGGAGAAGAGTGTGCAGAATGAAAGGTAAACTAGATAGTTACTGCAGAAAGGAAACAAAGAATTAATTTAAACTTTTAGAGCTGGAAAGTACAGTATGGAAAAAGACCAAACTACATGTTGTGGTGATGGTTACATGGTCTGTCCCTGCCTTCCTTTCTTACTATATGAGGATAGGGGTGGGGACTGGGGCTGGGCTGAAAACTGCCCCAATGGTCTATTTGCCACAGGGAAGAGTGATTAATTAGTTTTCTGGGGTTTCTCGGTCTCTATCCTCAGATTTTTCTCATTTTAGGGTTTGAGCTACACATAGTTTAGAGCAACAGACAATTTTGGCTAAAGAAGGACAGAGAGAGAGGTTCTGGAATAGACTGTGCAGTAAGTATATGTTGGAATGCTAGTTTTCAAGTTTGTTAGAGAGCTCAGTGAGACTTGAGATAAGATCAAAACATGAGCTCGAGGATGCACGCATCCATGAGGGTAAGTGTGAGCGAATAGAAGTACAGGGGTTTGATGAGGGGTGTCCTTCTGTATGCTGCAAACGTGTGTTGCTTGTATTGGTTGATGATGGCAGAAAATAGATAGGCAGGAAATCAAAACAAAGATGCGGAGAAAAGGAAGGCTGAGTCAAAGAGATGTCATGTAGCCACCAGAGAAGAGAGACGCCAGCAGCAGCTTAAGGAGAAACATGCCAGAGGTAACGGCACAGCCTTGTGGTGCTATATGGGGGCAGTAGAAGTGGTTTAATTTATAAGAGAGAGTTAGGCAAAAATAGCCTGAGCCATTGGCCAAATACAATCAATTAAATTACAATTAATATGAAGCTCTGAGTGGTTATCTTATAAGCAACTGTAGGTCTTGCGGGCAGAGAGAAACAGGTCCATTGTGACCCCGCAAGACAGAAAAAAGGCTCCCTTTACAAAAACTAGCTTTCCAATGGTTGTGAACTAGGCCAGGATCTACAATGTATTCACTGGGTCTCATTGTATAAAATACCATGCTAATGGCCATCTTGGGCCACGGCATCGCAGTCTCACCTCTATGGGTCAGATTAAAAATTAGGTTGACACTTCTTTTTCTTAGGTTGTTTTCGGCTGTGAGTGTGAAGTTATATGTTTCCTGTGAATCTTCGGTGATTTGCCAGGTATGCGAGTTTCTGTGGTCAGAAAGCTCCTGTCTCCCAGAGAACCTTAAAAAATGGAACGAAACAAGACAGCAAAGACAAGGTTTAAACACTTCCATTAAAGCAGATGTATACTGATCCCTTGGAATTTTCTGTCACCAATATATGAAACATTTCGAAGAATAAATACATTTTTATGTATTTATTTTTCAATGAAAAAATAAAAACATTTCAATGAATTTTCTGTATGTGATGAAATTTTCTTGTGGGTGGTATAGACATCAATTAATCTAGTTGAATGTTCTTAACAATTTAGAAAAATTAGGGAAATTTATATCAACATATAAGACTATTTTATTACAAAGATACACAATCAACTATTATTATTGTACATGTTCTTTCCGAACAATCAGGTAGAAGGTCCTACACCTCTGCAGACACTGAGAGATTTTCTTGTGATTCCAGCAAGCGGTTCTGAAATATTTGGACACATTTTCTGCAATGTCTGGGTATAGCTCTCCTTGTGTCCCATGTTCCGTGTGTTTTTTGTGAAGTGGAGTTGGACTTTTTCTACAGACACTTTAGTATAAGTTTAACTATCCAGGGTAGGAGAAAGACGTCCATCCAGAGGAAAGAAGACACATTCAAGAGTGCGTGTGTCTTCTCTAAGAGGGAACCACTTGCCGTGTGTTGATTAAACAAGGAAGCACCTGCAAATGCTGTAACTAGAGCAGACTCACGATTCATATAAACTGTAGGTTTGAGAATCTTGTTGATTCCAAGCCAAAGCAGTGTCTACCCCGGGTTCCCACGAACATTTCAAAGTCTTAAAGTCTTGCGTTTCACAGGAAAAATTCTTGGGCTCCTCGAGTATTTCTGTCCATAGAAAAGAGAAGATGAAAGATCTAATTAACGCCTTTCATTAGATGACAAGTCAAAAGGAGGTTCTGCTTGGGGTCTTAACACAGTCCCTCAAACCAAGAAGGAATCAGGAGGTGGACGTAATAGACCAAAGCCTCAAAGGGGCACATTTCAGGAGCTTCCCCACGCTATACTCCCCCATTCTGGGGTACCTTGGGGATGAGCAGTCAAAATAGCACATGAGATTGGCAACTCTGTCATCTGAAAACGGGGTTGGAGCTCCATTTTGATTCTGTGGCTTGCATTAAACCCTAGGGCTGCCAGCCAGACTGTGAACTGGTTCAGTTCTGCAGTGGGGAGCAGAAAGTCCCAGGCAGGGCAAAGCTCCTTGAAATGTGGAGCCCCTTCTGTTCCCAGGGCCTACAGTAAGGGATCAGATGATGGAAGCATCCAGGACTGGAAGTGCCTTCTTTGTCAATAGAGAGAGAGATGCTTCCTATGGTTTAGAGTGATGGAAACTTGAGGGTAGACATAGAAGGTTATAGCACAGGCACATTGCAGCCTACAGGAAAGTCTGCGTGCTCGCACCCCACTGAGACAGGCCAAGGAGTTAATTTTCCATTCAGTTAAGAAGACAAATGGCCATTGTTGTTGAGCTAATATGCCAGGGCTAGAATCCGCCCATATTCATAGGTTCTCTAAACTATCACTATGCCCATTCATGGAAATGACCATGAGAACAGGCCTAGCCCAGAGACGGGGTCAGCATAGGTCTTTGCACTTCTGGGCACCACCCTTCCATGGTTGGCTGGCCTACAACACCACCCCTCTCTCCATGATTCAGACAGAATTCCAGGTCATCTGGGTTGAGGGAAAGAATATTTTCTCAGAGGAACAGGTCATATCCTGAAATCACTTTCCTTTAATACTGTTGGTTCTAGGAATAAAACTGTTAGCAATAAATTAAGAACAATAGAAAACCCTGGGAGTATTGCTTTGGGTATTATTTCAAAAACTCTTTTGGACGACTTGTAAAGGTAAAGAAAACTAAAACCACATGCGAACATATTTCTTTGCCTTCTGGTACATGAGATCCAAGGTGTATCATAGGAAATAAGAAAGAAGGAGAGCTTGCATGCTAATACAGTGGTTCTCAACCTGTTGGTCAAGATGATCACAGAGGTTGCATATCAGATATCCTGCATATCAGGTATTTACATTACAATACAGAAGCAAAATTACAGCTACAAAGTAGCAAAAAAATAATTCAATGGCTGGGGGTGACGACAACATGAGGAACTGTATTAAAGGGTCACAGCATTAGGAGGGTTGAGAACCACTATTGTTAATACTTACTTGAGACAAAGAGAACAGTACCAAGCAGTTTTTTAGTAGCATTCATGGCTTGACAATTGATGTTTGTCCCTCTGATGTTACGGAAAACAACGTTATTCAACTTCATTAATGATATGTGTGAATCAAGCTGTTCTCTATGGATTGGCTTTTCTTGCAACTTACAGGATATATTATATACATACTGTCCATACATCAAACACATGGTGACATTGGAGCCTTCTTCCAACAGTTTGTCTTCAGGAAATATTAAGAACGTATTAGGTTCAACTGAAACTTGTACTGCAAGACAAAACGCCTCGGTTAGAGTCTGATTACTCAGATTTCAAGACAAATCCCCTCCTACTCCCTGTAGTTAATATAATTTTATTCTACTTTCTTGGGAAAATAACAACCTACGCTTCCACATGATTCCTGGATCTTTTGGGAGATCCAAACCAATCCTTTCCACCACACCACCCTTTGTCAGACTGTTCCAGCTAAAACAGCATCACTATCATCACTTCCGGTTACTGTGATGTTGCTGTTGTCTATGGCTGCTCTCTGTAGAGATCATGCAGGAGGCGCGACATGAAGCATTTGGGTTCCTTATCTCAACTCATCCTCAGGACTTCTCAACAGTGGAGTAAGTAAGAACTCTGAGCTAAGTTTGTTCAGCTTGTTACTAGTAAGGCCTTATTCAGATCTCCTGGGCCTCTGTGAGTGTTAACTTGAGATTCAGAATCTTGGGAGATGAGTCTCTGGGCAGGTCTATGAGTGATCACATTGATTAGGTTAATCAAGGTTAGGAGACCTTGTCCCCGTGGGAGGCAGCAGTCCCTGGCTGGGATCCTGGCCCGTGTGAAGAGGAGAATGTAAGCTGAGCGCTGGCGTGGCTGTTTCCTGATTGTCGGTGAGATGTGATCAGCTGCTGCTAGCCCCTCCCAACCCGGCCGTCCATGCCATCACGGACTGCACCCCTGAACTGAGAGCCACACAGTCTCCCTTGAACTGCCTAAACACAACTAAAGCTTGCCCAGCCCCTAAGCCATGTCTGTCTCCGTTGTGCTGAGTCCCTCCCCCCTCCTTCCCAGAGATGTTGCCCCCTCAATTCCATCCCCTTCTGCTCCAGTCTTTCTTCCTTGTGACCTCCGGCATGTCAAAATCCTTAGGACTTCCTTCCTCCCTGTCGCCACCTTGTCCAGCGTCGCTTCTCCCTCAGGCTTTCCTACCTCTATCTCCACGCTGACGTAGCCTGGCTGGTCACCTATCGGGCCACTAGGTATTGCTGTCACCGACCTCACCTGTGACAAGTGCCCTGGGCATAGCTTTTCTGAGGGCTTTTGAGACCTCTTGATGATTCTGCTGAACAGCCATGGGTGAGAAACCACCCTCTGAGGGATCTGAGGGTCAGGTTTTCATTTATTCTGATATAAATTTTATGGTTACAGTTTTTAAAAGTCTAGTCCGTTATACCAGGGTTGTTTATAATACACTTATTTCTTTTCCTCTTGCTGTTGTTAGCTTGTTCTGAGGTGAGATCTCATTATATATTCTTGGTCAGCCTTGAACTCACTATACAGTACATTCAATTTATTCAGTGAGTTTATGTTCACCTCTGACTCATTTACTGAGCAGTGATTATGTGCTAACATGCATGGCTTTTTATTTTTACTATTCTCCTGCATTTCTGTTTTCTTTCTTCACATATATACATATATGCATGTATATACACAGCAACACATATATACATTCACATACATATATACACAGACATATATGTGTATATATGCATGTGTATGTATATGTGTGTGTGTTTGTGTGTGTGTGTATAATCTCTCAGCGGTAATAAACAGTTGTGAAGTACAAGGCTTATGTAGGTTCTTTACTTTCTCTGGTCCTCATTTTCTGTATCTGTTAAGTGGGAATGAAAATAAAGCCTATTTCTCTTAGGGTTAATGTGATAACTAAACCAGTGTCTAAAGTTTAAAATGGCAGAATGTATACTTCATTTTATTACTATCAATGTGTGCATTAAGTTATTCCTGGGTTAATAAGTTGCTAGTTTCAGTTAATAAATTTGCACCAATGCTTGGCAACAGAATGATTATATTAGTATAATTTCATATAATATGTCAGGACATATAGTGAGGAATAGATACTATTGCTGTCGAGCTGGCCTGTAGCCAAGTGGAACATGAGAAGCTATGGTAAAATCCAGTCTAAATGTGACCTACAACAATGTTCAGTGACCAAAATTAAAGGATAGTTAAAGTTATTTGTCTACAATTATATCACTGTAGTGAAAAGCTGATTTCCTTCTCCCTGTATTGCTCCCTGCCTCTAAATTGAGGATCGGCAAACCACAGTCCATGAGCCAAGTCAAGCCTACCATCTCTTTTGTAAATAAAGTTTTATTGACACACAACTGCCCTCATTTGTTCATACATTGTCTAAGGCTGCTTTCTGAAGACTTGAGTGCTATAGTCTCCAAAGAAACTGTTAGGCCCTTTAAAGAAACATTTACAATACCTGTTCCAGATATATGTGTGTGTGCATATATATGTATATATAGATAGATATACACATATTTATATGTATGTGCTGCTTTAATAAAAATGCACATGTAAATTTAAAGTAAACATATTTTGCATATTTGGAAAATGAATACAAAATTATCTGAATCATATAATTAAATTAATGAAGGTATTTGAGGTAAGACTTCAGACATCTAGAGCTCCATGGGAAATTTCAAAACCACTTTTTAGTTCTATTACAACTGAATGAAAATAATGACAGTGTCTACTCAGGGCTTTCAAAGGGAATGGGACATACTACAGTTGACTTCTGACCCCTGAGTTATACTGACTCTGGATATTCCTGTGACCACTTCATGTATCCACTTCACTTCTTACCACTAACTTCTTCCCAGGGAGTCCAGCTGCTCCAGGAACGCTGCGGAGGGTACTTGGCATCATCTACCATTGCCCTTATTCGGACGAAATGTGCTACACATTCCAAAGGGATCTCAGACCTCCAGTTCCAGTGCAGAACGTGGTTCCACTTCACAGGGGCACTGTAATTCTCCTAAAAATAAAGGAAATGTCTGGAGACACACAGTCATTACATCCTGGAAAATAGGCCAACCTGAATTATTCCAAAGGCCAAGCTCCTACCCCACTTTGACGCCACCATGCTGCTAAGCCAAGTCCACTCCTAGTTCATCACTAATTAATCAGTAAATCCTAGTTCATCACTCCCTTGCTCTGAGGTCTAAGCACTGGAAGCTATGATCTCCTGTCTCCCCAATCCTCTTTTAGATCTTGCCTCGAAGAATCTTTTATTTAAATTGTGGGAGAAAATTAGGCCTGGCCCCAGCATTTACAAGTGACCCTTACACCCCCCACACTCTTAGAACATCCCATTGTGTGCTCGGCCTTTAAATCCCCACACCTTGCCCAAAGCCCGATGCAGGCCCACAGCCCAACATACTGAGCTAACTAATGTCATCACCTGATTAATATGCAGTGTGTCATGTTTTCCTAGACACTGTGTGGAGTCTCTCTAACCTCGGATTACGCTCTGCGATCTTTATAGCCTTGCCAAGGAAAAAGATAAACTTTGACTATGTCAGTCAAATTAGTGATTAAGAAATGTGATGAATTTGATTTTTTATTTTTTAGTCATTGAAGCGGTAATTTGAATACAGACCTTGCAGGTACAGAAATTGGCAGACACACAGGCATAGAAATGTATCTGAGGTCAATGACTCATGGCAGAAACATGAATCCTACCCCCTCGATGATTCCCACCCCTGGCATCTTTCCAAGCTTGAGATGCTATTCTGCCTTCTCTTGCTATTGACAAAGGAATACAGAAAATGTCCTAGAAGAAAAAGCAAAGTTTGGCCCGGGGCAGCGCCATGTAGTGTGGCTGTCGGCAAGGCTCTGTGTGGCCAGCACTGTCAGGGAAGCGTCCTGCTCTAGCTATGAGCACCTAGGTCATATGGCTTGTTGGAAACACAGTGAACGATGACATTGGAAGCTGTTCTCCCTCAGCACAAGTAGAGATGGGGTTCCTAGCTTGCACTCCAAAGAACTGCCCAAGCAAAGAAGAACTTCCAGAAGGAAGGAAGATCTCATGTCCCTCCTCAACTTCAGGTACCAGAAGAGTCAGACAAGTCATAGCGTGTGAGCTGACATCACATATTCAACAGCAACCATTGTGGGAAACTGCCCTTTAAAAAGACGGCCAAGCAACAGACTTGCTATAAACCCAAGTGGACTGAGTCAGATTTTATTTACTTTAGGCTCCTTGCTCAGACCTCATATTTGGTAAGGGATATGGGAAAGAACTGAAGACTTTAACATTAGTGACAGGCTTAGCTGGAAGGACAGACATTCTTGATCTCTAAATGCCAGGCATTTGCTGCCTGAAAGAAAGGGGACCTCGGTGGGATGATGGGTCCTCATCCCAGTCTTTTGTGTCCTTTACTTCCAGAAGATGTCTAAGATGCCTTGGCAAACTGTCCTTAAACTTCTCATAACAGTATCTAATGCCCCCTATCAAAGTGCCCTTAGATGAGACTGTGTTGGACATAGTAGACACATCCATTACCTGAATCAAGATGAGTGAAAATCTACCCCCAAATAATTCACAGCAGAAAAAAGTTGAAGATTTTCTTTCATTTGGTTTGATGCAAGGGTTCATGGAGTCCAAGTTGGCCTTGAACTTATTCTGGAGCACAGGATATCTTGAACTCCTGTTCCTCCAGCCTCCACCTCTCAAGAAGGATTTCATCAATTAATTTATCTATTAGCAAACCCACATTCCAGGAAACAGAGGACACTAAGTTATTGTCCAATGCAGTCCATGGACATCTACAGTGTTGGCCAGACAGTAAGTGCTGGGACTTGCTCCCCTGTGCCCTCAGTACAGGGTAAGTAAAAGGACCCTGATAATCCTCACTGTGAGAAAAGTTTCAGTAAGTCATTATATCTTATTCCGGACCACCTAGCTTTCCTGGTGATGCTGGGTGCACAGAGAAGAGAGGAGAGAGTGAGATAACTGATCTGCAGGCAACATGCAGACCCAGTATTTGCAGGGACAGACCCAGTGACTATCTTGGGACAAACAGCAAAACAGATAGAATCTATTTTCTTTAATTAATCCGTCAAACCCAATGGGTCATATTACTTTGTTTTAACTCAGTGGTTCTCAATCTTGGAGTCAAATGACCCTTCCACTGGTGTCGCCTAAGACCATCAGAAAACACAGGTATTTGCATTACAAATCACAACAGAAGTAAAATTACAGTCAGGAAGTTGCAATGAAAATGAATTTATTGTTAGGGCTCACCAAAACATGAGGAACTGTATTAAAGGGTTGCTGCATGAGGAAGGCTGAGAACCACCTGTCTTAACTAAAAACACAGGATGCAATTGTTTAGGAAACCTGTATTGAGAAGGAAATGTTGTGGAATTATAAGATTTCTTGATATAAAAGACAAATCAAAATGCTTACCACCCAGATGATGTTGGATGTTTTCATTCTACTGATCTCTATTTGAAATACCATGTTTAATTCTTGATGAGTAAGGTTGGGGACAGTCCACTGTAAATTCACTTGCTGAAGTTTAGACTCAACAGTTACATTAAGTATCTCAGGCGTCAACTGGAAAGGCTCACCCAGCACTGAAAGACCAAACACAGAAATAAAATAACCCTCAATGGGGGTACGATTGAATAGATACACACACCCAAGAGACGCTGTTCCATGTGCTCCCCGGCGAGCTTTGGACAGTGTGTTTGCATATACGTTCTAGCATCAGGTACTGAGAGACTCTGAGAAGGTATTAGAAGTTACATCAGCAAAGGAAAAAATTAAGACCCCAAAGAAGCAGAAAACTTGCTCAGCAATGCACAGCATATTACCGAGCTGGTAAACAACTAGACAAACGTGTCTTTCCTGAGTAATCTAACTGATTTGAATTCATAATGGAGACAATACGATTTTTTTTTTAAAAAAATATCTCATATTCTGATTTAATACTAAAGATCAGTTTTTGGAAACTTTGAGTTCCATGGCTTATTAGAAGGTTCCAGAGTGGAAGCATATATAGACATGGTTCCATGTATTTCAGTGTGCTGAGCTTCAATATCTCCAGCAAGGGTTCGCTGAACTCTTTGGATGAGACAGCAATGATTATAGGCACTTAATAATAAACAAAACACTGGTGACAAGATTCCCCAAGCAGAGAAAGAGCCTAATTGGAGAGACACAACACAATCATGGAAACAGTCGTGATTGTGAGCTTGGAGCAGTGGAATGACTCCGCAAAGGAACAGAAATTCAAACACGGACAGATTCCTGCACATCATTGGCCCCTGGAAGGACCCAGTCTCTTCCCTGACTGTTGTTAAACCTTACATAGAACCATAGGCATAGCTTGTACACAGAGACATCAACTGCAATACACTCTGTGACAAGAGAGACTGTGGGCCTAGATCTGCTTGGGTTACTGTCAGTTCCAGAGAATAAATTGTTGACTTTCACTTAAGAGAGGGAAACACCATAGAGAATTGAAAGGAATTATTTGTTGCTGATTCAACTGTTTCAACTGTTGGACCGAGGGGATCTGAAATAAACTGGGGTTGTTACAAGGGTTTTGAAACAATAAAGGCTCCCTTCATAAAACCAGCTGGTGTCCGCTGACCCATGTATAAGAGACATCTGCTTCTTGGCCTTCATTTCCCTAGTTTTTTAGAAACTGGTGACCTGAAAGCTTCTTGTATTTCATTTAAAAGGCAAGAAAGCTTCTAAGGGAGGAGCGGTTTGGCAACTAAACACACGCTTAGCATGGATAGGTGTAGTGATATTTCATTTGTATCTTAATAAATAAAACTTACTTGAGGATCAAAAAAATAAAAAGCCACCCTGGCTAGCCTTGAAGACCAGGCAGCAATAACACAGGCCTTTAATCCCAGTAGCCACACTAGCTTGCCGTAGAGACCAGGTGGTAGTGGTGCACGCCTTTAATCCCAGAACCAGAGAGGAATATAAAAATGGGAGGAGACCACTCTCACACACAGTCTCACTCAGAAATTCCTGGAGGCAGCATCGCTATTTCAGACTGAGGTAGAGATAAGAGCCAGTGGCTGGCTGTTTGGCTTTTCTGACCTTTAAGTTGAACTCCAATTTCTGTCTCTCAGTTTTTATTAATCATTCTACAAATAAAACCCCCAGTTCAGTTCCCCTGCAGTCTCTCCCTTCCACAAAGGGTTTCACTTATGTGAAACATCCAGACTAGGTAAATCCATAGAAATAGTAAGTGGACTGGTAGTTGCCAGCATTGGGGATCAAAGAATCAGGAACTATAATATAATCGATATCAATGTTTCTAGTATCCAGAGGCTGTGTTTCTGGTCCCTAGCAGTATTAAGAAGCAAGGCTCCACCATTCATCCCCCCAATAGGCCAACCAAATAAATGAATAACAATATACAACAAAGAAAACAGTTTTATTTAGTGTGTCTGCATTGGGAAGAGAAACAAAGAAACCCAGCGACTCTCTAAGTCTTCCTTGAAGGGGAAGTACAGGTTTAAATAGAAGGCAGGACCGTGCATTGTCATCATTAAGCAACCCCAGTCAAAGTGTGGTCCTGTCCATCACTGCAGCTTGCCCGTTGAGGACTATTACTTTAACTACGTAAAGATGTGCTGCATCTGTTTCACCTTGCCTGCCTAAGGCACCCGATTGGTCTAATAAGAAGCTGAATGGCCAGTAGCTAGGCAGGAGAGGCATAGGCAGCACTGGAAGGCAGAGGGAATAAACAGGAGGAGGAATCTTGGCTCAAGAGAAGAACAAGAAGGAGGAGAAGAGAACGAGGGAGAAAGAGAGGGGTATGCCCAGGGCAAGAAGCCAGGCAACTGGGAGCCAGTCTGATGTGAGAAGCAGTGAAAGTAAAATAGAAAGAAAGGAAGGAAGGAAGGAAGGAAGGAAGGAAGGAAGGAAGGAAGGGAGGAAGGGAGGAAGGGAGGAAGGAAGAAAGGTGGAAAGTCCCGAGGCAAAAGGTAGATAAAGGGAAACAGGTTAATTTAAGTTAAAGAAAAAAAAAAAAGCTAGTCAGAAACGAGCCTAAGCTAGGCCAAGCATTCATAACTAAGTCTCTGTGTCATGACTTGGGAGCTGGTTGTTGACCCAAAAAAAGAATCCTGGTACACCAGTCTCTCCTGCAAGGGGGTTGGGAAACCTCTTCTTGGGAAAAGGCACCTCCTCTGGAAGACACTGGGCTTCAGCCTTTGCTTTCTTCTGCCCTCTGACTCCCAGGGAAATTCCAATTCCTTGGATGATAAATAATCTGAGAGAATAAGGGAGGGGCACAAATTTAAAATATCTTCACTCCCACCAGGATAGTTACAGTAATATTATGAAATATTAAATGTCACTGATGATTGACTCACTGTAACCATTTTATCAATTAATTAATTTTAATTTATTAATTTAGTTTTATGTTATGTGACTGTTAACTCAATAAAAATTTTCCATGATACATGATAATGATAAAGAAACAATAAAAAGCTGAGCTTCTAGAATCCTGTCAACTCCATTGTCACTAAATTGTCAAACTTAAATCATGTGTTTTGATTTAAATTATTCCACACTGTGATGTGGGAGTCCCCTCTGTGTGCTGTGGTTACCATTAATGAATAAAGAAACTGCCTATAGCAAGGCAGAACTTAGGTAGGCAAGGAAAGCTAGGCTGAATGCTGGGAGAAAGAAGGACAGAGTCAGAGAGAAGCTATGGATCCGCGACCTGAAACAGAAGCTGGGAACTTTAGATGGCAAGCCACAACCACGTGGCGATACACAGATTACTAGAAATTGAATAAATTAAGATGTAAGAGTTAGCCAATAAGAAGCTAGAGCTAATGGGCCAAGCAGTGATTTAAATAATACAGTTTCTGTGTGATTATTTCAGGTCTCAGCTAACCAGTGGCTGGGAACCAACAAGTGGCCCTCCTCCAACTACACTATGGTTTGTGTATGGTTTGAGTATCCAACAGAGATTCTCACAAATATGGTTCTAGTGTAGGGATGGCCAAAGGTGGTAGACTATTAAGAAGTAGGGCCAAACTAACATGCTAGTGGAAGTCCGGAGCTGTCTGATCAGAGCTAAGGCCCACTCAAAGGCGGGGAAATCACACCTGGTTTTAGAAGGCTGCCTCCCAGGGCTACCAATACAATGCATCACAGTCTTGCCTCTACTCCTCCCCCACTTCGGTGAGCTGTGTCTCACCCTTCCTTCAGCTGTCTTTTTCAAGTGTTTTGTCATGGGGACTTGAAAGTAAATAATTCCCATGTTCTCTCTCTGTCTGCCTAACCCATGGCTTTCTCACCCCTGATGGCAGCAGGTTGTCATAGGCTGCTTTTCTTCTGAGGGCTGTGGCTGAAACAGGAGTGTGACGAAGTCTTACTTAGCTCAGGGAAATCAAGATTAGCAACACACGGTGAGTATAGACATTCTACATTTGATCGACACCTGAATGAGTCAGCTCCTGTCTCACCTTATTTCTGGAAGCTCTACCCAGATCTCTCATGTTGTTTCAACAAAGGGGAAGCTCCGGAAATTAGCCTACATTATCAGCAAATGTGGAACAACTCAGGTCCTTGAGTAACATCAGTGAGAAGTAATGTGGGGGAAGAGGAACTAAAACTCCGAGGTGAAGCCAGGCAGGTCAAAGGGACCGTGGAGATTAATAAATCCATTCTCGCTGACATTTCACAGAAGCTAGCTGAGGTTAAAAGTGGAGGTGGATGCCTGTGCTGAGACTCAAACCAAACCAGACCCAGGGATTTTGGCTCCCAGGCCCACTCCCATGTCATGACATGGAAGTGTGGCTCAGGAGACCATTGGAGACTCCATTCTGGGCTTAGTCACAAACACAGTCCCATTTTCCCGATGGTTTCTCTGACCAGCCCTAACACTTCTGGAGGAAATACTGTGTGGTTAATTCCCAGAAAGAGCTATCACGTAATAGTTCTTAAAACAACATGATTCCAGAAACATCTAATATCAGAAGGAAACATTCATCCTACTTAATGGCTTAAATTAAAAAAAAAAAAAATCCCCCGGAGACAGATTTTTCTCCGTTTGTATATATGCATGTGTGCATTTGTGCTTTTCTCTGTACAACATGATTTAACCTTTTTTACAGCGTATATTGGAGGAGAGCAAATGGCTCTATGAGAAAAGGAGCTTGCGGCCAAGCCTGATATCCTGAGTTCTATCCCTGGAACCCACATGGTGGAGGGAGAGACAGAGTCACACAATCGGTCTTCTGTCCTCCACACATGTATTGTGACATGCATATGCAAATAACTCCTATATGCGTGTGCACATGTGCATGCATGCACACGCACAGACACACATGTACTCCTCAATAAATGCAAAAAAATTAAAAATCTCCACATATTTACAATTTTTCTTATGTATAACCCCAAAGAGAGAAGAACACATCAGAATGCTGTGGTCGACTCCTCTGGCTGATAGAAACATGGTGGGAGCTAACTGAAGGGTCTTGCCTATGCCCTATTGCTTGGAAGAAGTTGGTTCAGGCTGTTTGAAATGCAGTCTCTGACCTGAGCCTAGTTAGTTGATTGAGTGGTGCCCTCACTAGTGTGAGTGGAGGTGTAGTGGGCAGTAGACACTGGAAAAAAAAATCCCCACAGCTCTGATGAAGACAAAGACCTACCTGTTTTGTAAAGAAAGTTGGAGGCAGAAATGGAAATCAGGTTGCAAGGAAATTAGGGAAACACATTTGATCTAAACAATAGAAACGGAGCCGCAAAGGCTGACGTGAGAACAATACATGTCACATGCAGAAGACACGCCATGTACAGTCGGGTCACATCGTGAGACTCTGCTAGGGGGAACAAACTGTGGCAAAAGCGTTGCGAACGCTGAAGGTGGGGGGTGCCTCACCATGAGGATGTGGTGTGTTAGGCTGTCTCCGAACCAGGGACTCTGACCTGAGCCTGGACATTCTCCGTGCTCAGCCTCCCTAATCAGTTACAGTGTGCTTGACCCCAGGAGCGAGACAGACTAAGGGAGCTATACACGCCACCAGTGAGAGAGTCCCGTCACCTGGCAGCTCAGCTTATATGGAAGAGCTCCACTAGCTGCTGTGTGAGACGCCAGGAGAAATAGCATATTCCCACAGGCTGACACCAAACCTGGGTCTAAACGACGAGAGGCAGAACTTGCGCCTGTCGGCAGAACTGAAATATCCCCTTTTCTTTTCTTGCAGTTCTAAGGATAAATGAAGAATGCTATGCATATTCTTTGCAAATGTCATTTTTCCATGCACGGAATTATATCTGCGCTCTTTGTTAAAAAGCAAATACAGCAAAGAATAATACAGGAAGAAAAAATGTAAGGTTTTATACAATATGGACAAATGCAGGGGAAATTTATGGGCCAATAGAAACTTTCTCAAGTCTAAGGATCTATGTTTAAGTGAGTTCAAGGTAATAAAGTATCCACACACATTTGATAAAATATTCACACGCCTGCGCATTTACGGAGTTGACTTACTCTAAATTGCGGTCTTCTGGGGAGAGCTAATTGACAAACACTATTTCTCTGGCAGAAAGCAGATTTCAGCACTTCCAATATTACATACTTGAGAGAGTTCCTACTGCCTGCCAGGCTATGATTGCTTTTTAGTCATATTTTATAAGCCTAACAGCTCTCGGCAAGTGTGACTAAGGGGCATGGGAACTTGTTCTATCCCAGCCATGAGAACTAGTCTGGGCTGTTCCATCTTGCCCAGCAGGGCTTGGAAAGAAACCCCCTGGCAACGGTCTCTATGAAACAGAGCAATCCCGAAGCTCCGTGATCTCAGATCCACTGACAACCACCCCAATGAGCAGAGCACGGAGCAGGAAACCAAGGCGAAGTAGTGGACTTACTAGTGGTGCCCTCAGAATGAGGGAGGCCATGTCCAAGGCAACTGTGGCTTCCAGAGATTTAACACATCTCATGTGAGCTAATCACCAACTCCGAGAGAAAAGAAATGGCTTCACTTTTCTCCAAAGCACCAGTTGGTTCATCCTTATATGTTCTTTACTTCTGTTTCAACTTCTTACCTTCAGTTAGGGATGCTCTCAGGGGCAGCACCGCCAAGAGGAAGACTGGATGAAGGACCGCAGAGAAAGCCATTGGTCTGACTGTCTGAAAAAGATAAATTACAAGAAAGGGAATTTTATTTTTTTTTAATCTTTAACTCCTAGTTCGTTTCTCGTGCCAGCTGTGATTGGGGATGGGACTGAAATCTCTCCTTTTTCTCCCCTTGGACCCATGTCCTCTGCCTTTGGAGCAAGAATTCACATTCCCTGTCTCACGAAATGCTCCTCAGGTCATAAGTGAGGCACAGCTGATAGAGACCTGTGTGAGCCTTGAAGACTTCCTCTGTGGTGGGTTTCTGAGGCATGGTGGCAAGCGCTCAGTGATCAGCCAGTTTGTTTGACTCATCCAAGCAAAGCCAGCAAGGCAGAAAACCAAGTGAAAAATGAAAAAAACTAAACAAAACAAACGCTGACTGAAAAGAACAAATATAATCTCAAAAGGGCTCGTGTGAGGGGCTAGAGAAATGCCTCAGAGGTTGGGAGCCCTTACTGCCCTTGCAGATGGCCTGGGTTTCGTTTCTATCATCCACACTCGGTAGCTTAAAACCATCTGTAACTCCAGTTCCAGGGGTCCAACACCCTGTTCTGACCTCTGCGGACACTTATGGTACACAGGTATATGTGCAGGCAAAAATAACTACACAAAAAGTAAAATAAGCAATTTATTAAAAATGTTAACCAATAAATTAAAAAAAAAAAACTGAATTCACCCCCCAAGCCATCTTTACACTTCTCCTTTCCTCTCACTGAAATTCAACCTGGGAAAAGTTAGTATACTCTAGGTGATGGTTATTCTCGTTGTTCAATACTATTTCTTCTTTGTTTCAGTTCTGGTGGGGTTTTTTTTTCTTTTTAATTTTTTTTTTTTTGTATTTTGCCTCTGAAAAGAATTGCAAATTGCAGCCGGCCAAACGAGTTCCACTGATTCATAAGATGATTTGAACGGAGGACAATCTGAGGGCAGAGAGAGAGGAAGGCTAGATGACCTCAAAAAGACCAATTCCTTCCTAATTTAATAGCAAACCCATTAGTCAGGGGAAGCATTAATCCTCACTTTTCTCTTTAGGACTCTGAGTCAGCAGGGAGACGTAGAACGGTTCATAGAAAGCCTGTTTCTGCCCTTGTCCTGTTGCCCAGAGCTCACCCAGAGCTAGAGATTCTGGGAGTCTGCTTATGAGTTCCCACTGCCACCGTCTCCATTCATTTTCAAACAGGGTCTTACAGGTAAGGAGCCGCCACACAGACAAGAGGTGGCTAAAGCAAATGGCTCTACGGTGGCCACCGTGCCTGTGGTCAACCACGCATGTGCACTGAAGTCGTAGGCAGCCTTTCTGCCCTGTTTTCTACTCTTGGCAAAACAACAGTCCGTTCACACCTGATCTCTACTTACAATTGCGTAGTCTGAACGCCAGAGCCAGGGGAGAACTAATTCAAGGAGAAGCCATGTGTGCGTGAGTGTGTGTGTGTGTGTGTGTGTGTGTGTGTGTGTCTGTACGCACCAAGAGAGCATAGGAAGAGACCCATTAATTAGGAAGTGTCTGCCATTCTGTTGAAAGTGATTTCAGCCTGGGTCCAGGAACTTGCCACTGTCTACTCCCACTAACTTTTGGGATACAAAGGGGCCATGGTGGGAAGGAAATCTCATGCCACAGTCTGAAAGAAGAAGGCTCTGGAGCTGATGTGCACACCAAATGGTTTCTCTATGACTGGGCTATTAAAAATGTTTCTAAACACATGACGTTACCTCAAGACGTTAAAATCATGGGCAGAGAAATGCCCAGAGAAAACCAGAAGTAATGGTAGATAGAAATCAGGGGGTAAAGGTCACCAGGTAATGCTAATGGAAGACACAGCATCCACAGAAGGCCACGGTGTCGGAATCCCAGCAGGGTGTCAGCAGCTCCCACCCTCTGCTCTCTCATACCTGTTGGACTGAGAAGCCTGAGAGAGAGCAAGAGCAGGGCTTCTGATGGCTTGTCGTACCTGAGGCCCCCTGTCTCATACACACCAGACAGGTAGCGATTGTGACCCAGAGGTCACTGCCCTCACCTGAGTTCATTGGCTATTGTAATCTCCCTTTCTGCCATATCACCATCCTTTGGCTTTCCTCAGCCAGCCACTGTCTGACAATACAACTGGGAAAGTTCCAGAAATAATTAGAAAGTTTACATATTTTTACAAGTATTTATTTAGTGACTATGTGCTGTGTTGTGTGTGTGTATGTATGCGTGTCTGTGTGTGTGTGTGTGTGTGTGCATACATGCTCACACTGTGGCTCCACCATGCAGACTCCCAGATCAAGCTCAGGTTTTTAGGCTTGGCAGCCAGGGCTCCTGCCCACTGAGCTATTGAGCTTCAGTTGGCTTCTACTTCAGTCTGTTGTTACGCTTGCTCTGTCGCTGGGGCTGCGAGTATCTTACTGTACAATCGTGCACAACACAAGAAAACAACAGCACGTACAGAGTGTGGGTCCCCACTGCTTAGGGCTGTCTTCTGGGGACCTTAGAATGCCCTCTCTGCAGACATAGAGGACCCCTGCATAGTTTGCAGTGCCTTCCCTGGACGGCCACCATCAACCCGAGGACCACGGGCCGCAAGACTGTAAGTCTTCACTGTTGCCTGGAATCCTCCTGGAAAAATCAATAAAGTTCCTGAAAACTGGCAGAAAGGGAGTTGGCAGCTGCAACCTCTCAGCGGAGCGTTTCTTCAGAAACCACACAGGAATAATCATCCGACAGCCAGAGGCTAACAGTGTGTGGAGAAATGGACACCACTTACTTGCAAACCCTGGAGCACAGCCTCATGCAGGGTAATAGAGCCTTCCCCAGTTAGGCTAGCTTGAGAGTGCCAACTGTTTCTTGATGGGAGCATGAAGACGGAGAGTACCCAGAAGATTCAAGGACCAAGGGGAGGCAGGTGTGGCTGAGGGGAGGGGAAGAGTGGGAAAAAGCCCAGGGATGAGATTGAGCATTTTTGGAGCATAGAGGAGAAAGAGTAGGCATTGTATTTGCATAGCTTGAACTGCCGTGGAAAATCCCTGGAAAGATTTCACAGAGCTATACTGAGCTGATGTGCAGGGCACAGAGTTCAGAGATGCAGAAAGAAAGGGGGAAGCGGAAGTGGAAGAAGACATGAAGCCAAAGTCAACAGTCTGGATGAAAACTTGAGGACAGAGTTTGAATGGTGGAGGTAGCAAGGTGTGGTGGGGTCAGCAGAGATTTCAGAGGCAGAGCTGACGCACCATGGGTGGTGACCAAATGAAATATCAAGAATTTTGGCTCAAGTGCTTTGAAGAATCACCATTTAGCAAGGCAGAAGACTGGGCTGGATGGATTGGGAGTCTCTATCAAAAAAGCTCTCAGCCCCAGATAGAAATTTAAGATGCTTATTTGATCTACCTAAGCAGCCAGCTGAACACATGGAATTCCTGCCCATCAGTAGAAGAATTTCGGGTGTGCATGAGACTACGTGATTGTAAATAAAGACAGAAAAAGGACAAGTTCAAGCCCAGAGCTTGGGATACTCCACAGCCTACACTATCTTCCCGGGTCACACATGCACCATACAGACAAAAATGAAAACCCTGAGTAACTTGGTTTTCCAGCACTCTCAAGGATGAGGCCTGTGAGTGGGTGAGTGGGCCGGTAGATCAGTACCTACCTAAGGAGCAGAAATTTCCCAATGCTCAGGGCACACAGTGTCCAGACTCTGAGAATCTGCGGCTCTCAGTGAGCAGCGTTCTGCTCCAGATTCCCAGTAAGAGAAGGAAGGCAGAGAGGGGTGTGTCTGTTTGCCCCGTGTCCTTCTCCAAGTCTGTTCTTTCTCACATTTTATCATCATTGAATAGATGTGTGCCACTAGAGAGAGCAGATCTGAGTCTAAGACCCTCTGTGCACCAGAGTCCCAGGACATGCCTGCCACCCAGAAAGCATCTGGGAAATGAAGAAAAATGGGTACCATTTTTCTCCTACTTCCTCTTCTTTGCTTTCAACTTATTTTTAATGAAAACACAAATTGACTCCCTTTCAGGCCTTCTTTCCTGCCATCACATTTGCCCAGTTTGTAACCTTTGGCACACTTGGGGTTTGGGCGGGGTGGGGGAGGGGTGGAGAGAAAGCTGCCATCTCTTTTGTAATTTACACTCTACTCATCCATCCACTCCCGTCTCTCCATATCTTCCCCGTCTCTGGGCTCCCATTCAGTGTAGATCAACCTAACATCCCTCTGTGAAAATCTTACTGGCTTCACTGTGTTCTTTGAATGTCCTCCCTGCTCTTCAAATCTTCCTGAAAACTCCTATTTTCCCCGAAGGTCCTCTGAATGTCCGTCGGGGTGAATGCTATAGGCGTAATAAACTGCACTTCTAAGGAACTCCTAGTGGGCCTTCCCTTACCAGAATTTCTGGCTCAGTCAGGACTAAAGTATGTCTTCCTGGGAAGTTTCTCTACCACAGAGAATCCTCATGAGACATTGCGACAGCCAACAGTCGGTTGTTTCCCCTAACCTGGGTGTGTTGCCAAATTATTCCAAACTGGCTGGGTGACCTAAGGCTATCATATTCAAATGCCATTTAAAGATGTTGGTGGATGGTGTGTGTGTGTGTGTGTTTGAAAAAGAAAAAGTTCTGTTTTTAGAATTGAACAGGCTCCAAGAGGTTATATGGTAGACCACTTGTCTCAACAAATTTCTAAAAATTGAAATCATGGCAAGAATCATTTTCAACCTCAATGAGGACAAACTGGAAACCAGTTCCAAGAGCTCTGTGCTGACGTGCAGAGTGGCATGCATTTAGGGACAGTTCTCCATCGTTTCCTTCTTCCAGGGCACTGCCAGTAGGATTGCCAAGCCCCTCTGAAGGGTCCTCATTATTTCTGTATAAGACTGATGACTCACAGTTTCCCTCCAGTTCCCTTCCCTTAGGCTCCGGGACAAACGCCTCCTGAAGGTGATAGCATTTCTTCTCCATCCTAACTTTGCATCCCTCCAACAGATAACATGTGTCCATCACGTTCATAACTCAAATCCTGACATAAGGAGCTGAACTAG